GTTGTAAGCGAGCATCTCGGTCTGTTCTTTTCGCAGCAGGCCCGTCAGCGGAGGAAGGACGGACCGCGACCTCCTCAAAGTCTGGGTTATGCGTCTGGACCTGGAGTACTTCAATTGATCAGCATTGAACATCTTGTGGAGCGCGAGATAAAGCCAACATGATAGGCGCGCTTATTGCGGCAGCCCAAGCAGCTCTTGGTGTGCCCAGCCGACTTTCTTCTGCCGAGGAAGTCTTGCGCTGGTTTCTCCTCGCCACAGCGAATGCATACGATGGAAACCACGCCACCTTGAGACCCTCGATGAGGCATAGGGTTCACTGCGGTTGAAAGCAGCTGCGTACGATGGGTTTGTTGGCGACCCGCGATGCTCAGAGTAGCTCTGTGACATTCAGGGCAAGTGCAAAATTGGACCCACTTTTAGAAGGCCATCATCCAGTTGAGTTACGTTTTAGAAACCATACAACCAATCAGATGTCAGAAAACTTAACTGATCCCTGCTGCACCAAACCTCATACGAGAGGAAGGCTCGCCAGCCGCGGCTCGCGCAAAGAAGCCTTTCCGAACGAAATTTGGCGATAAGAGAACCGGAGAAGAGTTGGCTACAGAAGAGAGAGAGAGTTGGCGACAGTAGATAGGAGACAGGAAGAAGAGTGAGGTCGAGATACGAGACACGGCGAGAGACGTAGAGCATTATCGTGAGTGAAACCGAGACAGAGCGTCGGGGAGGCAGGCTAGGCCGCTGGAGGGAGATTTTGTTTAAAAGGCGCAAACTCAAAGGGCGTGGAGAGACGGCAGGGTTGAAGAGAGATGTGAGTGGGTAATGCATGTCTGGGCGAGTGGAAGGCTCGGAAAATTTACATGTGCTACCGGTATAAGTCGTAGGTATAAACAGAATAAGGAGTATATTGGGGAAGTTTTGACTTGATCGTCTTCATGAAAAGGAGAACAAGAAGAGAAGAGAATGTGCTATTCGAGCCTTTGGCAGTTGATTTTGAGGATGATGAGACATGTTGTCATGTTGTATTGTTTCGTTTGAAGCTTTAAAGTTTAGAGAATATTCTTGGGCGGACGTCGGGCGCGCAGTGGTCGGGAAGATATCGACGCGGGAGGTCTGATAGAGCCAGAGGCGGATGTGTCTTGGTGATTGACCTGTTCGGTGTCCGTCTCTGACTCTGCGGGTCTTCCGGGGACAGAAAGGAGGAGGTATCGGATTTGGGGGAGTCTTGACCGTCACAGTCGGTGATTATGGTGGAAGTTTCGGGAGAAAGTCGCGGTCTCTTGGTTGGGGTTTGGTAGGGATCGGGCATTGACCGACTTGATGCCAGCATAAAGATCGACTGGGCCAGAAGCATGCGGCGTGGGGAGGCGGGGCTTTGGGCGGCCTTGGGTTTCTTCGTAGAGGTAAACCTGGCCAACGCAACGCTATAGTCCGAGGATTGCCGACCGCGCTCTTGGGTGTCGTCGGCAGTAGTTGTGTTGCAGAAGCCTGGTCGGACATGGCCTTGTCGTGGAAAGTCCACGTGTCGGGGACGACGATGAAGATATAGTCTTGGTCGAAAGCCGGGGCATGTTTCATGATCTGGTGATCCAGTAAGCCGGCGATTTTGCCCGTACAGGTGAAGAGAGCGTTCGACTGGAACTGGCTGTCGCGCCTCTCGGTCATCTTCTTGCATAGGAGGTCCAAGGATTAGCGTGAATGGGAAGATGACGAAAACTTGGAAGGGCGAAAGCCCTTGAAGGGGTTTGCCGGGAATCCCAGGACAAATAAAGGTGGAGAGCTGGACAAAGCCGCAGCAGCTCAGCTGGGTGTCGTCAAGGGCCGCAGCCGAGTTTCCATGCAGGAGGTCGCGGCCGGAGCCGATGACAGGTCCCGTGAAGGAGACAATGGGTTGTATCGTTGGGAAAGTATCCACCGAGCTGAGGTGCGAGTGACAATTCTATGGATATCGTCAGGAGGGCAGTGGCGACAGAGATTTGGAGCATAGACTCACGGTTGGTAGCTGTGATCGCGGACTATAAGCGCGGGGACGGTGTATTCTGTGATGTTATCATCGTCCGACTCCAAGCCATCACGTCGCTCGATTTCCCACGTCAGGGCAAAGGGATGAACACGGCCGACCATGAAGAACCATTGCTCGGTCCATTCCGAGGAGATTATCTGTTGGTTGTATATGGAAATATTAAGGCTGAAGAAGATGCAGGTCGATGGATTGCCAGTATCTGACCGGATTGCTGCATACTCCGGAGTCGACAGCCATGAGGGCGTGGGAAGGAAGACCCTCGCTAGGGTTTCTGCGTTGAGCCCTTTGACACGATGCTCATTCTGGTAGGCGAACCTAGACGGGCAGCCGGGCTGGACAAAGGCCATCATGGACATGTCGGCGCCAGCATTTTCTGGCTGTCAAGAGGTTGCCGCGGGAGGACGAGGTATCGACGTTGAGCTGGGAGGCCGACATCGTGAGAACATGGCAGATGTAGTCACCGTGGAAGTGTAAATGAGGGGTTACGCAGAGTGGAGGTGGGCATCCTATAAAGCAGGTTTTCTTGCTGCTCGAAGAGGGCTCGCGGCTAGGGTCGGGGAGACTTAAGAGTCAGAGAATGCTACCTAGGTGATAGATTAGAAGCGGGGGTATGCGGGAATGAGCTGGCGAGGTTCTTGAACAGTCTCGACCATCTGGTTCTATGGTCGTGAGTGAAGTAGGGAGCCGGGGGTTGGAAGTTGAGTAGGGGTGATGGCTATGTCGCGAGAAGTTGGAGGTCGGCGAACGGTAAGGTTAGTGTGGGTAAGTCTGCGGAGAAAGAAAGTCCAGCAGTACCCTTCGGTGTCATCGTTGCATGGAGTAGATAGCAAAGGCGACAATAACGAATGAGAGTGAAGGAAAGAAAGAGGTTACGGTAGTATTGCAGGGGTCCCTTTTTGACGGTCGTCGGTAGTTGGATGGGCATTGCGTGCGGCTGAGCGAGGCGGGTGCCGACCGTGTCGAGTCCACTATTGGGACACGGTGAAGTCGGATATAGGGGACGAGCTGAGGAGGAGGATGCGAGTTGGTCACGAGAACTCTCAAGAGGGTTTGCAAGTCGAGACTCCGGTGGCTAGCGACTACAAGAGGACAGGCAGGGGATCCTGGCTGTCGCTTTAGCATGAAGGCCGTTGATGCGACGTTGGTGGTGGCGAGGAGCAAACCTAGCCGGGTAGTCCGGTTGCACGAGGACACCGTGGACATGTTATCGCCGGCAGCCTTTTGGCTGTTGCTCGACGAGGTGGAGTGGCAGATATTGATGGAGCAACTGATGCGCAAGGTGGGTGGGACGGCGTTGGAAGGGCCGGAGAGTATGGTTGGAAGTGTGCGGCGGGCGGTTGGCGCGGCCACCCCATGTGCCGGAGGTCGGCAGTAGCCAGGGATTGGCTGGAGTGCGCAAAGAGAGCACGGCGATGGAAGGGCCGCCTTTGGCAAAGCTGGGGTAGCAGGTCGCACGTGGAGACCAGCCGAGGGTCGGGACGGTGGACGCACATAGGGAGGGTAAATGGGGATTACAAAGGGTAGTAGTATTGCATCGCTTCGGTACCATAGGCAAGCATTATAAGGAAGAAATGCCACGGCCATGAGAGTAGTGATCGTTAGGAAGCTTCCCACTCGGAAAGAAATAGTGTACGCCAAGAAGCGAGATTATCCAAGTGGAAGTGCTCCGAGCCAAAACTTTCTAGCCTGTTGCCAATCCACGCTAGTCGACGTCGAGGAGGCAGTAGCATGGCGGACAGTCCTGCAGGAAGCTAGGCGAGGCGGCCGCTCACCGTGGAGCCTGTTCGTTGTCAGTCGAGGATGGAGAAGAGGGTAGGAACGGGGAGTGCCTGTTTCGGGGTGCGGAGATGATACAGGGCAACTCCGAGAAGGGCACGGAGCACGGGAGACAAGGTTGGGGCGGTTCGGGAGATACAGATCAGTGGCGAATGAAGCATTAACGTTCCGGCTGATTCAGCCTAAGCAGTCTGCGGTCGAAGAAACCGCATGGAGAAAGCATGCAGGGGCGATCGCAAAGTCACTGCCGAGAAGACCGCCGCGAGGCGGTTTGCGGTCAAGCAGAGCACGGAAGTCCCGTAATTTGGTCAGCAGCGGAAATTCCGCGCAACGTCAGTCACCGAGTCCGCTTCCGAGGTTCGTGTTGCCTACAGAACGTGGAGACCAGGGGGCAGTGGGCTCTGACAGTCCGCCCCTTCATCGGCCGTTTTTGCCCCAGGAGAGGGGTCCTGAAGGTGACGGGCAGGGAGATAAGGCGGCGACCGGCGGTGTCCCGGGGGTTCGTTCGAAAGGGACCGACGCTCCGACCTATCCAGCCCAAGGATACGACTTTCCAAGACCTAAGACGAACGGCGCAATTTGCAGCATCGATTGCATGGGGTTTGCCCAAGCTCCGTCGGGGACCGGTTCGGCGGCCAAGGGCACAGGTGGGTGTGGACGATGGCGCAGCAGAGGCAGCGGACGGCTCGCTGCGCGGACAGAGGCAGTCCCGGAGGCGGGAGAAGAGAGCCCGTCTTCCTAGCCGGGATGGGCGCCCGATAAAACAGGTCCGAAGTGGAATCGGAAGGCATAGGAGACGGGAGCTGCAGGCCGAAGACCTGGCGAGTGTGCTGCGCTTTTTGGAGGAAGACTTTGCCTTGAAGGAGAGATTGTCTAACGATCAGACGTGGTGCACGCCAATACCGCTCGAGAGGAAGGTGTCGACGGTGCGAGACTTCTATCAGGCGTTCCACGATGCGAGCACGTTGCCGATACGGACCTGCATGGTGTGCTACCGCAAGTGTACGAGAGGAGAGTTGAGGAGATTACATGGGATCATTGGCTGTCAAGTTGCGTACCAAAGGGCGGCCGCTCACCATTTTCATGCCGGAGTTGCTTTCCTGAGGGCGAGTCCGTGTCGGTGTGCGCCGAGTGTGGCCGATGCCTGGCGCGCAGGAGCCTGTCGCCGGCGATCCACCTTCACAGTCGCCTTGGCTGCGAGCACATGTTCCCCGATGAGCTCAAGGGACTGACGCCGGTCGAAGAGAAGCTCATCTCGCTGAACTCATGTTACGGGTTTGTCACGAGATATAGCATTCCGGGCGGGCAGAGACAGAGCGTGAAGTATCCGAGGCATGTCAGGGCCACATCACAGTGTTTCCGAACAATGTGCAGGAGCTGGCCACCAAAGTGCTCCCGCCCCCTTTGCAAGCACTGGACGAGATCCACATCTCGTGGCAGGGCGCGGAGAAGCCGGCACCGAGCGACCTGTCGAGTCTCTTGTCGGTGAGGCGGCGGGTGGTCGAGAGGGCCCTTGTCTGGCTGAAGCGGAACAACCCCCACTACGCCGAGATCGAGATCGACGCGGCGGAGATGGAGAGCTGGGGAGACTCGATACACGGGTACCGTCGTCGGTGTGCGATCGTATGGAGCGGAACGAGCCGTCTGGGTGGGAGAAAGCGCGGACGGCGCACGTTGTGCCGCCCACGGAACGCGCCGTGGACGAGGAGGGCCGGTGGAGATCGAGGAGCTCTTCGCCCTGCTCAACCAAGGACAAGAAGCCGGCGGCCAGGGTGAAGGTCACGGGCCCAACGGAGAAGGCGCGGTTCGCGATGGAAGTGACGCCTGCCCCGACCAGAACGTTCCAGCGATCAACGAGGTGACGTCTTCTGGCATGTTCGCGCTCGACGGACCGCCAGACGTCGCGGACGTGGAGAAGCTGCAGTTTGCCTGTGACGCTGTTGGTGAAGGTGCCGACGACGGCCGTGCGGGCCCGAGAGCGTGGGTCGGGTCCCTAGCCGGGGGGGTTCGGGGGCGTGGCGACGGTGGTTGTGAGCCATACATCCGGGTTTCGCGGGGTGAGTTTACCGATTCCTTTGAGGCGTCCTTCTTTGCCAGGACGTTCCCGACCCTGTTCCCATTTGGCGTTGGGGACCAAGGCTGGTTGAAGAGACCATGGTCGACGCGGGAAGGTCACGGCCAACTTGCGAGGCAGGGCTGTCGAGGCAGAGGCGGCCGCGGAGACCCCGTATCGTCTCGAAGCTTGAACCTTCAGGCGTGGGCCGAGATCGTGCTCCGGCGCCATGGTGGTCGATTTGCACTGCACCACATCTTCGCATTTCTCGTCTTCAACATGGGGTGCGGTCGAGGAACCGCCGGGTCAGCATGTTGAGTGTGGGAGGAAGAACTTCCGCAAGGTAGAGCGCATCGTGCGTTCGATGACCACAGAAAGGCTAGCGGCGGCGAGGGTCGAGTTGGAGAGCTCGGGTAAGACGACCGATGGTGACGTGAAGGAGCTTCTCAGGAGCCTCTCGCTTTACGGCCACCGGCAGCCCATGTCGAGAGAGGTCCGTCTCAATATGCGGCGGAAAATCCAGTCGCTCATCGTCGGATATGGCGTGCCGGGCCACTGGTTCACCATCAACCCGAACGACATTACGAACCCGGTGAAGCTGCGACTGGCGGCATACCGCACACGCGATCCCGACGCGGCCGAGGAGTTCTTAGAAGGCCTTGGGGATGCGTATAAGCGGGCACGGCTGGCGATATCGGATCCCATGAGCTCGGCCGTGTTCTTCCACCGCGAGATGAAGCTGTTCTTCGATCATTACGTGAAGGTCGGTGAAGAGTCGGTATTCGGGCGCATCGGCAAGTACTATGGCGCCGTGGAGACGAACGAACGAGGGCGCTTCATGTTCACGGCTTGCTCTGGCTGCACGGGAACGCGCATCTCAGCTCGATGCTTGCCGACATCCACGGGGAGGATCAGGCGGCGTATCGCGAGCGAATCGTCCGATACATCGATAGCGTCTTCTCAGAGGTAAGAATGCCTACCTAAGATGTGCCACCGGGAGCCTGAAGTACTCTTCTGATGGCCAAGTGGGGCCGGGTTGACGTGCAAGGCAGGATCTGGACCAGGAAAGTTTTGCGCCGTGCAAGCGGAGCGATCTGTGACGGGCGGTATTGGTTCGCTGCTGGACAACGCCGCGCAGTTCTCGGCCGCGTTTATCGAGGAGGCCAACTTCTGTGCCGGCGCGACGCAGGTGCACACGCATAGCCCGACCTGTGTGAAGTATTCCTTGGGCAAAGGAGGGCGGAAAGGGGACCTCTGCCGGTTCAAGGCGCCATGGAGGTTAGTCGACAAGACCGCCCTCACGGCAGACGGGGTGCTGCAGATCCGGAGGACACACAGCATGGTCAATCGATGGAACGAGGCTATTGCTGTCGGGCTCCGGCACAACCATGATATTTCCTTCATTGCGACGCAGCGCAAGACAATGGCCCTCATCTATTATGTCACGAACTACGCGACCAAGGTGGAGGACCCGGTGTGGAAGCGTGTGGCGGCCGCGGCCGAGCTCCTGGCCGCCTCAACAGGTGATGGCACGGCCAACGGAGGGCGGGACGGTGGCGGAGACGCTGCCACCGATGACCCTGTCAAGGGAACAGGACGCGACAGTTCCTGATGAGAGTGGCGAACCGCGTGTTCACGGAGCGTCCGCTATCACAGGTCGAGGTCGTCGCTCACCTTCTCGGATATCCGGCCGAGTTCACCGACAGCAGCGCGTGGGCGTACCTGAACTGTTCTCTGCTGTACTGGGAAGTCTTTCGGCGATGGCGGCATCTCCGAGAAGCCAGTGGCGCTGCGGCTATGGATGACACCTTGGATGAGTCGGTCGTCGTCGAAGAAGAAGGCCTGAGAATCTCCCACGTCGAGGCGTACCAGCACCGGGAGAGCTGCTGAAAGGCCTATGCCTGTATGACTACATATCGATCGTCAGACTGAAACGCATCGGCAACGACGAGAGCTGGGCGGCTTGGGGAGATGTCTTTCGAGGATGGATGGGCGCCGGGACGACGCTGGGTTCAGGTGCTCAGGCGGCCGGGCAAGCACGCTACCGTCTGCCTCGACGGCTACCTGAGCAAGGACTTCACCTACGATGACGAGTCGTGCTACCGGAGGTGTGTATGGCAACTGCTCTGTCAGCGGGCATTATCGGAGAGGCTAACCCACCCCCTGAAGGGCAGCCGTGCAGCATCTTGCGCTGTTCGTGCCGTGGGAGTCCTTCCTGGGCGAAGGAACAGGTGAGATCAACAGCATCTGGGCGCGGGCTCGAGACGCTATGGCCCCGAGAATATCATGTCTGGTCGACAACGTGCAGCTGCTTCGACGATCCGCCGAAGACGCAAAACGCGACGCCAAGCAATGGGCAGCCTCGTCCGGCGATGGCGACCCGACGGTCGCACACGTCGAGGAGGGTGGAGCAGGCGAGGCGGGCGCGGAGTCTGCAGCGACATATCAGCCCAACAGCATCGGAGACGCAACGCGGCTCATCGACGTCGTCCGAGGTGCAGTGGGAGCGAATCAGGTGACGGCCAAGTCGCCGGAGCTCATGGCAATGATACAGCAGCTCTGTCGGTTTCAGCAATCGGCGCTGCGCTCGACGGCCGAGCTCGAGGCCACGGCGCTGATCGAACGAGGGAGAGGCGGTTAAGCATGCCAGGGCGGGTATTTTCCGGGGCCGCACTACCGCCGCAGGATCAGGTCAAGGCTATCAAGTCGCAGCAGGTAAGTGCCTCGAAGGAGAGGAGAGGATGATCCAAGGGATACAAAGCACGCCCGCCGCCTGGGAAAGCGATCGCCGCGCAGCGTTGCGAAGGGTGATGACCGGTTTCGGGAGGACGAGGTCGAAATGACGATGGCCGACTCCGACGAGACCGCTATCGACGCAGGGGCGGGAATGGACGTTCAGTTTGGCCCATCAACCTCCTTCCTCGCGGCGGGCAAGGTGTTGGCAACACGGCTGACGCTGAACAAGAGGCAGTCCATCGCTTTTCTGATAATATGCCGCCAGCTCGATTTGATTCAGCAGACCGACGGGGCGATGCCTGCCAGCTGCGCCAGTTCGTCGGTGGCGAGGGCGGTACCGGCAAGTCGCGAATCATCGAGGCACTCGTCGAGCTGTTCAGTAAAAGAGCCTTTCGAATCGTCTGCTGATCACGGCGACGTCGGGGACTGCGGCGGCGCGGATCAACGGCATCACGATCCACTCCGCCTGCGGGTTCACTAAAGACCAAGGGGCGGGGCGCGAACATGGTCAAAGACCTTGACGGGTGCGGCTGCCGAAACAGGCGGAGCGGTTCATCCACGGCCAGTCTCGAATGGATTGGCAGGAGAAGGATGTGCTCGTCATCGACGAGGTGAGCATGCTCGGGGCGCGGACGCTGCACGCCGTGAACGAGCGGCTTCGCCGGCTTCGCGGATCGCGGCAAGATTTCGGGGGGATCCCCATCGTCCTCTTCTGCGGAGATTTTCAGCAGTTCCGGCCGGTCCAAGAGAGGTCGATCGTCCTGCCTAGCGCGGCCATCTCGTGGGACGTAGACAACTCGTTCAAGGCCGAGCAGCGTCACCAGCACGACAAAGCGCACGCACTGTGGAAGAGGTTCACGACGGTCGTCATGCTGGACGAGCAGATGCGCGCCGCCGGCGACCCGGAGCTGCAGAGGCTGCTGAAGCGGATCCGTCTAGGCGTGCAGGATCGGACGGATCTAAACCTCCTCAACTCAAGGTGCTACCGGGAGGAAGGCGGATCCCTTGGGAGACGGGCATCACCGTGGTGACGCCGCTCAATAGGAATCGGTGGAACCTGAACATGGAGGCGAGCCTGGCGTTCCGGGTCCAGCAGCGGTCGACGATGCGCATTTTCATCTCCGAGCACAAGTGGAAGGAGGAGCTGCCGACGGAGGAAGAGGCGATCATGATACTCAACCAGGGCGACGATAGCGCGATCCCGGTGCCGGCCGTCTTCATGTTCGTGGCCGGGATGCCCATCGTCGTGAACCACAACACCCACCAGGGGCTGAAGCTAGTGAACGGCGCGAGCTACTCGGCGGTGGAGGTCATTGTCGACAAGGCGTACCCGGGGCATCGGATCTCGGCCGATATGACGATCCACTTCGGGCCGCCGGCGGGGATCATTCTCGAATCGGAGACGACGAGATATCTCCACTTCGTCGGGATGCCGCCGGGCACGATCTTGTTGACACCCATGACCGTTAAGATACAGTGCCAGCGAAAAAGGCCGTGGCAACGCAACGACGTCAGCCGAAAGGGTTTGCCGTGCGCAGCAGCGTTCGCGTGCACGGACTACAAGGTGCAGGGCAAAACGCTGGAGCGCGTGGCCCTCGAGCTGCGAGGACACGGACGACGAAGATGGATGGAACGGTGGTGCCCTCGCAGTGCGACCCGTACGGCCTGTACGTGCAGCTATCGCGCTGCCGAACTCTAGACGGCATCATGCTCGTGTCCAAGGTGCGGGACAGAGACTTGGTGGGCAACCGGGTCCCCGAGGAGATGACTGCCGCACAGGCCAGGCTCGAGGTACTGAGCGAGAGGACCGTTGAGGAGGCGTTGCGCTGGCTGGACGGTGATGCTGAAGAGTCAAGGCGGCCGCGCTAGGTGACGCGATGAAGAGTTCGGCAGGCGGGAAGAGTCGGCAGGCGGCAGACAGGGTGGGAGGCGCCTAGTGGTGGGATAAGGCACGCGAAAAGGCAACAGAAGCCGGGGGAAGGGCAGCGACCAACGAGGAGGGAGGCAAGGAGGGACCAATCACAAGGGACCAATCAAGGGGCGGAGAACTTTTGGGGGGAGAGGGCGGGGTCTGCGGGGCACGTTAGACGAGGGGAAGGCTCGCCAGCCGCGGCTCGCGCAAAGAGGCCTTTCGGAACGAAAGTTGGCGATGGCGACAGGAGAAAGTCGGGGAGAGGAGAGAGTTGGCGACAGGAGATAGGAGACAGGGGAAGTGAGAGGAAGACAGGAAGAAGAGTGAGATATGAGATATGAGATGGAGATCCGGCGAGAGACGTAGAGCATTATCGTGAGTGAAATCGAGACAGAGCGTCAGAGAGGCAGCCTAGGCCGCTGCAAGGAGATTTTGCTTTGCAAAGGCGCAAAGGGCGTGGAGAGGCGGCAGGGGTGAAGAGAGTTGTGGGTGGGTAATGCATGTGTGGGCGAGTGGAAGGCTCTGAGGATTTACAGGTGCTATAAGTGGTGGATATAAACAGAATAAGGAGTATATTGGAGAAGTTTTGACTGGATTGTCTTTGTGAAAAGGAGAGCAAGAGGAGAAGGAAATATCCCATTAGGGCCTTTCGCACTTGAGTTTGAGGATGATGAAACATGTTCCTTGTCATGTTGTGTTGTTTCGTTCGTTGCTTTACAGAATATTCTTGGGCGGATGTCGGGCGCGGTGCGGTCGGGAAGAGATTGACGCCGGAGGTCTGATAGGGCCAGAGGCGGATGTGGCTGGGGGATTGACTGGCTCGGGGTCCGTCTCTGAGGCTCCGGGTCTTCGTGGGACAGAAGGGAGGAAGTGTCGGATTTGGCGGGGCCTCGACTATCACAGGCGGCGACTATGGTGGAAATTTCTGGAGAAAGTCGCGGTCTCTTGGTTGGGGTTTGGTCGGGATCGGGCAATGACCGCTTTGATGTCATCATAAGGATCGACTGACCTAGATGCAGGCGGCGTGGGAGGCGCCGCTTGGGGCGGCATTGCGTTTTTGGTAGAGGTAAACCTGGCCAACGCATCGCTATAGTCCGAGGGTTGCCGACTGAGCCCTTGGGTGTCGTCGGCAGTAGCTGTGTCGCAGAAGCCTGGTTGGACATGGCCCTGTCAAGGAAAGTCCATGTATCGGGGACGACGATGAAGATATAGTCTTGCTCGAAGGCCGGGGCATGTGTCATGATCTGGTGATCGAGTAAGCCGGCGATTTTGCCCGTGCAGGTGAGGAGAGCGTTCGGCTGGAACTGGCTATCGCGCCTCTCGGTCATCTTCTTGCATAGGGAGGTCCAAGGATTGGCGTGAATGGGGAAGATGACGAAAAGTTGAAAGGGATGAAAGCCCTTGAAGGGTGTTTTGCCCGGAATCCCAGGACAGATAAAGGTCGAGAGCTGGACAAAGCCGCAACAGCTCAGCTGGGTGTCGTCAAGGGCCGCAGCCGAGTTTCCATGCAGAAGGTCGCGGCCGGAACCGATGACAGGTCCCGTGAAGGAGACAATGGGTTGTATCGCTGGGAAGGCATCCGCCGAGCCGAGGGTGCGAGGGATGACTCTGTGGCCATCGTCAGAGATGGTAGTGGTGACGGAGGTCTGGAGCATACACCTACGGCTGGTAGCTGTGGTCGCGGACGATGAGAGCCGGGATGGTGTATTCTGTAATGTTGTCATCCTCCGACTCGAAGCTATCACGTCGCTCGATTTCCCACGTCAGGGCAAAGGGATGAACACGGCCGACCATAAAGAACCACTGCTCGGTCCATTCCGAGGATTATCTGTTGGTTGTATATGGAAATATTAAGGCTCAAGAAGATGCAGGTCGATGGATTGTCAGGATCTGACCGGATTGCTGCATACTCTGGAGTCGACAGCCATGAGGGCGTTGGAAGGAAGACCCTCGCTAGGGTTTCTGCGTTGAGCCCTTTGACACGATGCTCATTCTGGTAGGCGAACCTAGACGGGCAGCCGGGCTGGACAAAGGCCATCATGGACATGTCGGCGCCAGCATTTTCTGGCTGTCAAGAGGTTGCCGCGGGAGGACGAGGTATCGACGTTGAGCTGGGAGGCCGACATCGTGAGAACATGGCAGATGTGGTCACCGTGGAAGTGTAAAGGAGGGTTAGGCAGAGTAGAGGTAGGCATCCTATAAAGCAGGTTTTCTTGCTGCTCGAAAGAGGGCTCGTGGCTCGGGTCGGGGAGACTTGAGAGTCAGTGAATGCTACCTAGGTGATAGATCAGAAGCGGGGGTATGCGGGAATGAGCTGGCGAGGTTCTCGAGCAGTCTCGACCATCTGGTTCTGTGGTCGTGAGTGAAGTAGGGAGCCGGGGGTTGGAAGTTGAGTAGGGGTGATGGCTATGTTGCGAGAAGTTGGAGGTCGGCGAACGGTAAGGTTAGTGTGGGTAAGACTGCGGAGAAAGAAAGTCCAGTAGTCCCCTTCGGTGTCATCGTTGCATGGAGTAGATAGCAAAGGGGGCAATAACGAATGAGAGTGAAGGAAAGAAAGAGGTTATGGTAGTATTGCAGGACTCCCTTTTGACGGTCGTCGGTAGTTGGATGGGCATTGCGTGCGGCTGAGCGAGGCGGGTGCCGACCGTGTCGAGTCTACTATTGGGACACGGTGAAGTCGGATATATGGGTCGACCTGAGGAGGAGGATGCGAGTTGGTCACGAGAACTTTCCAAGAGGGTTTGCAAGTCGAGACTCCGGTGGCTAGCGACTACAAGAGGACAGGCAGGGGTCCTGGCTATCGCTTTAGCATTAAGGCCGTTGATGCGACATTGGTGCTGGCGAGGAGCAAATCTAGAAGGGTAGTCCGGCTGCATGAGGACGTCATGGACATGTTATCGCCGGCAGCCTTGTGGCTGTTGCTCGACGAGGCGGATTGGCGGGTATTGATGGTGAACTGATGCGCAAGGTTGGTAGGATGGTGTTGGAAGGGCTGAAGAGTATGGTTTGAAGTGTGCGGCAGGCGGTTGTCGCGGCCATCTCCATGTGCCGGAGGTCGGCAGTGGCCAGGATTCGCTGGAGTGCGCAAAAGAGAGCACGGCGATGGAAGGGTCGCTTTGGCAAAGCCGGGGTAGCAGGTCGCACGTGGAGACCAGGCGAGGCCGGGACGGTGGACGCACATAGATAGGCATGGTAACGGGAATATAGAGGGTAGTATTGCATCGCCTCGGTACCATAGGGAAGCATTTTATAGGAAGCTATAAGGGAAGAAACGCCACGGCCATGAGGAAGTGATGGCTAGGAGCTTCCCATTCGGGAGAAGTAGCGTCGTCAACAAGCGAGACTGTCCAAGTGGAGGTGCTCCGGAGCCAAAGCTTTATAGCCTGTTGCCAATTTACGGCAGTCGACGTCGAGGAGGCAGCAGCATGGCGGACAGTCCTGCAGTGAAGTTAAGCGAGGCGGTTGCTCACCCTGAAGCCTGTTCGTTGTCAGTCGGGGATGGAGAAGAGGTGAGAACGTGAGCGGGTCGGGTTCGGGGCTCGGAGATGGTGCGACAGGAGCCGGTGTAGATGTGGTGGCAGCTTCTGAGAGGGGCCGCAGAGCACGGGGGGAGAGCCTGGGACGGTTACGAAGATACGAATCACGGGCGAATGCGGCATCAACGTTCCGGCCGATTCAGCCTAGGAAACCTGTGGTTGAAGACACCGCATGGAGACAGCACGCAGAAGCAATTGCGAGGTCGTTGCCGAGAAGACCGCCGCGAGGCGGTTTGCGGTCAAACAGAGCACGGAAGTTCCATAATATGGTTAGCAGCGGAAGTTCCGCGCAACATCAGTCACCGGGTCAGCTTCCGAGGCCCCTGTTGCCTAGGGAACGTGGAGATATGGGGTAGCGGACTCTGATCGTCCGCTCCTCATCGGCACTTTCTGCCTCAGGAGGAGATCCTGAAGATGAGGAGCAACGTGTTACGGCGGCGGCGGGCGATGTCCCGAGTGTTCATTCGAAGGAGGTACCGAAGCTTCGATCCATCCAGCCTAGGGAACCGGTATTCGACAACTTAAGAGAAAACGGGCAATTAGCAGCAGCGATTGCGTCTGGTTTGCCCAAGCGCCGTCGGGGACGGAGTTGGCGGGTAAAGGAGTACCAGGCCGCAGGGGTGTCTCCAACGCAGCAGGTACGGCGCAGCATCCGGGGCCGTCTCCTGTGGGGGTGGGCGACGCCGCGGCAGAGCCAGCGGACGCTTCGCTGAGCGGGCGGAGGCTGCAGCAAAGGGAGGTGGGCGGCTCATCGCGGGTGGCGGCTGGGGAGCCCGTGCAGTTTGATCGGCAGCAAGAACGAGGAGAGTGCTGGAAAGGGCAAGGACTGAGGTCAAGGTTCGGCGTGGAAAACGTTCGCCAGCACGGCCCGGTGCCTGTCCAGTGCAAAGGGCCGGATGGCGTGTCAGGGGATGCGCACGTAGTCGGGCAGTCGTCGCCAAAGCTGCCGCATCCGACGGCTTGCGAAGAAGCGAATCAGCCACGGAGAGAAGAAATCATGGATCGGAGGCGGCCCGGAGGCGGCCCCGGAGGCGGGAGAAGAGAAAACGTCTTCCTGGTCCGGACGAGCGCCCGAGAAAACAGATTCGGAGTGGAATCGGAAGGCAGAGGAGTCGGGAGCTGCGGGCCGAAGACCTGGCGAGTGTGCTGCGTTTTTTGGAGGAAGACTTCGCCATGAAGGAGAGGCTGTCTAACGATCAGACGTGGTGTACGCCAATACCGCACGACAGGAAGGTGTCGACGGTGCGGGATTTTTATCAGGCGTTCCACGATGCGAGCACGTTGCCGATACGGACCTGCATGATGTGCTACCGCAAGCGTACGAGAAAAGAGCTGAGGAGATCAGATGGGATCAATGGCTGTCAAGCTGCGTGCCAGAGGGCGGCCGCTCACCATTTTCATGCCGGAGCTGCTTTCCCGAAGGCGAGCCCGTGTCGGTGTGTGCGGAGTGTGCCCGATGCCTGGCGCGCGGGAGTCTGTCGCCGGCGGTCCATCTTCACACTCGCCTTGGCTGTGAGCACATGTTCCTGACGAGCTCAAGGGACTCACGCTGGTCGAAGAGAAGCTCGTCTCGCTCAACTCCTGCTATGGGTTTGTCACGAGATATAGCATTCCGGGCGGGCAGAGGCAGGCCGTGAGGTATCCGAGGCACGTCAAGGGCCACATCACAGTGTTTCCAACAACGTGCAGGAGCTGGCGACCAAGGTGCTCCCGCACCCCCTTTTGCAAGCACTGGACGAGATCCACGTTTCGTGGCAGGGCGTGGAGAAGCCGGCACCGAGCGACCTGTCGAGTCTCTTGTCGGTGAGGCGGCGGGTCGTCGAGAGGGCTCTTGTTTGGCTGAAGAGGAGCAACCCCCACTACGCCGAGATCGAGATCGACGTGGCGGAGATGGAGAGTTGGGGAGACCCGATAGACGGGGTGCCGGCCTTGGTGTATGATCGCATGGAGCGGAACGAGCCGTCCGCATGGGAGAAAACGCGGACGGCGCACGTTGTGCCGCCCACGGAGCGCGCCATGGACGACGAGGGGTCGGTGGAGATCGAGGAACTCTTCGCTCTGCTCAACCAAAGGCAGGAAACGGGAGGCGAGGCTGAAGGGCACGGGCCCAACGAAGAAGGCGCGGGTCGTGATGGAGTTGGTGCTAGCCCCGATCAGAACGTTCGACCAATCAACGAGGTGACGTCTTCCGGCATGTTTGGGCTGGACGGACCGCCAGACGTGGCGGATGTCGAGAAGCTGCGGTTTGCCTGTGACGCTGTTGGCGCAGGTGCCGACGACGGCCGCGCGGGCCCGAGAACGTGGGTCGGATCCTCGGTGGGGTCGAGGGCGTGGCGACGATGGCAGTGAGCCATACATTCGAGTCTCGCGGGGGGATGAGTTTGCCGACTCCTTTGAGACGTCCTTCTTCGCCAGAACGTTCCCGACCCTGTTCCCATTTGGCGTTGGGGGACCAAGGCTGGCCGAAGAGGCCATAGCCGAGGCGGGAAGGCCCTTACCAACTTGCGAGGCACCGGTAGAGCTGCTGAGGCAGGGGCGGCAGCGGGAGACATCGTATCCTCCCGAAGCTTGAACCTCCGGATTTGGGCCGACATCGTGCTCCGGCGCCATGGTGGCCGGTTTGCGTTGCACCACATATTTGCATTTCTCGTCTTCAACATGGGGGTGCGGTCGAGGAACCGCCGCGTCAGCATGCTGAGTGTGGCGAGGAAGGACTTCGGCAAGGTCGAGCGCGTTGCCCGCTCGATGACCGCGCAAAGGTTAGCGGCGGCGAGGGTCGAGTTGGAGAGCTCGGGCAAGACGACCGATGAGGGCGTGAAGGAGCTTCTCAGGAGCCTCTCGCTGTACGGCCACCGGCAACCCATGTCGAGAGGTTCGGCTCAATATGCGGCGGAAAATCCAGTCGCTCATCGTTGGCTACGGCGTTCCGGCCATCTGGTTCACCATCAACCCAAACGACATTACGAACCCGGTGAAGCTGCGACTGGCGGCATATCGGACACGCGATCCCGGCGCGGCCGAGGAGTTCCTAGAAGGCCTTGGGAGTGCGTACAAGCGGACAAGGCTGGCCATGTCCGATCCGATGAGCGCCGCCGTATTCTTCCACCGGGAGATGAAGCTGTTCTTCGATCATTACGTGAAGGTCGGAGAAGAGTCGGTATTCGGGCGCATCGGCAAGTACTATGGCGCTGTGGAGACCAACGAACGAGGGCGCTTCATGTTCACGGCTTGCTCTGGTTGCACGGAAACGCGCATCTCAGCTCGATGCTTGCCGACATCCACGGGGAGGATCAGGCGGCGTATCGCGAGCGAATCATACGATACGTCGATAGTGTCTTCTCCGAGGTAAGAATAGCTAAGACGTGTCACTGAGAACCTGAATTGCTCGTCCGATGGACAAACGGGGCCAGGCTGACGTGCAAGATAGGATCTGGATCAGGAAGGGTTCTGCGCCGTGCAAGCGGAGCGATCTGTGACGTCCGATATTTCCTCCCTGCTGGACAACACCGAGCAGTTTTCGGCCGCATTTGACGAGGAGGCCAACTTCTGTGCCGGCGCTACACAGGTTCACACGCATAGCCCGACCTGTGTCAAGTATTCCTTGGGCAAAGGAGCGCGGAAAGGAATCCATGCCGGTTTAAGTCTCCATGGAGGTTGGTCGACAAGACCGCCATCACGGCAGACGGGGTGTTGCAGATCCGGAGGACTCACAGCATGGTCAATCGATGGAACAAGGCTATCGCTGTTGGGCTCCGGCACAACCACGACATTTCCTTCATTGCGACGCAGCGCAAGACCATGGCCCTTATGTATTATGTCACGAACTACGCGACGAAGGTGGAGGACCCGGTGTGGAAGCGTGTGGCGGCCGCGGCCGATCTCCTGGCCGCCTCAACGGGTGACGGCACGGCCAACGGAGGACAGGACGACGGTGGAGGTGCTGTTGGCGATGACGCCGCCAAGGGAACAGGACGCGACAGTTCTTGATGAGGGTGGCGAATCGTGTGTTCACGGAGCGTCCGCTATCTCAGGTCGAGGTCGTCGCTCATCTTCTTGGATATCCGGCCGAGTTCACCAACAGCAGCGCCTGGGCGTACCTGAACACATCTCTGCTGTACTGGGAAGTCTTTCGACGGTGGCCGTATCTCCGACGAGCAAGTGGCGCGGCGGCCATAGATGATACTCTGGATGAGTCGGTCGTTGTCGAAGAAGCAGGCCTGAGGATCTCCCACGTTGAGGCGTACCAGCACCGGGAGAGCTCCTGCGAGGGCTATGCTTATACGACTACATATCGCTCGTTAGACTAAAACGCACCAGTAAGGATGAGAGCTGTGCGGCCTGGGGAGGTGCCCTTCGAGGATGGATGGGCGCCAGGAGACGCTGGGTCCAGGTGCTCAGGCGGCCGGGCAAGCATGCTACCGTCTGCCTCGATGGCTACCTGAGCAAGGACTTCGGCCACAACGACGACGAGGAGTCGTGCCACCGGAGGTGTGTATAGCAACCGCCCTGCCGGCAGGCATCATCAGAGTGGCTAACCTCCCCTCCCCTTAAAGGGCAGCCGTGCAGCATCTTGCGCTATTTGTGCCGTGGGAGTCCTTTCTGTGCGAAGAAACAGGTGAGATCAATAGCATCTGGGAGCGGGCGCGAGAGGCGCTGGCCCCGAGAATATCATGTCTCGTCGACAACGTGCAGCTGCTTCGACGATCAGCCGAAGACGCAAAGCGCGACGCCAAGCAATGGGCGGCCTCATCCGGCGATGGCGATTCCACGGTCGCCCACGTCGAGGAGGGCGAGACAGGCGAGGCGGGCGCAGAATTTGCAGCGACGTATCGGTCCAACAACATCGGAGACGCAACGCGCCTGATCGACGTCGTCCGAGGCGCAGTGGGCACGAATCAGGTGACGGCCAAGTCGCCGGAGCTCATGGCAATGATGCGGCAGCTCTGTCGATTCCAGCAATCGGCGCTCTGCTCAACGGCCGAGCTCGAGGCCATCGCGATTCCCGAACAAGGGTTGAGGTGCATAAGCATGCCAGGGCGGGTATTTTCCGGGGCCGCACTACCGCCGCAGGATCAGGTCAAGGCTATCAAGTCGCAGCAGATAAGTGCGTCGAGGAAAGGAGAGAATGATCCAAGGCGTACAAACCACAGTCGCAGTCCGGGAAAGCGATCGCCGAGCTGCGTTGCGGAGGGTGATGACCGGCTTCGGGGAGGACGACGTCGAAATGACGACAGCCGACTCCGACGAGACGGCTAGCGACGCAGAAGCGGGAATGCGCGTCCAGTTTGGCCCATCGACCTCCTTCTTCGCGGCGGGCAAGGAGTTGTCAACACGGCTAACGCTGAACAAGAGGCAGTCGATCGCTTTCCTAATAATATGCCGCCAGCTCGATTTGATGCGACAAACGAATAGGGGCGATGCCGGCCAGCTCTGCCAGCTCGTCGGCGGCGAGGGGGGCACCGGCAAGTCGCGGATCATTGGGGCACTCGTCGAGCTGTTCAGTGGGAAGAGCCTTTCGAATCGTCTGCTGATCACGGCGACGTCAGGGACTGCCGCGGCGCAGATCAACGGCATCACGATCCACTCCGCCTGCGGGTTCACTAAAGACCAAGGGGCGGGCGGCGCGAACACAGCCAAGGACCTTGACGGGGTGCGGCTGACAAAACGGGCGGAGCGGTTCATCCACGGCCAGTCTCGGATGGACTGGCAGGAGAAGGACGTGCTTGTCATCGACGAGGTGAGCATGCTCGGAGCGCGGACGCTGCACGCCATAAACGAGCGACTCTGTCGGCTTCGCGGATCGCAGAAAGATTTCGGGGATCCCCATCGTCCTCTTCTGCGGAGACTTTCAGCAGTTCCGGCCGGTCCAAGAGAGGTCGATCGTCCTGCCGAGCGCGGCCATCTCGTGGGACGTAGACAACTCGTTCAAGGCCGAGCAGCGGCACCAGCACGACAAAGCGCACGCGCTGTGGAAGAGATTCACGACGGTCGTCATGTTGAACGAGCAAATGCGCGCCGCCGGGGATCCGGAATTGCAGGGGCTGCTGAAGCGGATCCGGCAGGGTGTGCAGGACCGCACGGATCTGGACCTCCTCAACTCAAGGTGCTACCGCGAGGGCAGGCGGATCCATTGGGAGACTGGCATCACCGTGGTGACGCCGCTGAACAGGAATCGGTGGAACCTAAACATGGAGGCAAGCTTGGCGTTCCGGGTCCAGCAGCGGTCGACGATGCGCATCTTCATCTCCGAGCACAAGTGGAAGGAGGGCCTGCCGACCGAGGAAGAAGCGATCATGATACTCAATCAAGGCGACGATAGCGCGATCCCCGTGCCGGCCGTCTTCATGTTCGTGGCCGGGATGCCGGTCGTCGTGAACCACAACACCCATCAGGGGCTGAAGCTGGTGAACGGCGCCGGCTACTCGGCGGTGGAGGTCATTGTCGACAAGGCGTCCCCAGGGCATCGAATCTCGTCCGACATGACGATCCACTTCGGGCCGCCGGCGGGGATATTACTGGAATCGGCGACGACAAAGGACCTCCACTTCGTCGGGATGCCGCCGGGCACGATCTTGTTAACGCCGATGAGCGTCAGGATACACTGCCAACGAAAGCGGCCGTGGCAGCAGAACGACGTCAGCCGGAAGGGATTGCCGTGCGCAGCAGCCTTCGCCTGCACGGACTACAAGGTGCAGGGCAGAACGCTAGAGCGCGTGGCCCTGGAGCTGCGGGGGACACGGACGACGAAAGTCGATGGAAGGGCCGTGCCCTCGCAATGCGACCCGTACAGCTTATATGTGCAGCTATCGCGCTGTCGAACGCTAGACGGCATCACGCTCGTGTCCAAGGTGCGGAGAGAGACTTGGTGGGCAACCGAGTCCCCGAAGAGATGACCGCCGCGCAGGCCAGGCTGGAGGTGCTAAGCGAGAGGACTGTCGAGGAAGCTTTGCGTCGGTCGGATGGCGACGCTGAAGAGTCAAGGAGAGTTGTCAGGGTGAGGTGACGAGGGGAGAAGACGGAGGAGCGCCGGCGGGCAAGAAGACAAGGGCACTGGGCAGCAGCGATCAACGAGGGGACTTTTAGACTTGAAGGAAGAACCCGCTAGAAAGGCATGAACGAAAAGGGCAAAGACAAAAGACGCAAGTTTTAGACACAATAAGAAAACCGGCGGACGAAAGGAAAAAGGTTGGCATTGGCATTGGCATTGGCAAGGGTAAACAGGAGTATAAACGGGGAAACAGGGCAAGGCATGAGAGGGCAAGAGAAGGCGGCAGCGACCAATGATGAGGGAGGGACGGAAGGGTCGGCGACCAATCACACGGGATCTTTTATTCCGAAAGAGGAAATAAATCAGCCAATCAGAGGCGGAGGATGTGGGGGTGAAGCAGTCTGGGGCCTTTTTTCCCCGCGCGCTAATGAAGTCCTTTCGTTCCTCACACAAGGCACGTTCCTCAAGGCAAGGCCTTTCGTTCCTCAAGGCACACGTTAGAAGGCCTTTCGTTCCTCAAGGCATTCGTTCCTCAAGGCATAGGGAGGCACGTGACCGAACCCAGGTTGGTGCCGTGACACTGACACCGCCCAATCCTGCTCCTAACGGACCGCATTCGTCCCCGTTCCGCACACCAGTCACCTTGCGACGTCCGCGCCGCACACCAGGGCGCTCACGACAAAGCCGTACACGGCGGCATGCGCGTCTGTCGGCTCCGGGCCGCCGAGGACCCAGAACGGCTCGCCGGCTCCGTCGGCCGAGCGCTTCGACTCAGCCAGCAGGGCGTCGTCGCTCTCCCACACCTCCGTCTTGAGCTCGAGCACCTCGTCGTCTTCCAAGCGACCCGGGCCCTTCCCGTAGATCCCCCTCTCGACGGCCCGATACGCGAACCAGCCGAAGACCTGCAGCGGCCAGGGAAGCGCGCCCATGGCGTGAAGGCGCATAGCGGCGTAGTTGTCGCGCCACTTCTCGCGGGAGCGGGGGACGGTGATGGGTGGTTCCTACAGACTAGGAGTCGGCGAGGCGACCCTTGACGAATCCAACAACAACCGCCTTGCATTTAGCTTCCCGCCTATAAACCCCCTGAAAACGTCACCATCCCCTCTCATACAGTGTATACTAGCTTCTTGCCGCTGACTTTATTCTCCTCCAGGGCCTTTAGGCCGTCCAACACCTTGTCCAGCCCGGGTTCGACATGCGGTGGGCGGACATTGAGCTTCTTCTTCTCGAGCAGCTCTCGAGTAATATCCCAAAACCTTGCGGCAAACTTCAAGTCCTCCGGCTTGGCCGCCATCTGCAGGTTGCCAAACTTAAAGTCCTCGCCCAGGGCGGTGTACGCCAAGGTAGACGAAACCTCGACGCCGCTGCGCGGGAACTTGCCGGGGAGGAGGGACGCGTACTTTAGGCCGGGCTCGGACGATGCAAGCGAGTCGGCACAGATCTGGGCCGAGGCAGGGACGGAGATGGTGTCCCACGCAAGGGTCAGCTTGTCGCCGGTGTATGCGCGTATCTTGTTTGCGCAATCGGCGTCGTTGTAGTCGAATGCCGCGTCGGCCCCGAGGGCCTTGACCTGGTCCATGTTGTGCGACGAGCAGGTTGTGACGACGGTGTAGCCCGACAGCTTGGCAAACTGGATACCGAGCGTGCCAGTGGCCGTGCTTCCGCCGTAGATCAAGACGTGCACGGGCTTATGGATGGGCGCTGTCGGCAACGCTAGGCCCAGCGTCTGGTACAGGCCCTGGCCGACGGTGGTGATGCCGACGCCGAGGGTGGCGGCCTCGTTGATGTCCATGGCGGCGGGCACCTTGATCTGCACGTCTGCCTTGACTACAATGTACTCGGCAAAGGCGCCGTCCTCGGGTTGCACGTCGTTGGACCCGTGCACCACGCCGCAGACGCGGTCGCCCGGCTTGAAGCCCTTTGTGACCTTGGGGCCGACCTCCTCGACGACGCCGGCGTAGTCGCAGCCGACCACGGGGCCCGCCTCGGCGACGAGCGACTTGATGTGCTTCCAGTCAGTCGGGTTTAGCGCCACAGCCTTGGTCTTGACGAGCATGTAGCCGTCGCGGAGCTTGGGGATGGGGCGGTCGTCGACGAGCTTGGCCCACCCGGACCCTTGCGCGACGATTGCACGCTGGCTGGTTTTGGCGACCATTTCTTTGAATGGGGAGAAGAGACGGGTTTGTTGTATACCGCGGCGAGGCCAGGTGTGCGAGGATTGAGGCTGGGGCGAGCGAGTACGGGTGGCTTCACTCGTTCATATCACTGAAGCTGGATCTGCCATTCGAGTTTGTCAGCAGCTCGATTCTCCCTCTTGCCACTTTGGGGATGGCCAAGCAGCGTCATCGGGCCGGCGGTTGGTGGTGGGACTGAGTCGTTCCACGAATGCATTCGTACAGCAGGCATTGAAACCTTGTCCGTCCCAGCCCATCCGACGCGCCTCTAGCCGCCCAACTTCACCCGGCCCGTGACACAGCCACTTCGGATCCATCGGAGACTACCGTAGAAATTCAGCAAATTCGTTCGAATTTTAGCGCCCCGGCCCGGGGGGGGAGAGGGGGGCCCACAGGTCTCAGCCCCATCAAATTTGTATCCCTTTGAGTGTGGAGGAGGAGCAAAGGGGTCACAGGCCCCACAGTACATAGCTACATGTCAGATACAAATTCAGGGGCTAGCAGCATCAGCAAAACCTTCAACAGTCAATTTTCTTAGCAATGCATTCAAATTAAGCTCTATGGCTTCGCAACAAGATCTACAAGCGTCGCAAGAGGCTATTCTACCTACAAATAACTTTCAACAGACCCTCTTTGTGCGGCTTGACCACTGTCAGCGTGAGCAGCCTATTGACAGCACAGTCCGCCCCCAATTCGACCCTGAGCCTAAAAGGGGCCACGAATTTACCCCCTTTTCTGTGCCCGAGCGCAAGCCTCTGTCGAGAAGAAGGTCCGAACGAGTTGACGTCTCTAGGTCTCTCTAGGTAATACAGCTTGAAACCAGGTAAGAAGGGAAGTCTGCAGACTGTTCTTTCTTCTTCCTGGACCACTGAGGGGTCCAGAGGATCTCCTATTCGAACGGGGACCCTTTGAGGAGTCCGGCATAGCTATTACTGGCTCGGGGACCTCGAGAGACTGAACTATCGATCTCATAGCTAGCAGAGCTATTCGATCGGGGAGATGGAGCTGATGTTGCTGACGTAGATGACTTACGTGGCCTTCAGTAAGTGGCAAGAAGTGCCCTCTTCCTGATAGAATGTATACTATACCCGAAAACGGGATATCAACTTGGGAGAAGCTTGGAGGGATATAAAAGGGGCTGTTTGGACGGGAAAGGAGGCAACGGGCAAGAGAGCGAAAAACACAATATCTGATCGTACGATACTCGACCTTCAAAAAGTCCCTTTATCCACGTTTATGCCCACTTTTGCTCTCTCCTTCGCGAGAACCTGAGGGGAGGGGCCTAGCTAGCATTATGCATCTGCCGCATGCCTCCTTTTCCCTCGTGCCTGCTTTCCACAATTTTGGTACGGGCTGTAAGTGTTCGCAAACTTATGGACCCCCTCTATACTTCGTATTGGGTATCGACATTTCATCGGTTTATAAAAGCCTAGACTTCTCCCGTGCTTTTGTTGGCTCATCCAGGCACTCACTCATCCGTCTTGCTTGCCAGCCACTACCAGCCCTTGCCTATCCGCACCAAGACATCTCTTTTTCCAAAAAGTTCTCTTTTGGACTCTAAAGCAACTATGAAGTACGCCATCATCTTCGCAAGCTTTGCCGCTGTGGCCTTTGCCTTGCCTCAGGGTGGCCCTAACACCGGCCAGAAGCTCCCTTGGACGGCGGGTAGCAATTTTCGTGCTGACTGCGGCTGGTGGGGTTGGGACGAAAAGGGGTGCGGCACCGAGAAGTACTGCGATGCTATTGATGAACAAGCCCCCAACTTGTCGGATTTTGACAACGGCAAGCCTCGTTACAAGAGCACCAAGGAGTGTTTTGATGCCCATGACCCTGCGCCTTGGACGGAGGGTAGCAATTTTAGTGCTGACTGCGGCTGGTGGGGTTGGGACGAAAAGGGGTGCGGCACCAAGAAGTACTGCGATGCTATTGATGAACAAGCCCCCAACTTGTCGGGTTTTGACAACGGCAAGCCTCGCTACAAGAGCACCAAGGAGTGCTTTGATGCCCATCAGCCTGATCCCAGCCTCCGTGACAGGACCCGCAAATAATAGTCTAATAGATGGTTGAGACCCCGAGGTCGAAGATTCGGGGATAAAGGGGAGGGTAGGGTGGTTTGTTCGGTGGAGAGAGTAGACCCTGGGCTGAATAAGGAAACGAGAGGAACAGGAGCATTTTTGAACAATACATACCTGTTGGCTAAGGCTAGGTGCGGAGCACCTAGGCGTGCGCACTTAGTTGGGCGGAAAAGGTGCATACACGCGGAAAACCTACATACACTCGAACACGGCCCCGCTACCGTAGAGACCGCGTTTTAGCGTGATTTCTCACCAAAACACGAGAAAACTCTCGCGAAGGAGAGAGCAAAAGTGGGCATAAACGTGGATAAAGGGACTTTTTGAAGGTCGAGTATCATACGATCAGATGTTGTGTTAATCCCTCTCTCCCCGGTTGCCTCCTTTCCCGTCCAAACAGCCCCTTTTATATCCCTCCGAGCTTCTCCCAAGTTGATATCCCGTTTTCAGGTATAGTATACATTCTATCAGGAAGAGGGCACTTCTTACCAGGGCTCCTAATAGTGCAAGTAGTGCGTGTGAACACCCCAAACGGCCCCTTCTGTGCGTGTGACGCCACTGGACCAAACTGCCAGTGCACTCGGCCAGGGCGCACTGAACTGGCAGTGCAAGCCCACATGGTCAAACCAAACTGGCAGTGCAGACCAGATGGCCAAACCAAACTGTCCGTCCGTTCGTCAGCGACAAACTGCACTGCACTGCGAACTGCAGTTTACACTATCAGTGCGATATATAAAATACAGGCTTGGCGCACACGATTGAAGTCAAGACGTTATTTCCGCCTTAGGCCGCCCATGTGCCCATGAATCCTCATTGCTTCAAATGCATCACGTTCTACCAAGCCGATGCTGACTTTCGTCCTCGAGACCTGAATCTTAGGCTTCAGAGCTGACGCGTTCGATGGTGTCGTGGCTGCCGTCCATGTATCGACACTTGAAATGCACTCGTAAGAAGCTGGTCTCCATTTCGTTGGTTGGGAACTTACCTCTGTCGGAAGTATCAGTGCGCTATTATCCCAAGACCTGAGGCATTCCAGAAGATTGAGTGTTTCGACGTTGATAGAACCTCGCTGATCGGTCACTGATAACTTAGCCTTAGAGAAGAGTCGCTCCGTTTCCGCCGACATCGGCGCGATTGACAGAATGTCTATAGCCATCAAGGATAGGCCGGGAAATCGTCGCCGCTGCGCTGGATCCAGCCACCATTTGAGCGGATCCGATACCATGATTACAGGTTCGCGACAGTACACATCATACTCGTCATCATCCATGCTGAAAATCGTAGCCTTCTGCTCTTTCATCCATATTTTGTATCCGTTTGGCCGTTTTGCATCTGGTCTTTGTTCAGGAATTGGTCTGGTAATGCAGCACTGCGAGGCCGGTTTGTATTCCTCTCTCCACAACTGCCCAACGCGAGCCTTCGCTCTTTCAATCCACTCTTGCCTGTCTTCCCAGGTCTTTTCCATGTATGTCCACTTGAGAGAAGGATTCAAGACTGTCGCGGCCGAATAGACAGGTGAATCTTCTGTGAGCTCGTAGTAGTCGGCTAATTTTGCCCATGCTGTCTCCATCATCGTGGCTAGGAGGTATATCGGTCGTATTTCTGGCTGCTTCGATATGGTGCAAAAGGTAGTCCATGGTAGGTAGGACATCGGAAATGGACTTTTTCCAGCTTTCGTTGGCAATAGTAGCGTCGTGAAAGGGCTCGAGGAATTTATGGATCTCAGCCAAAACAATCCAATCGCACGGGTGCAAGGCATCTTCTTGCAGCGCAGGCTCCTCGGAGCAGAACACAGTAATGGCTTGACGAATTTTTGGTCTGAGAACCCATTCGACCATGTTGTACCACGAGTTCCAACGGGTGTCGTTATCCCGCCGAAGCCGCAGACCATCACTGAGACCTGTGAACTTTGGAGCCGTTGAGGAGTCCATGTGATGAAGACAACGATGTTATGTACTTTCCTATCGCCCTCGTGTCCGCCACTGTTCGATCTCATCTTCGGATGGGCCGTGATAGGACTCGATCGTGCGCGGACGCTTATCTATGAGGAATTCCATCACCGCCAGATTGATGATGTGGCCGAAACAGCGAAGTCGATGCTGGAGGGGGTCGTAGAAAACGTCGAACTCACGTTCCAGGTCGTCGCTGACTTTGTCGATCATTGTGTTCATATTGGATGCGTTATCCATCATGAAGTAACCAATCTTGGAGGCTATTCCATACTCTCGCACAAACTCCATGATGGCTTCCGCCATATTCTCACCACTGTGCTGTCCTTGAAGTTCTTTGATCCTGACCACCAAGGACAGCAGACCATGATCCTCGGTGACGAACTGAACCGTGAATCCTATCACGCCCAAATGATTCGGCGATGTCCAGTTGTCTGGAACAATGTGTATCGACGAGAGCATTTTGTAGTGCACGTCTGACAAACTCCCGTTTGCCATCGTAGCCTCTTTGCAAATCGCTTCTAATGGTATCCCCAGATGTCGGAAGAAGATCATTCGCAGCCGGACAAATGTACTGTATCAAGTCGCGAAAAGCTGGCTGCTCAACATGAGTGAATGGCAGACTGCAGGCTACAACGTAGCGACAGTAAAGCTCGCGAAACATGGGCTGGTCAAGGGCATTTTCAGCCACTGTCGCCTTGCGTTTCTTGGAAACCTGGGCCTCATCGGCCAAAAATGCGGTGATGTCACCAAGTCGAGTTTGCGTCACTTCTCGCCTGTTTTCTTGTCTTCCGGGAAGCATGATTCGGTGCTCCTTGCGCAAGTGGTTGACAATGGCGGATGAACCGCCAGAGTAATTGTACTTTTTGGCTCTTTTCTTATTCCAGCAGGGTTGACAGTGCCACCATTTCGTCCCGTTTGCGTCGGTCCAAGCTGCCGCATAATTTTTCCCTTCCTCTTCGGCAAAATTGCCAAACGGGCGAAATATGCTGGCGGCAACTGTTCAGTGGGGACAAAGTGGACGGTGTTGGCGATGATGAGGCGGCAGTGTCACTTGCGCAGTCGGCCGCATCCGCCTGAGTGAAGTTGTCCATGATGTCGCGAACTTGGAGGCGGTCAGATACTGAAGAAACGTCTTGGGCGTGTCGAAGTCGGCAATCTTGGTACGGGAACGACCGCAACTACGGAACAGGGAGTCATTGCCGTAGAAATTGGGACACTGCAAAGCGCGACGAGGCCCTGATAAAATAGTCTGGCGCGTCACGGCGCGATTCATACGCATGCAAGCGTGAATTCGGTTCAGTAAAGCGCTCAAGAGACTGCAGCTCTTTGTTCCGGCTCGCTATTGGTCAAGTTGGTCAGATTAAGGCCAAAATCGGGCGTCCCAGAATGAGCTTGACGTCCAATCACATCCCTCAAGGTTGATGATTGGAAGCCGGTGGCTTGCTTCATCAAGACTAGTCGAGCGGTAAAGTTCAGTGATCGTGAAGCGGTCTGGCGATTGGAGAGCGCAATAAATATTGCACATCTGATCTGCTTTTACCCTGTCGCGTCTGTTTCGTGTTTGTCGGCGGGGGGCAAGGTGAACTGAGGAAAGGCTTCAACGTCAAGTTCTGCCTAGCAGAGAGTATGGGAAGTGTGACCAGATGCTACCCTACAGACATGAGATGAAAGCTACGCAGAGGCTCGTTCTGCCCTGGCAACACTTTGATATCTCGTAAGAGCTAGATGGTTTGTAAAATTGAGCAAGAACGCATCCCGCCGTTTAATCAGCGATTGACTCGTTGTAAGTAGGCCAGGAATTACGTTAATGGTCAAACGTCCAAGTTTAGCTCTATCACACAAGTCACACTCGTCACACTGATGGTGACACTGATAGTGCGCGACGCTCGCACTGAACTATGGGGCAGTTTGACGGGAGCCGCACTGAACCAGCAGTGTGGCGGGGGAAGCCTCACTGAACCAGCAGTGTGGAGGGGGAGGCCTCACTGGACCAGCAGTGCGTTGCCAAACGGTTACACTGCACTGGCAAGTGCAAACTGCAGTGTGCACTAATAGTGCGCTAAACGGTCTGCACTATTAGGAGCGCTGCTTCTTACCACTTACTGAAGGCCACGTAAGTCATCTACGTCGGCAACATCAGCTCCATCTCCCCGATCGAATAGCTCTGCTAGCTATGAGATCGATAGTTCAGTCTCTCGAGGTCCCCGAGCCAGTAATAGCTATGCCGGACTCCTCAAAGGGTCCCCGTTCGAATAGGAGATCCTCCGGATCCCTCAGTGGTCCAGGAAGAAGAAATAACAGTCTGCAGACTTCCCTTCTTACCTGGTTTCAAGCTGTATTACCTAGAGAGACCTAGAGACGTCAACTCGTTCGGACCTTCTTCTCGACATAACTCCTAACTGTTTAACGACCCTGGTTGTCGCATTCAGGATGCGTACAATGAAATGCGCGGTTGATAAGCGATGTCATCGAACTTTCTAGATAACATTACAAAAGCACCCTGGGTGGCAAGTGGCAATTCGCCACCGCAAGGCAGTCATATTCCCTCAGGACTATAAGGAGACAGAACTTCTCACATTCATTTTAGATAGACGACAATGAACAAGATTGACTCTTACCTTCCATTTTTTTATCCCTCCGAGACTGGTGTCTCTCTCAGACCAGTCACTTACGATTTTATCTCTTTTCGTTACGACGATATCCTTCGGGGACTCGCTCGCTCTCGGCTGCAGCTTTGCAGGTGTCTCAAATATGGAAAGCGGACTTAACGTATCATGGCATCTTTGCAAGCTTTTATCGCATAAGTTATGCGATACGCGATATCGATCCTCGCGATACGATATTATCCGATAGCCTTGAAAACTTGCGATATCGTGGATCGCGTATCAGAAACAACCCTGGACACGGGGGTCGATTTGCTACGCATCCAGTCTTTTGTTTCCTGGTCTTCAACATCCTCCTCCGATCCACAAACCGCCGTATCAGCATGGTCCGTATGGCAAGGGGCTCCTTCCACAGACTAGAGCGAGTTTATGGACGGCTGAAAGCGGACCGCCTAAAAAGAGCCGTGGAGGAGATGCGAGAGACAAGGACCACGACAGATCCGGACATGTCGTTCTTACAATTGTTATTGAGCAATAGGTAGACAATACATCGGAGCCGCAAGGAAATGATGATATACTTGCATATATATGTATTTGTTTCTAAAGCTGTTTCTTTTCGAAGCGCGCTGGCACCGATGAGCATCGGCATGCGCACTCTACCGCCTTCCAATATTATCGTCCTCTCGAGGATCGGCGCTCAGCAAGCCCTCCCGTGACGGTCACGGACTGAGCCAAAAGCCTGTGGACTCTATTACGAAGATTCTGCTCTGAAGAAGAAAAAGGAGAACAGAACAATACAGCTGGGTGTCCTCTCCCTAAATATGTCTTCCGTAGGTGTGAGCCGTGGCTGAACAAACATGTGGGTCATGTCTGCAAACGGGGTGCGACGGTGCTCAATGTGGGGGTCAAGTCCGTCACAGGGGGTAGCGGAAGCAAGAACCTTTCGTCTCTTTAGTTTCCTGACTTGCCTTAGAGCATAACGCCAAAGCCTTTTATAACAACGGCATCGTAATCGTATTCTCCCAGTCGATGTTATCATCCCGGCACTCAATGCGGTCCTTGCAAGTACCGAAGATGCGGTCCCATAGACGAGTTTGCTTGCCGTAGTTGCCGCTGCTCTTCCAACCTTTGCGGTGGTGCAGGTCGTGATCCTCGATAATCAGCTCGCAGTTGAACCAGCACAACAACGGGTTAAGTGTGTTCGGGATGGGGAGATAAAGACGGAGGCCGCTATGCCCGACCAACTCGGCGAAGACGAGGTACTGATGGCAGACCCACCACTCGTAGTAGCCCATAGGTAGACCCATCGCCTTAAGTGAAAAGTAACCGAGGAGTGGGATGCCGAGAGTATCGAAAACTCTTGCTCAGTATCGGCGTATAACGTTAACAGCGGGTTGGGGTGCTTGGTAAGGTGGTGGGTGCGGTGGTACTTCCAGAGGCTGGCGACCTCGTGCATCAAGCGGTGGTACGAGTAGAACCAGAAGTCGAGAACGATGCCGTAGAGGCCGGCCTCAAGTGGCAGCCAGAGCCAGCCCATATCCGCGGGTACTTGGCTGACGTAGTAGCTAAGGAAGACGGTACAGATGACTCTGAACGTGGAGCCCAAGACGAGCGAGTAGAAGACCTTGCGGACCCCGACATCGGGCACCCGTCACGCTCATGGACGTCGCCATCGAGGAAACCGGTCTGATGGCTGATGCGACGTAGAATGTAGAACTCGTGGATGCTGATGATCTGGAGGGCAGCGCTATAGAAGAAGGCCGCTTGCCACGCGGTGAAGTTGCGGCCTGTCCAGGTGACGTACAGGTGCTGGAGGATGATGGGAACAAAGGCGTGCAAGATGATCCAACGGTGCAGAGACCACTCGTGCATATGGGGAACCTTTTCCTCCTTCTGGTGCACCGGGATTTCATTGTCGAGGTAGGTAGGATGCACGCCTACAATTTCGAAGAGCCAGTGGTAGATTGTCCACTCTGAGCGGTTCTGGCGACGCCATGTAGACTTCATGAAGTCCTTTGAGTTGGCCTGCGCCTGCGTCGTGGGCGTACCTGAGCGGGCATGTTGCCTGGGTTGTGGTGATTGTTGCCCTGGGAGTGCCTTGGCTGTGTGTACGGTAAACATGGAAGCAGCGGAAGTTGTGTGTTGTTGGATACCGCTTGCAAGTCTGAAGAATTACCCCAGGCAGAAGGGGAGAACCGTTTGCTCGGGGGGGAGTGTCATGTGGTATCACCCGCACTAACGTGTGTTGATTAAACTGCTACGCTGGTACTCACGAGGGATAGGGGCTGCACAAGAAGGGATAAAGATGCATGATCTAGCTAGAAAGGTGCCGCCTTTGGGCCATTATGCAGTAGTCAGGGCGACAATCTTAATAGGGCTAATGATATCCCGTGTGACACTATACTCTTTGGGAGCAGTTATCCATCCACCACTTTCTACTATCCATCCACCAAGGTGGGGCGATGAGAGTCCTGGCCGCTCTAATTGGCTAATCCGCGCGATCTACTCTAAGTACTCTATACCTACGAGGCATCACTCACGTTCGCTCGGGGCAAAACCCGAGCTGCTCAGTAAATTTAGAGGCATTTTCTGCTGGCCTGCGGCGCTTATAAGCATTGCCAATCCGGCACAGCAGGCTGTTGTGCCGGACTTAGAGGGCTCAATTTGGTAACCCTTGGGTAGGTACTCGGTACTTCCCTACGCAAATTTGGTGGATGGATAGTAGAAAGTGGTGGATGGATAACTACCCTCTCTTTTACAAGAATATCCTTTCCTCTCATGCTTGGGGCTCTAGGCTGCTACTCGTGCCCGCCCCCACTTTAAGGGGATTCGCTTTGGCTCACCCACTTAAAAAAGTGGGTGAGCCAAAGCGAATCCCCTTAAAGTGGGGGCGGGCACGAGTAGGAGAAGTAGCGATAAGGCATCTCGTGTCTCGGGGACCTCGTATTAGTAAATGGGATAAAGCCCCCACTTCACTGTGGAACAAGGGCGAGAATCGTGGTCATTTTTGAGACCCCCCTTGTAGTGCCGCATTACTAGACTACGAATACGGGGGGACGACTTCTGGCTTCTACCCCTACGACTGATGCAATGCAATGCAATTTATTTCGCCCGGAGGGGATTGACCCAATGTAGAGGGCCGCCACACTAGGCTATTTGCTGTCACGAAGCACGTCTGAGATCTTGAGCTCGGGGTGACCATAAGGGGTATATAGCTAAGGGCCCCGACAGGCTAGACAGAAAGGCAGCCTGCAGAGAGTTCTGAGGCTGCAGAAAGCTATTAGGAGACCGCATTAGGCAGCCACATAGGCTGTAGAGAGACTGCATATACGGGGGAAGCTGAAAGAACCCTCGGCGACTAGGGAAAGTCAGTATGCAAAGGGGGGGCTGGGGAAAGGAGCCCAGCCCCCTAGATATTGTGCCTATACAACTGAAAAGGGGATATAAATAGGGAGCCTAGAAGAGGGCATTGCAAGAGAACAGATCACACCGATCGTTACACAATCAATGCCCACTTGCATCCTCTCTTCGTGAGATTTGCATCCTCCACTTTCGACTTCAACACTCAGCAAGCCCCACAAACGTTTTACTCTTGCCCTACTCTTCGACCTCCATTTTCGCCGTTGACAGGCCTGCTTAAAGGCCAATTTCTCCAAGTGTTCAGCATCCTATTCTCAGCAGCTAAAGCCCGATCTCTCGATGAGAGGCTATATATGATGTTAATATTATGCACTCTGGTTTGCCAGTATTGTCATTTATCCGTATCTAGTCTTCCGGTTGTTATCGCGAATTCGATCGTAGCGCATACTGCTGATAGGTTCGGCTTCCATTGGTCGCCATCTGACATCGACTTCCGTCTTAGGTAGATTTCCCATCTTGGTTTGATTTCACTTCATTATGCTTTCCCTTTCGGAGATCCATGTCGTACATCGAAAGAGGTTGGCATGACAATAACGTCGAGTTCCCTGATATCCGCTCACGCTGTGAGACCAACTAACTCGCCATTTTAAGCGACAGAGCTATCCCATAGAAGGTGAAGGAAGTGGTATATTGGGCTCAGCGAAGGTTATAGATATTCCCCATCGAGGCAACGCATTCTAACGAGCTCCTTCCCGTAAAATGCGACTTGCTTTCATCACCCAGACTCCAACAGGCTCTGCCTCGAGACTCAACCGATGGTCTCTCGTATCTCTGGTACGACTCTAGTACGAGAATGGTGTCTGTATTCTCCTAGCAGATATGCAGAAAAGCGGCATCCTTCTGCTGCTTTAGGCACATCGCGCTGGATATATTCTCAACTCTCCGGGCGTCGTGTTTCAGTGTCTCTGGCGGTGAGTGCATGTCACGCGCTAGGAGAAGGAATACCTCCGAGATGTCTCGGAGTAGGCCGTCAGGAAACGGAGGATGCTATAATATAAGAAGGGTGCCTATTCTCGGGATTTTATGGGATCTTGTCACGGGCTGTGCCCGGCTGGTGGACCCGGTTGTACCGGGTCCGGTGGGTCGTGCTCCGGTGGCAACACCGGCCGCCCGCGGACCCAGAAGCTGCGAGAACATTCCGAGAAGGGCAATATAGCTGCACTCGAGGCTACGCCTCGAGTTCAGCTTCTTTCCTCCTTAGCTCTAGATAGACAACACCTAGGCACCTGCTTGTTGAATAAACTCCGGGCCAGCCTTTCACAGATCTTCAGAGATCAATGAATTAAGTGATTGACCCTCGTTCTTCACTCTCTGTTTAGTTGTGTGCGCCTTACAGTGCAGGCCCCGGATGCTTTCCTGGCGAGATGAACACGTAGGAAAGAGCCGACGCTAAAAAGACCGCTACTACCGCAGCAGGTATGGTCTGCCACCAGGCAGGGTTATGGCCATCCTCCCGCCACCAATGATCCTTAGGAGACCGCACCCCAAATCCTCGAAACAGGGAGACGGGAACAGCCTGCTTCACCCACAACCCCGTGGATGCGACATCATCGAAGTATAGCATTACCGTCAGATGCAGCCAGAGCACCGTGAACACCAAGTTGGCACCCCTTCGCAGCCGTTCTGGCAGTGGTGGGAGACGTGGCCGCAGCAGCTCGCCAGCGGCACGCTGAATAACGATGCCTACTGCTTGGAGGAGGAAAAATTGTAGAGGTTGCCACGGCTTGGTGTTGGCTACGGACGAAAGACTGCCCGATGCGTGGAGCAAGCCCGACTGGAGAAACGACACAAGCAGAGACATCGCCTCCGCCGCCGGCGTACCCGCCTCGATGTAGCCCTCTCTGATCAGAAACGTTGCCGGGGCGAGGAATGGGACCCGGAATGTCTGATGCCAGAACGCGCCCCACCAGCCGGAGAGGCCGCGATCGAGGATCTGGGAAAGGGACCCAAACGTCGATGAGTGCATCCATAATCCGCCTCGAGAGGGAAATAGCGTCGTTAGCGTCCAATACCGCGCCAGATCGATGAGGCTATACCCGTATGAGATATGGCTCAAGCAGATTATTAGCGATACGATTTCCCGATAACCGAAGAGGAGCCACGGCCGCAAGCCCTGAAAGGATAGTAGGAGCTGCTGAGAGTGATCCGGACCGACAGCGAAGTACGGATCCTTTTCTGTCAGGATAAACGTGAGATCTAGCAGTACGTAGGAGCCGATGATGGTCTTTAACTTGGTATAGACAAACTCAGTCTCAGAGGTAGAGCGCTGCAAACCGCTCTTGGTTATTCGCGGCATGGACTCCATGGCGACCCTTTCCCCGTCCTGGACATGCTGGGGGATATATGGCCGCGGAATAGAAGAGATGGACCAGTTCCAACCTAGAGCCTGTTAACTACGACCACCAAATACCCCCCGCGAATCTTCACTGGCAGTGTGCTTGCAATCAGGGGCGATCCTACCTGAACCTCGGGGAGTCAACATGAGATCTATGACCCAGCCAAGCCTCTCCAGGAACGGCCCATCCTCAGGGAAGCGTTGCCAGACGTAATCGAACTCATCTCCTCCCTTTCCTTCAAGACGTGGACAGGGGATTGCCACGCCATTCTGCTTGGGTAGCCTCTTCTGTTGAGTGCCATTCGGTTGGTGCGCGTTACTGGAACTATTGGCGCTGTCCTCCGCATCGCTGGCCCAGCCCTTTCGCTTTTCCGTTCGTCTCGACAACTTTAGAACCCTGGCCGCATCAAACTGCGGCCGCGACCAGATCAAGAAGTTCATGCATATCATAGTCCCCCACGTGCCAATTGTGGCGGAAAAAATAGAGTAAGCCACGGCGGTGCTGCCTGGTTGGAACAAGTTGCGAACATTGATGGCGGCCACGGCTGCCGCCACCAACCATCGTGTCTGGTATAGCCGGGGCCGCCGAGTGTGTGGGATGGTTAACCAAAGTGTCGGCAAGATGAAAATGGCCAGGTAATAGTGCGGAATGTCAAGCAGTCGGCTTCGTCCCTCGGGCACGGCCTCTATAGGAGAGGACCGGCTCACGGCAAGTGTTGATTGGGTTACCGGGTCCATCGTGGCGGATTTTCCTAATATTGTTGTTGAGGTGACAAGGGAAAGTTGATGGCACTTGCCAAAAGATGGAGGTGAAGGAACGTTGATCCTTGTCAAAATTGAACGGAAAGATGCCATGCATGCGCGAGCCATAGAGAGAGAGAGTCTCTCCTCTCTAAACACCGCCCAAGCCAGGCGGGCGAGGGTCAGTTATATGTCACAACAGCACAACCGTGCCCAAGTGGGTCGGAATGCCTCCTCGACTGCGACGGACGGAATATGGCTTGACAAATCTATCAATTACCTATGAGTGTGGCCTTGCCTCCAGCTATGTATGCAAGAGGCACGCAGCGGGCCGTCCGACTGATGCAGTGCGTGCATGCAGCGCCCTGGAAATGGAAAGGAACTCCCCGAGACATGGCGCAACAAATTTCAGCTAATGAGACATGTAAGGTATAGCTTCTCCAAAAAAAAAAGGAAACCACTCTTGCAAGCCAATGCTGATTCCTGCCTGCCTCGAACCTCAAGGCTCCTTTGGCGCAGCCGCGCAGACTGGCCACGTCTCCGGTATTTGTAGACCGGCCATACCCTGAATTCCCTTCGCACTTGTCACACATTTGCCCACCTCTTCCCGCATTACCGACGATGGTTTCACTGAGTATCGCGCTCCCGGCAGCCCTAATGCTGGTATGCACGCAATCCAGGCCGCGATTCCGAGCAATCTAACTGATGGCCAGGGTTTTGTGTACTGGACAGGCTGGTGTATATATGCCTTGTTCTATCACCCGGCCGCCAAGTTTCCAGGCCCGAGGCTGGCTGCTATCTCAGAGGTGAAACGCCACCGAAATATCCAGCACTTGGGACTGCTAGCATATTAACAGTGCAAAACAGCTTTGGATCATTTGGACACTATTCAGTGGCCGGTCAGCTCTTGTAATTCAAGATCTGCATCGGAAATACGGTATGTCTGACTAACTTTTCGGCTGCACGTATGGTCGACCATTGATCCGTTCGTCAAAGCTAAAGCATTCATCAATAGGCCCTATTGTCCGCATTTCTCCAAACGAACTGTCTTTTGACTCCGCCGGCGCTTTTCGAACCATCAATTCAAGCCTATTCGTAAAGAGCAGCTTTACGAGCACTTTGGCAAAGCATCTCCAGTGGGGCATATACGGGATAAAGAACAACACGCCATCGCTCGTAAGAGGCTGGCTCCCGGATTCAGTACCTCAGCTCTCAGATCTCAGGAGAACGTGATCCATAGCCTTGTGGACCTATTCATCGACCAGCTTCGCGGGTGCAGTGAGAAGGATGACGGTGGGATTTTGATGGGCGAGGCTTTCACTTGGCTGACTTTCGACATTATTGGTACGCTGCTGCCTCCACTCCACGTTTGAATCGCTCAAGTATAGAGTGCTTATTACTTCCCTTCAGGAGAGCTGGCATTTGGCGACTCATTCAATGCGGTCCAAGATTGGAAGTCGAGCTTCTGGGTTCCTTGCTCCTTGATCCCAAATGGCTTTTCGTATTCCTGGTCGACGGGTTGCGAGCCAGGTCCCCTGTTGTCTCGCTGTTGCTCCCTTTCATGCTCCCGAGGAATGCCGGGAAGATGTTCGCGCAGCACACGGCGCTCACCAAGCAAAAAGTGCTCCAGCGGATGGAGACAGGTAACTCACACAGCAGGGAAGACTTCTTTGCAAACATCCTCCGCAGTGGAGAATTCTCGCAGGGCTACCTCGTAGCAGAAGGGAGATTTCTGACGGTGGCTGGAGGGGAGACAACAGCGACGATAATGACTGCTGTCCTTTACTATCTCCATGCAAACCCTGGATACCGCGCGAAACTGAAAGAGGAGATACGGAGTTCATTCAGCTCATATGACGACATCACTGGGACAAGCACGTCATCGCTGTGCCTCCTCCAAGCGATAATCGAAGAGACCCTTCGCATGTATCCCCCAGTGGCAATGGGTCTACCAAGAATTTCCCCGGGAGCAGTCATTGAGGGCGAATACATCCCTCAAGGCGTCGTAGTCGGAACGCACCTCTTCAGTGCATCACGAAACCCGGCAACATATCCGTCACCCCAGCAGTTTCGGCCCGAGCGTTGGTTGGAAGAGCCATCGCTCCAAGGCAAGAATGGGCCGCCACCGATGCTTGCTTTCAGTGGAGGAGCTTACCAGTGCTTGGGTAAAGCTATGGCGTACTTGGAGATGCGGATTACCTTGGCTAAACTCCTCTTCTCCTTCGACGTCGAGGTGGTCAATGACCCAGGTGACCTCCTACAAGACAGCAAGTACTATGTACTATGGGTTAAGCCGGACATCAAAGTGAAACTCTATCCAGTTTCCTGATGGACGAATCCATATCGCTGATGACGGCTAAAGGAGCCTCCAAGCGCCAAGGAAGCCGATTCGTGTTGGATGGAAGACGACCTCTGGGACAGCTTGGAAGTAGCTCGAAAGATGATAAAAGGACACTAGTATATTAATGATTCATCTCTTGGGATTGAAACGGGAAGAATAAAGATCAATGATGGAATCATGGGCCCCTCCGATCTACACCCCCGGGTTCGTTGTGCCATAGCCGCCCCATATTTGTACCGATACTATCTGTTGGCTGGCTCCGACGTTGTGACAATACAATATATATGAGGACATTCATATTAGAAATGTATGGTTACTTGACATACAACAATAACAGTCCAATTCTTGTCGTTACTGTCCGGTGTCGGGCTCCTCAGGCAGTTTGCCCCATCCATCGACGAAGGGGAGGTAGCTCGGACTTTTTGTAGGAACCGGGGCTGGCTCTAGAACCCTTTTTCCATACAAATTAGGTCCGGTAATGTTTCCCGCCACCGTTGAGTGACACGTTCCTTTTTAAGGTTGGACCCAACTACCGTTTTCCTTCGAATAGCAGCATCAACACCACCGACTCATCCTCGACTCCAATAATGCATGCATCCACACAACCGTGAAACTCTGCTATTCGTACCATAGTAGCGTCGGGAGTGTCAAGAGGAAATGAGAGATGCCATGCATATGACGGTTATAGAGTCTATTGGCCTTGACCACTGCCCAAGTCAAGGGGACGAAGGTCCCAGTTATATACACAAGAACGGTGCCCATGTGGGTCGAGACACCTCCTCGACTGGGGCGGAATGTCGTTTGACAGGGAGGCCGCAGTATGGCGACCTGGTTGATACTTGATAGGCTTGGATGCCAACAAAAATTGCATCACAAGGGCCGCCATAGGGGCCAAACATGGTCCATGAAATTATATGGCGCTATGCAACGAAGCAGTGAAGTAACTTACAGATGGGCTCTACTCGGGGGGTTGAGGAGAGGGGGGGCCTAAGTCCCTTAGTCAACCCCCCGAGTACGTTCTGTGTTCGTTTTGTGTTCGTATTGTACAAGTCGCTACCAACTGGTGCGAAAACGTGGCCTTGCCCGGCTCCCCGCTGTCGCGAAGCACGTCTGAGATCTTGAGCTCGGGTGACCATAAGGGTATACAGCTAAGGGCCCTGACAGGCTAGACAGAGAGGCAGCCTGCAGAGAGTTCTGAGGCTGCAGAAGGCTATTAGGAGACTGCATTAGGCAGCCACATAGGCTGTAGAGAGACTGCATATACGGGGGAAGCTGAAAGAGCCCTCGGCGACTAGGGAAAGTCAGTATGCAAAGGGGGGGCTGGGGAAAGGAGCCCAGCCTTCTAGATATTGTACCTATACAACTGAAAAGGGGATATCAATAGGGAACCAAGGGATATAAATAGGGAGCCTAGAAGAGGGCATTGCAAGAGGGACAGACACGACGGAATACAACAAAAACACACCTATTATTAAAACAATCAATGCCCACTTGCATGCTCTCTTCGTGAGAGCTGCTGCTAGAATTTTGCACAACATTGTCTCGGATTCCCAGGAGTCGTAGCTACAAGGGGGACAGGGCTGGGTTGAGGATGTATACGAAATACGAAAGCACCACGTCGTGAAAGCTGAAAATACGAAAAGAAACAGCGTGGCTGGGACTCCGGAGTCATGGGTTTGTGAGACACCACTTTAGTAGGTGAGTCAAAGCGAATTCCCTTAAAGTGCGGGCGGGCGGGCTATCTTGTCTCAAGATTTGATGAGCTAGCGTAGCAGACCGGGGCTTTGTCGGAAATTATCTTGATGGCCAAGGAACTTGTATGCTCTTGCCCCAGATGACGAGCAGCATCAAATCATGTGACGGGTGCCAGTGACCTGTCCATTATAACGAGCCGTATACATATATAACGTTAGTGAGCACTTCATATTTCCGCCCCAACGTGTGCCGCGCGAGTTGCCCCTGTAACCTTTCCCACCATGCATCAGCAAATAGCCCTGCCAGATACCTTGGCACTTTGGCCATGGCAATCGCGGCGTCAGAACCCTTTTTATGATGAAGTAAGCGAGCAGTCCGCAGCATGGTTTGCAAACTTCGGGACCCTGGGGCAGAAGGCGCAGCGCATTTTTGCGACGAATAAGTTCGGTGAGATCGGCTACCTGCCCGAGAAGGCAGCTGAGAAGCATTCTGGGCCTGACCGTGCTGCTTTGCCTCCAGGTCTGCTTGCAGGGCTGGCCTATCCGGATCTCGATAAAGGTCGGCTGAGTCTGGATCCGAGACCTGAGTCCCCATTACCTTGGTGCGAGTAAATGCTGACGCCTGCGAAAAATTATAGAGCGCTTCCGCACGAGCTGCGACCTCATGAACATCTTTTCGTCCTCGACGACCTCACCGACGTGGCGACTGCATCCGAGGTGCGGGAGATGAGCAACGCCGTGGTGGATGCTCTCCGCAATGCGGATAAGCCCAGGGCGCATGATGAATGGGTAGGTGGGGAGATCGCACGACAGTAAGTCTTGCTGTCCCGGCCGAACGTATAATTTGGTTTACGAATTCAAGCGAGCTGAACTTCGTCTCTCGAACAGGTTTTGGATCCTCGCCAGAAAGTCAGTGACTCTGTCATCACAGGAACGATTTATCGAGGCCTTCGATGGCTGGCTGCAGGGGCTCGCCGCGCAAGCAGAGGACCGCGACAAGCCCCGTCTGCGGGATATAAATAGCTACTTCGCCCTTCGCCGGGTCACCGTCGGCCTCAAGCCATCCTTGATGATTTTTGAGTTTGGAATGGAACTCCCCCGTGAGGTTTTGCAGCACCCAACCATAGAGAAGCTGTCACTGTTGTGTACCGACCTGATACTTATTGATAATGTAAGCACTGTCTCCAGAACGAGGGAGGGCTATCCATGATTACTTGTTCTTAATCTCGATGTTTTATTGACCCGCAACTCTTAAGGACATGGCGTCCTACAACAAGGAACAGGCATGTGGAGACGACAAGCACAACATCGTTGCGATTGCCATGGACCAGCTCCACTTGGATGTCCAGGGCGCGATGAACTGGGCCGCCGACTACCACGCCGCGACCGTACGGCAGTTTAGGAAGTGTACGAGACCATCCCCGCTGGGGGCCAGGTTGATCTGGACATTGAAACCTACGTGGACGGGATGGGAAACTGGGTTCGCGCCAACGTCCAGTGGAGCTTCGAGTCGGAACGATACTTTGGGAACAAGAGCGGCAGGGTCATGACGACACGGAGAATGTCGCTATTGCCTAGAACGCGGCCCGAGGATGTTGGGCTCAGTGAAATATGCGCCGTCAAGGGATAAGTTGAACGGGACCGTACAGGCCTTAAGGAACCGACTAGAGTTGGAGTGTGGGTTAGATGGCGTGGGCGATCAGTGCAATTCCATAATCAGTTGTGTCGACAGCTTGCTCTTCATCGGTCCCGTTGACCGTCGGGATTTGTTTGTATATGGCCGAAGTCTGGTAGATGAATTGGCAGGTGCCACAGTAGTAAGTGGTATCCGAGGGCCTGCGATGAGGAGTGAAATCCAGTTCCACTTCTTCGTCCTGATTATCTGAGGTAAAAAAAAGGCCAAAAAGCATTTCTCATGCCATCCGCCAGTTCCCCATCTCACCGCCAGAGACAAACCCGCTATTCTCTAGAGCTCGCTGATAGTATCATCGTAGGCAGCTACGAGGGGCTTGTAAAGTTGGTCTGAATCCCCTACAGGGGTTCCAAAGTTAAGCCTCGCTGTGTCTCCAAACATTATCGATCTGATCCTCAAACAGAGCGGCTTGACAACATCCAACGACTCTGGAAACTCGCCCATAATCTCTTCAAGCCTATTGACGGTCATATCGCCTTCTTTAGCAGCCGCAATATACTTGAAGCTGCCGACTTCCCATCTCCGAAGAAGACTCTCCTTAGGGGGCCCCTCTCCACGGCTAAACTGCTTCTTGGTCCATGATTCACGCACACACATCCAAATCAGGACGTAGAAGAACGACTCCAGATCGTGTCGGTAGGTGTGATCGGCCTCGCGCAGCACCTCGACCGCCATAAACTGCATCGTGCCGGTCTGGTGCCGCGCTCCGCTCGGGCCACTGTCTCTCACTTTGGCCAGGTCAAGGTCGATGAGCATGCCCTTGAAGCCATCCGCCAGTTCAGGTTTCGTAATAATGATATTGTTTGAAGAGACGTCGCGGTGGAGAATCTTGCCGGTCACATACAGAGATTGGTGTGCCCTGATCGCATCTCGCATCGACTGGAGCAGTTCCTTGATCGTCTTGAAATCGCTGATGACACGGCCGGCTGGTGAGACGACGAGGCACGAATAGATCCTGTTCTCAAATGGATCCTCGCCCGTAGAAGTATACAAGCTTGGTTTGGTCTTGCCGATCGACAGCTGCTCCTTGATTTCCTTAGCCAGCTTCGGTTTCTGGCTGTTGGACCGCCGCCTCTTGGATCCAGAGGTGTTGTCAGATGTGTTGTCAGAGGATGATTTTCGCTTGCGACTTGCTGTGCTCGTGCTTCCTACGGCCGATGGTAGATCCCTGAAATAAACGTCTTCATCCCGAAACGGGTGAGGTTTTGGAAACTCCAGTCCCTTCCGCATGTCTGCAATGTTGGTGATTTGACGGTGCGCCACCACTCTCGCCACCCCCTTGACACCCTTCTCTCCTGCCAGCTCGAGATGGTCCACCTCGGGTTTCCGCTTATCTGATGCCCAGGAGAACTTAGCAACATGCCCGTTCCGTGTGCAGTAGCACGTAGTCCCGCGACACACGATAGCGCGCTGTCTGACTATCAGCTCCTCCAGCATGACTCTTGTTTCGTTGCCGTTTGTGTCCTCCAAAGTGGCATGGCGATGGCCCCCCTCTCGCTCGATGAACGTGTCCAGGCCCATCGCATCGTCACTCATCGTAGCATATCCAACAAGAGCTCGCGCGAACTTGTCTGGCTCGTCGTGAATATCGAATAACCCTGAGCTATACGGCCCGGACCGATCGAAGACCCAGAGCTCCATCTTGGAAGAGCTGAGGGAGAACGCGTGGACGAAACGGCGCGTTGGCTGGTCGGCAAAGACACCCGTACATAGCGAGTAAGTTGGAGGAGATCCGCCTTGAACCGGCTCGCGTCGTATGACTTCTTTTGCTCTCCAACGACAAGAACGTCCTTGTATGTAAAGGTGCTGTTAGCTTCCCTGTCTGGCATCTGAAAGAAGATATCCATCTGGCCTTTCCGTTCCTTGAACTGGTTAGCGGTTCGGGTGGTGTATAACTTGTGGGGTGCATCAGTCAAGAAGCGTTCTTCAAGCGCACAGAGCCATGTCCAGACCGGTTTTTCATCGGGAGTGGACGGAAAGTTCGTCCACTTCTTTCCATCGTGCGCCACGATCATCCTATTAAGCATCTCTTTCTGTTCGTTGCGCCAGCTCTTGGAGTCGAAAAACTTGTCGCAGAATCCCCCCACATTGCGAAAGGTGCAGTCTTTTATCTCGAAGAAGAGCTCCCTTTCGACAATGTCGCGCGTTTCGCTATCGGCAAGTCGGCTCGAGCTGGTCTTGACGGGTGTTCCCTTGTAGGTTGGGACGATGCTGGATGGAGGAGGAGTGAGGGAGTTGAGGGTGTCGATGAGACTGAGGACGGCATCCCAAATGTTGACGTCAGGAGCATTGTCCACGACAGAGGAAATGAGAGGGCGGAATGGCTCAAGAGTCATCCCGCCTCCTCGAACACGCTGCTGTATTGAGAAGAGCCTTGTAGCCACATTGCCGCTTGCGTCTGGAGAAGGGAGGCGGAATGCCGCCGTAGAGCTAACCAACGCTCCGACGAGACTTGCAATCTCATCCCACAGTAATTGGTCGCTTTGGTCGCAATCGCCTAGCTTGATCCGGAAACGATCTAAGGTATCATTGAGCGGGTTCTCTGAGATGATGCTGATCTGTTGCTTTGAAAGGGTCATTCTGGGTTTGAACAGTGAGCATGGGCTGATTGATTGTTGGTAGAGGAAAACGAGAAACCGAGGAGAGGTAAACAAGTAACTAGAATCAAAAGACGCGACTGGTCACGTGCGCGTCGCGCAGCTTCCCTGAAACCATGTGTCTCCACACCATGTATCTCCACTAACCGGTTGGGCGTCACGGTACCCCGTCCCACACGGAGGCTTCAGCTCCGGGATATCACTTTGACGAAGCTTGACCGTACGGTCGCGGAAAGTTGAGCTGTAAGAAGTTTTCACCTCAGAGCACGGTCGTACCGTTCCTGCCCATCAATCGTGATGTTCCGTCTTTTTGAGGCAATTACGCATCGGCCGCAATCTGGTCGCAGATGACCAGCTGGACATGGTCGTATCCAAGGAAAGTCCAAGTATCGGGGATGACGATGAATATATAGTTTCGCTTAAACCATGGGGCATAAATTGTGATACCTGTCAAACGACATTCCGCCCCAGTCGAGGAGGTGTCTCGACCCACATGGGCACCGTTCTTGTGTATATATATAACTGGGACCTTCGTCCCCTTGACTTGGGCAGTGGTTAAGGATAATAGACTCTCTATAACCGTTATATGCATGGCATCTCTCATTTCCTTTTGACAGGTTATGAGCCCGGATTGGCTCTCAAACGCTAAGTGTTGCCATTTTCAGCCAATCTTCGACTAATGAGTCACAGAGATCAACATTCCTGATCCATTTCGTCGTCGTTAAGGGGAAAAACTTCACGGCCTCCATCGCCAGCAGATATCTCTCGCGTTGCGCGGGTATGCTACTTGAAGGCATTCCAACTTATGGCTCTAGACATCGTCACATTCCTGCCCGTGGCTGCACCCGGTCCTCTCTGACAACTAGAAGATGGAAAGGAACACAACTCCCTGATAAGGAGAAGAGAAGTTTTCCACTGCCATGAGATGTCATGCTTTAGAGTCTCCCTCCATTGCAAATCAGTTTATCCTTCTACCCATTACTCTACCTTCTGACCGCCTCTAGGATGGACAGCACTGCATCAGGCCTACAGAAGATCCCCAAGCTTGAATCCCCTGACCAATATATCGAATGGCACAGAGGGATCACAGACTTCCTGAGCACTCACAACTACGGTCGACTCTTCAATGCTCTCAAGGAGCCACCCGTCAGGTTGCAATCGGACACTAAGCGCGAGTACGCCAATGTCCTTGAGAAGTGGGAAGAGAAGCAGGACAACGCATGTAATTGCGTACGCGCCACCATTGGCTTCAATGCTCGAGAAACCGTCAAATCCATAGACGGGAAACCATTCAACCGACTACATATCGTCCTAGAAACCATTGAGGAACACTACAAGCCCACCGGGAGTGCCAATTACCAGGAACTGGATCGTAAATACCATGAGCTATCCCTTGAAAACTGCAAGGGGGTCATGAACTTTGCCTCAAGGCTCCAGGAAGCTAACAATCAACTACTGGGGATTAATTCAACCCTTGGTTACAACTGTTGCGATTGAACTTACTTCTATTCAATTCTGTCTGACAGCTCTCAACATACATATATACATAGTGGCACGTCCGTGCCACTATCCAGTGACTCACCACTTGTAACTGCTGCCTAAACATGTCTTGGTCCATGTCTCATATCAAGTCAACACACCCTAGAGCTGTCAGACTTCAACTGCAACGCTATTCATAGCGTATGGGTCCAATTCCAATCCTCCTCCTGTTCCTCTCGAAAGCCTCCCTAGGCAGAGGCTTGGTCATCCCATCTGCTAGCATATTCTCCCTGGAACCCAGTAGACTTGGATTCTCCTTCCTTGACCTCATCAACGACGTGATGAAATGCTATATCAACATGCTTGATTTTCGACGTGTTCGATACTCCTCGGGTCAGCTGCACAGCTCCCTTATTATCTCCAAGCAGTAGTGGCACTGTTTGCTCCCCCTTTCCTTCCAGTTCTGCAAGTAGTCGACGTCCCCAGAGAGCAGCTTTGTGGCCTCCCCATCCCAACATACTCTGCTTCTGTCGTAGATCTTGCCACTGATTTCATCTTCTTGCTATACGTCATGACGGCGCCTCCGTAGACCATAAAGACGAACCCCAGGATACTCTTCCGGTCCCTTGGATCAGTAGCGTAGTCGGTGTCAGAGAACGCTTCTCCATCTTGTAGGCCTGCAGAGCCGACGTGCCCTTCGATGTTGTGGTCAATGGAATAATAGTCGATATCGCTGCCTTCGACTCCTTGTGCGTGCTCATTATTTCCGCCATATGTGATACCGTGGTGAATAGTCCTGCCGACATAACCCAATATTCGTAGCAAAGCCTTCCAGTGGTTCCAGCATGCCTCTACCGTGAAAGATGCCATTCTGTTAACTGCGAATATAATGTCGAACCTCGTATTGCATAGCCAAATCAGCTTTCCGAGCAATTCCACGTATTTCAACCATTCGTCATGGTTCAGAGGCCGTCCCGGTTCCTCAACGAGCTTCCGTATAGCTCCAGGTTCCATGGGGGTTGCGTGCTTCATTGAGTCGTCGTAGAGAAATTCTGCCACGATTTCCTTCGCAAATTGTGATTGATGAATCATCAGCTTTCCTTTGTGCCTTTGAATCCGAATTCCGAGAATGTTCTCTGCTTCTCCGAGGTCTTTCATCTCAAATCTTCCCTTCAGCTTTTCCTTGACCCGTTCAATGGCAACCTCGTTCCCCCCTGTAATCATAAAGTCATCCACGTGCACGCCGATGATTACCCCCGACTCTGTATGTCTGAATATTGTCGGGTCCACTGTCATCGGTGAGAAACCAATCTCCTTGAGATATCCTGATATTAGCAAATACCACATCCTTGCAGCTTGCTTCAATCCGTACAAACTCTTCAGGATCTGAACGTATTTCCCGAAATATTGCTGGAGCTCAGTTGGCACTTTCATGAAGATCCTTTCCTTTAGGTCTGCTGCAAGGAACGCAGCCACAGCATCCATCTGGTATACCTTCCAGCCTTTCTTCGCCGCTAAAGCTAGAATGATCCTCATCGCATCGAGCCGGATCGTGGGTGCGAAGGTTTCTCGTAATTGATCCCGTGTTTCTGTGTGAACCTCTCGCGACTAGACGTGCTTTATACCGTAGTATCTCCCTTCTTTGTCTTTCTTGTGATAAAACACAAGCTTGGCATCAACTACTTCTTCTCCGTGCACGTCAACTTCGTTGATTTCCTCCGAGAATGTCTGTCGTCGAATGAGATTCTGAACTTCCTCATCTATAGCTCCTACCCATTGATCCTTCTCACTGCCTTCCATCGCCTGTCGGAAGGTAAGCTTTTTCGGGTCGAAGTCGTACAGGTCTGTATTAGGCTGGAGAAGCGTCCTTGCTACCATGGCTCTTTCCTTCCTGCCACTCTCCTCGCTTCTTCAGACGTTCTGCCATGCGCTGTTCTTCTCTTTGCCGCCATTCCAGCTCTGCTCGCTGCTTCTCTGCTCTTTTGAGTGCCACGGCCTCTCGTCGAATCTGGGATCTTGTTTTCGGCAGACTCCTTTCAGGAGAGGTTATATCCGCCTCCCCTGTAAAGTCGGTCGTTGCAAATTCCCCGCCGCCCCCCACCGCCTTCCGCTTTGGGCAAGCCCTTCCCCTTTTGGCCCGTCGCTGCATCCCGGATTGCTATAAGAACACCCACACTCCCTTACCCCTTCCTCTCGGTTCTCCTTGTATTCCTCTTTCTTTCTCTCACCATTATCCCTGTCGGCCGGCCATCTCTGATGCACAGCCCCGTCCTTTGCCTAACTCTGCTCCGCTCACACGACCCTCTCGACTCCTACTCTGCATGTTCAGCTGAGTTCTGATGCCCCTGGGTTCTGCATGTCCGCTTCATCAGCCATGTCTTTTGTCCCTTTGGTCCTTCACCTTGGCTTAGGGGAGGGATAGGGCTCCTCTTGTTGCTTCAACGCCCTGAATCGAAGGGGCCTTCACTCGCCGATGTGGACGTGGTTTCCCCCGACTCTCAACCTCCATACTCTGGCAACAGCTTGACGCGATCACGGCTACCCGCCAGATCCTTGGATCCTGCCCTGTGATTTGGTTGCCGCCATGCCCGCGATGACCCACAGGCTTCCGCTGCAATATTGTCCGCTATTCTGGGATCGGATGACGTGGCAAAGTCTGCCTTGCCTTCGCAAGGCATGCTGCATACGAACACATGCAGAGATCAGGCCAGCTGACCTTCCATCGTCTCCGTTAGCTCCATCAAAAGTCCCTCGGCGCGCCCGAGACGACCACTAATGGAACACCGGCCTGCTTCGGCGTTGGCTGTTGGAACCTCCTCGATTGGCATCACAGCAACAGGCCGTCTTCCGACAAGAATGCCACCGACATGGGCCCCGCAATCTGCGACCACAATCGCGGCTCACGCCATCCCTCGATGTTGCGATTCGTGGCTCGATGCTATCTCCGTCTTCGTCCACCCTAGGTCTGTTCCTGTGGCCGCATGAAGGTCGGATGATCCTTCCTTAATCTCGCAGGCCGTGCCGAATCGTACGAGTTTCGGGTGCGCAGCTTTCCGCCGCGCCACGGCGCGTGCCTGAGCGCCTGACTATTGGTTGTCCCACGATGATGTTCGTGGGTTAGATGGTCCGGTGATCTTGCCTGGACGAGCGGCTTATCCGGAGCACTCTGAGATTGGGTGCTTGGTCCCCTCCTCCGCTGCAGCTTTGCGACCCCTCAACTCGGGGGGAACAGGGTAAGCGAGGTTCGCGAAGGAAGAGGGGGCTGGTGGCCAGTGGGAGTCGAGACGCGAGAGTGTGGAAAGTGGAAAAGGTACAGGGGGGCCTGTTGGCCTTGCCGGCTTGTCACCTGCCGTGGAAGGGCTGCGCCTGCAGAGGAGGGGGCACTGACACGTCACGGCGATGACTTCGGCAAAGTTGGCCCCGGTGTTTCTCTTCTCTCTCATTCAGCTACGGCCATGGGTGGGTGGATTTGTCCATAAGAAGGCCATGGATCTGCCGAATTCCTCACCACTTAACCATTCTCTTCCAAGCCTTTGTTTCCTACGACGACTGTGAAGATGGACCGTATGACTTTGAAGAGAACATACCGCTGGCCCTCTCCCGATCGAGGTCATCCATCCAATCAATCTGCTGTCAGGTGGACCCTCCCTTGCTCGACTGTATCTCCCTCGCCAGCCAGTTCGAGGAACAGCGACTCTGGCTCCAGCAGCGAAACGGGAGGTACTGACAAGTCCAGCCAGACCATCTCGGAGCCTGGTTATAAGACCCCCGACGTTGAATCTAGCGTTCCTGTCACGAAGTCGACGAACCCAGAGACTAAGGGGGAGAGATCACCCCAGTCCCTCATGCGATCCCCAACACCCGTCACAGGCCCAGCCATGGACGCCAATCGTCTTCAAACTCTTTTCTCCGAGTATGAAAGAGTCATCAGCGAACAAACTGAGCCACGTCGACGCAGCGTTTCGGCACATCAAGGTAACACGAGTTCCCATACCTGCAACCTACGCTTGCATTTCTCACAACTTTTTGCAGAGAACAGAAATCTTGAGCCTCATTGCCCAAAGTCCCAGCATCAGGCGCTTTCCGAAGCGATCACAAACTGTGAACAGTCCGGGGTAACCCAACCACGCCGAAGCCAGCGGAAGAGGAAGGTTGCGCCACGCCCTGCTACCACTGCTTCAAACCGTTTCCAGAAGAAGCGCATTGCGACTTGTAGCAGTCAGGAATACGAGTTCTTACGTTTGGGGGAGGTACGAAAGGCATGGAACGGATCCATCGAATATAAGGTCATTTGGAAGCCAACCTGGGCATATATTGACGATCTCCGGGGCAAACGGGCATTGGAAGAGGCCGAAGAGCTCATTGTGGATGAGTTCGGTCAGGTAGCGTGGGAAAAGGAGATGGCAAGATCTGGTCATTTCGACCTGGATACCGAGTCGGAGTAGAATAGCGAGGTTATGCCAAGACAACCCTATCCCCCTTGCTCCTTTCCCTTCACTGGATACACTCAGCAGGTCCAAGGCGGTCTGGAGCATACCGGTAGCCCTGCCTTCGTTGACGCTGCTGCTGCTGCTGCTGCTGAGCCTCTGCAAATCGGTCGTGTTATTGGTCGTGACTTCATCTGGCGCTAAACGCGTTGCAATTCTGGCGCTCCGCTTTGTCCTATCCGCTGTATCTTCAAGTTGTCGCGTGGCTTCCCGAATCTTGCTGCTAGGTCTCGTGACGCGACTCGATTTTTTTTCGTGGGCGTTGGAGCGGGCGGCGCGCCCTGCCCCACCATGATCACGGCCTCGGCTGGCTCTTCCATGATGGAGCTCCTCAATCCTCCGGTGCTGTTCGTTCGAGGAGGATGTCGGTTGAGTTCGGAACGCACCGTATGCAGTGTCGACTGTCGTTCGTCTTCCCGCGGGTGGTGTGCGCGGCCAGAGGGTACCAGCAGCGGGCCATGGGCGACACCAGCCCCGCGTGTTTAAATAAGCGTAGGCGCTAGCACCTTGTAAGACAGGCAGCAAGAGCACCCAGCCGAGCAGAGCCTCGGGTGCCAGTAACCGCCCAGGTGCAGTGGCTGCTGGCCTGGGATTGCTGGTTACCCATGTCAGAGGTTGGCGGCAATTTACAGGTGCCAGTCGCCTTTAGGCTCTTGTTCCTGGTCGCTAGGTGCTGCTGGTAACCGCCCAGCCACAGTGCCAGCAACCATTCATGCGTTGTTGCTGGAATCTCGTAGTGGCCAGTAACCGCGCGGTCACAGTTATCACTCGCCTGTAATGAAGGTTGTTTAGGAGCATGTGGACCGAAGCCGGGCCAACAAACACCGGAGTCGCGGCACGATTGCTTGCAATCATGATCACCAGGGCGGTTGCGGAAGCTCTCGGTCGGACTCATGCCCCATTCAATATCTGCGCTGAGGTCAAGCGGTCCGGTTGAGGGAAAAATTAGGGTAGCTATAGTGGCTTGTTTGGCTGAAACTTCACGTCCCGCCAGTTTGGAGCAGTAAGGCTTCGAGCAGCAGGAACGGAAAATATACGAAAGCCTATTCCACAACTTGCAAATGATCTCGTAGCAAGCCACGTTTCCTGCTACGAGCTCCAAACCCGTCTCTCTGCCGCTTCCTCTTATCCCGGGATAACTGGAATAGCTGCTTGTGTTTGGGAGCTGGGATGAGGTTGGCGCGGTCGAAGTCGACGAGCATGACGCGGTGGCGCTCGTCGTTCCAAAGCAGGTTGGGTTCGCGCTCGTCACCGTGGTCGACACCCTCGGCCCAGACGGCCTGCGAAGAACGCTTCACCTCAGCCGCTAGGTCCGGCACCCCCACCTCCACGGCCACTTCGCCGCCCCACGACATTAGCATCATGTGGACGACCCTTACCCCGCCAGGGAGGACGTAACTCCTAGCCAGTCGGACGATGTCAAAGTGGACCGGCACCACCTCGCCCTGGAGCTTGTCGAGATGCGCGTAGATACGGCTCTCGTGCTCCAGGCGGTATAGATGATCCGACAGCGTTCCCTTGCCGACGAATGAGTAGCCATACGACGCCAGCTCTAACTTGAAGAGCAACCCAGTCGCCCCAACCTTGCCCTGGCCGTCCAGCGCCTTGTAGTTTCGATAAGTATTCCGGCGCAGCCGCTCGCCCACCAGGCGGGTGAACTCGCCAGCGTCGATGGGGTGTCGGATACCGCCTTCGGTGGTGCGATGCGAGGGCGCGTTGGGGCAATTGCCGTCGAGATCCCAGCCTCTCTTGAGGCTCAACAAGCAGGCCTGCGTGCAGTATTGCCTGGCGGGTCCCGGATCGGACGTTTCGGTCTCCTGGTAGCTGCCGCTCGATGGACCTTTCCTGGGCTCATTCGTGTCGTTTCTTGTACAAGTCCGGGATGGATCATTTTCGGGCCATCCTCGTTGTCGTCCTCGTTGTCGTCCTCATTTCTGCGACGAACTGCCGCGGTCATGTACGATGACCTCAATCGCAGTGGGTACACTCAGTTGGTTGGGCCTTCAACGGACTGAAACTCCGAGCCCTCCGTCTCTTGCAATGACGACGGCGACGACGAATCCGCACCCTCTGCCTCGAGAAGACGCACCACATCCTCGTATGGTTCCCCCCATTTTTCCAGACCCTCTCTTGCCTTTTGCAATGCCAGGTCGAGTGAATTTCCACTGAGCGCCTCGGATCGAAGACTCAACAGGCAAAAGCTGGCTAGTTGAGCTACTGCGGTATGAGGCACATTTCTGGCCCGATCCCCAGCCGACGCTTCGACCACCTCTTCGTCTGGCACGCATAAATTATAGTTTGACGGGACGCGTCCGGCAGGTTTAAGGTCATTTGGAGCATCGTCTTGCCTTCGTTGACACGTTGGTCGTGGCCTCAGCTGACGTCGCACGCGTTGCGATTCTGGCGCTTCGCGTCGTCCTATCCGCTAATTCTTCAAGCTGTCGCGTGGTGTCGCGGATCCTTCTGCTAGGCTTCGCGGCGCGACTCGATCTTTCGTGAGCGTTGGGGTGGGCGGCCCCACCATGATCACGGCCTCAGCCGGATCTTCCGTGATGGAGCTCCCCAATTGCTCGCACTCCTCGGTCGTCGATCGAATTATTTTCGCTGAATGGAGATCTATAGGAATTCCCTATCGACCGATCTTCGATATCGTCCATTCACCCAGGCGACAAAATGTTCGTGACTCGCGGGGCTGTTTGATAATCACATCGCAAGAGTAGGCCACTTCGGCTAAAAGTCGACCAGGCGAGACACGGGGTGGACGTGGCTATGCTCTGGCGGCGCTGGCGAGAAGAAGGATGGGAAGTCAACAGCGAGGCTACGAAATAACACTTGCTCGTGTCATAACCGCGCAAGTCTGATAGTGCGGTACTACCCGCCCCACCAAATCGCGGCTGAAGCGCTCCGCCACTGCCCCAGACAGGACGTGCTGGCCAGACGCGTTTTTACCCAGCAAAACCTCAACACTCCCTTCCATCCGGACCACGACATCGCAACGACGAGGCGGCCGCCATGACGGATCAGAACCGCTCAAAGATTATCAAGGATTTTCCCATTGGAAACGGTCTCGACGTCTTCCGTGCTTCGTTTAGGTCGATCTGTGATGGCAGTAGCATCCTGCGGTCCCCAGACGCTCTTGATGAGCTAGGTCGAGAAGGCATGTCCCACTACCCCGTCCCTTGCACTTCTCTAACCAGTTCGAAGATCTCCAAACCCTCACACTTGATCTCCTTTCGGCACTCCAATCACTTCGTGCTTCGCGTCTCCTTTGCTCCGCCAGTGGGGACAGGAACTTATACGGCGACTTGCTACGGCTCAACTCAGCTGTCAACTCCGGCGAGTTCGATGTCGACCGTACCAAACCGCTGTTAAATGTGGCTCTCGCCGACAAACCCGACGATTCCCTTATTTGGAACCAGGTCTACAGCGCAGTCGCCGAATCCACCCCGCCTCCCCGACCGATACTCTCGTCAATCCAACAAACGCCGCTGAGTCAGAACACGAGCGGCCTCGTGAACTCGTCAGAATCCCGCCAGAATGTCGACCCGATACTGAAGTTGGAGCTCGAACATGTCTATGTCGGAGTTCCCAATTTCCACAAAGCCTTATTTGGAGACGTGCCAGACCTCGACGTGGTTTCTGAGGCAGTCTTCCGCAGCTGTACAGAAGGCGACAACCCACTCTTCAAGGACGGGTGGAGTGGATGGCCGGCAGGTGCCAAAGAGAGCGATGTGCTGACTTGGTTCGGCGGCCTAATCCCGAAGCTGGAAGAATTCGCAGGCGATCGCATTTCGCGTCCGGCGGCTCGGCGAAAGCTGCTGGCGCAGCCGAGGACACCACTAGTTGGCTCTATAGGCAAGCGCAGCATGGACATCGGTTTTGTCAATAACGACATCACATGTGATCCCAATCCTGAGGATTTGAGATATCGTTGGTCGCACATCCTCATTGCTGGCGAACTGAAAAGCAACCCGAAGGCCGACATAGCATCGATTGCATGGATTGATCTCGCAAGGTATGCAAGAGAGGTATTCGCGGCTCAAGACACTCGTCGATTCGTTTTGGGCTTCACCCTCTGCGGGTCGCTTATGAGGGTATGGGAGTTTGACCGGCTTGGGGGGATCGCCTCCGAACAATTCGACATCAACAAGAAGCATGGTGCGCTACAGTTTGCGACGACAATCCTGGGATTTCTGCGAATGAATAAGGAGATGCTTGGTTTTGATCCCACCATTATAACATCCGGCGGCCAGCAGTATATCGAGATCGAACGAAACGACAAAACAGAGCGTCTCATCATTGATGATGTTATGAAGCGAGCGCGGTGCATTGCCGGTCGGGCGACAACCTGTTGGAAAGCACATCGCAAAGAAGACCCCCAGACGCCGCTTGTTATCAAGGACTCCTGGCAGTACACGGACCGAGACGAAGAGGGTATACTTGTCCAAGAAGCGACTGAGAAAGGTGTTATTAATGTTGCCCGATACTACCACCACGAGACTGTACGCGTCCGCAGTGCGGATGACGACATCCAAAACAATGTTCGAAAGAGACTGGATGTCACCAAAGCTACAAATTACCGATCAGGACATGCGATGTTGCCATCAGGTACGAGCGCGTCAAGTGTGTCACGCAGAGGGCAAAGCAGCGGCGCTGGTGTGAAGCGACCGTCCAGCGAAACCGATGCCGCTCTGCCGCCTAACAAAAGATCCGGTTCAATATCTCCAGTCAAGGCAAGCACCGGAGCCCTGCCAAACCGTGTACATCGGCGACTCATTCTTCGTGACTTTGGAAAGCCAATCTACAAGGCAAAATCTCGCACGGCGCTGCTCGCTGCGCTGGAGAGCTGCATTGAAGGTCACCAGTCGTTGCATGAGGCGGGCCTTCTCCACAGGGACATCTCCATCAACAACCTCATGATCAATGAAGATGATGAGAACCCTTCGTGGCAAGCTTTCTTGATTGATCTAGACCTTGCTATACGAGAACAACGACAAGGTGCCTCAGGAGCAAAAGGAATGACTGGTACGAGAGCATTTATGGCTATAGGAGCTTTATTGGGCGACCAGCACTCCTTCATGCATGACCTGGAGTCGTTTTTCTGGGTGTTCTTTTGGGTATGTATTCATTACAATGGACCAGATGAACATGCTAGGGTGATTGGTCGGTTTGACAAGTGGAACTACGTTGATGTGGAAGAGTTAGCAGAACTCAAGTCGGGCTTGGTGGGCAATGAACGGCATTTTCTCAACCGTATCGGCCAGTCATTTACCCCTTATTTCGAGCCTCTGGCTCAATGGGTAAACCGGCTGCGACGGGAACTCTTTCCAGGGGATAAGCCGTGGCAGGGCCGAGAGGATCCTGGGCTATATGTTCGCATGCGGCGAATCTTGCAAGGTGCCCAACAGGACCCGGCGATCCTTGCAAGACGGGATTGATACTGTCCTCGAGTTACAGCTTGTCTGGGTCGGGCACGGCTTGGAAGTCGCGGTAGTGACAAACATTGGTCCCTTCACATAATTGCAAATGAAGGGCAAATATTGGGCTTCAGCTGGAGAGCACGGAGCGGGATGTGGTTAGTGCTAACGTAGGGCGCGGGAAAACGCGGAAGAAAGATCCGTTCGTCACTTCGTTCCTCAAGGCAAGGCACTACGCATGCAACTGTGATCACCTCTGTACGAAAGTAGCCGCAAAGTAACCCCTCCTTTCCGAGGCGTAGTGAGTAGAGACACCTGCTTCTCGCCCAGCTTCGTACGACAGAATATGTCTCTATACCTTGCATCATTTATGGAGCTTCCACGAAGCACCTGATGTCGCGTCGTTTGGGCGGCGGCTGCTTACCCCGCCGAGTTTAACAAATCAGAGCAAAATCTCACCCCCCCCAATCGCGCGAACAGTTCCGCAGGCCTGCATAAATCAAAGGAGCGCTTCATCCGCCATATTTACCTACAAATAGGGACTAGTTATATGCACAACAGGTTACGCTATGTGCACAGCAAAAAGTGGAGTGGTGTGGCTTGGTGGCGCAGGAGCGCCGATACCGCAAATTCCCAACCGTGACCTAAAGGCGCGCTCAAGCAAGGCCAGCTGTAAGTTGATGCGGCAAATTGAAGCTGGCCGAGATGCATCAATACATACAGTAGAGGCACATTCTTAGAGTCGTACGGAGCGTCCTTTCGTCAATTAAAAGGCGATGGCAATGACGGTAGCTATAAGAGGCCTTCCTTATGTAATTCCTCCCTTAAACACTCCTCTTCCTCCATCTCCTCGTCCATCATATCAAAATCGGCTAGGGTCATCTTCATCCTCTGTATCCTCTTCTTTGTGACCGCGATGGGTTGAAGGCATCGTAATCCGCTGCGTATTCCACTGCGTAGCCTGCTGCGTGGCCTGATAACAGTGAATTGTGCCCTGCGTCTCGCCTGCGCCGGCAAGCTCATTGTCAGAGTCAGGCGTGCGGTGCCGCTGATATGCCCGTGGCATCTCTGTGCCTGGCTCGTATGAGTCGCCATTAGCGTAAATGTATTCCAACGCCTGCCTCGTCACATCGGCGGCGTTAACAGCGGTGCTGCTGCCCTGCCCTGCCTTGCCGCCAGCCTTGCTGTCAGCCTCGTGTTTTTTCGTGCTTGTGAGTGCCGCCGGCGCTGTTGACAGCGGTGGCCTTATAGCCTCGGCACGCTCGATCCTCCCAACGATCTCATGTGCAGAGGGTTTACGCCTTGTGCTGCAGGCACCTTTCTCGAGGTTGGATGAGCCTTTGGCCGGCCTTTACCGCGTACGGGTAGTGGATCGAGTGGAGCGTCGTTAGGCTCGAGCCCCGAAGCTGCCGCTCGCGATGCCAGAACTCGTCAACGTCGGTCATTTCGAAAGGAATAGCGCCACGGGCACCAACGCCGGCGCCACGGGCATCCTTGAGCCGCTTGAAGATATCGTGACGGCATGGCAAGCCAAGGCTGGACTTAAAGCTACAGTGATGGAGAGGATCACAACTGCCAGGCGGCGGCTGCTGTGCCCGGTCATCTGTAGCAACGTTTCTGCCCACAGCACGGAATTCGATCCCTATTTTCCGTACCGCCCAGGAAGAGAGATTTGGCCGGATTTTCGCAAAGATCGGCTGAAGGGTAGAAGTTGATACCTTATGTATAGCCGCCTGCTGTAAATTGAGGATCTCATCTGACTGATGCTCCCAGAAGGCTTGGAAACGCTGCAAAACGGAGGTCAAATCACCTGTCGACGACCATAGGAACTTCTTCATCGTGGCATGCATGCCCTCAACGATAGAGGTCGTCGTATGGCCAAGATGACGGTGACGGTCAACGCAATATAACACAATTTTATCCTTCCAGAGCTTGAGCCATGTATTTACCGCATAATCCACTGCCGCCTTTGGGTGATGGTCTGGAGCCGTGAACGCCTGAAGTCGTATATCGTATGTAGCTTCATCAGGCGCGTTGATGAGCTCGTTCCACTCTTTCAGGAAGGCCGTGAATGTAGGGGCACGGATAACGCGGTTGCCGTCCTTTGTTGCCTTAGGAAAGTATTGCTTGCTTTGGGCAAGAACGTTCTTGTTGATATGCCAGCGGCATAATAAGTGAATTACTGGTGCAAGCTCTGAGAAGGAAACAAGGGCGTTCATGAGGGCAAGCTCACGGTCAGTGACTACGACCCGAGGCAATGGAATGCCTTCCTCTGCTGCTAGGTCAAGTAGGCATTGCAGCGCCCAGCGGTATTGCGGCTCTGCCTCTCCGCTAAGGAAGACAGAGGCTACAGAGAAGGTCTTCTTTTCTGAGGTTGATCCACACGTATTGAGAAGAGGCATCTTGAACCTATTGGTCTTGTACGTGCAGTCCAAAAGGAGAATATTTGGAAAACGCCGCCAAAGCTCAATGCCGGTGCGCGGTGCGATGAAGAGGCCGGTCAGCCGCCCTTCCTGGTCGCGTGTATCGCGGAAGAAGAAGCCGAGGGATAAGTCCTTGAGCTGATCGTAGAGGAATTGAAGGGGCGTGCGGCCAGCGAGCTCCCTGACGCGGTAGGCAGCAATAGCGTTGCGGATATGCTGCCCCGTTATGAACTTAAGGTCGGGGTTCTTGATGAGGGCTAGGCCGCGCAGGTGGGTAGCAATTTGGAACGGCTTGAGACCAGTATTATAGAGGCCAACGATATGACCGTGATGCTCGGCGATGAGCTCTGCGCGATAACCACTGTGCGTGACAGCAGGCGTAAAAGGTGGTCGTGGTCGCGTGAGGAGGAGACGGCACTGGGGTCCAGGCGCCACTAGTACGGCTCTTCTTAACGGTTAGGCGGAAGGGGCATCCTGACCTCTGCGTGGACTGATTAGGCCGGCTTTTCGTCTTGTGGGCGCCCGGGTCAGTGTTATCGCGATACTCGCCTGCCTTTGAGCAAGCCATATAGCAGGCGCTGGCCCTCCCCGATCGTATGACTAAGGCGAAGCCTTGGGCCTTGGCGACGGCGTGACAGGCAGCTTGGGCAGCCTCTTTGGTATCGAATTCGCGGTAATAAACCGACTCCATAATACTGGCGGTGGAAGCGACGCCGGTTGCAATACGTGGTGTTTTGAGGGCAAAAATCGCACTAAGATGCGATACGTACTTCGCAGAGGTGGAAGAGCCCTTGGGCCAGTTCAAATTTGCGGTATCGGCGCTCCTGCGCCACCAAGCCACACCACTCCACTTTTTGCTGTGCACATAGCGTAACCTGTTGTGCATATAACTAGTCCCTACAAATACGAATGACTGATACTTCGCCCTTTCTCTGACTTCAGCCTCCAACCGCATCCCTATCCAACTCCAGCCATGTCCGCTGCTTCCGTTCTTTCTCAGCTGCGAAGTCTCTTCGAAAAATCCGATCATCTAATACCCAAACTTGACAGGATTTATCCGACAGAGGAGCAATGGGATAACATGCGCGACTTGAGCGCGAAGCTCGCGGCGACAGCGACGACGATCCAACAAAGAATCCGAACCTTGGAACAATCCCGAGCAGACAGAGCATGGAAAGAAAGCGAGGGGCTTCGATCCCATGCTTTGGCATGTAAGGGTGACATTTTGGCCAATGGTCGGCTGAAGCAATCCCCGGTGTTTAGAAGGAATATTGTCACTATATTCGAGGGGCCAAAGGACTCCAAGTTTGACACTGAGGATATCAAAACCCGAAAGGTCACGACGCGGCAAAGATGTGCACAAATCCGGCTTCTGAGCCCCGATGGTATCATTTCATGGGCAGTTGCCTTCGCGCCGAGTCTCTGGGCTGGAGGATCCATGGCCACGGATATCTTCAAGTGTCTCTTAGACGACGTCGAACCAGATTGCCATCCTTCGTGGCCGTTAGTGGTGAGAGATACATTACACACGCTTCTGGAGGACGAAGAGGCCCTGCAAGGATCTTTGGAATACCGCAAACTTCTGAAAGGTAAGTCTGCCGGACCTTAGAAACAGCGCGAGGGATTGACAGTTCAGCATACGACACTCCGTCAGGGACTGGTCTGCAGAGCCATAAAAAGCGGAAGCGGCTTGGAGACCACTACGAACCTGTGAGGGAACGATCATGTGACTTTCATACTTTATGAAATGTCTCACTTTGATTCATGTAAATAGCGAAAGTCAGAGTCTTCCTTAGGAACCTCCTTCTCTCTTCGTAGACAATCACCTTACCCAAGTCGCACCCGACCTTGTTCGTGCACTTGTACCGTCACATATTGTCTACCAACTACCCTCCTCAATAGATCACCGTCCGCGACGTGACTATTGATTTCGATAGTTCTAAACCGCACTTGTCGCTTTCAAACCTCACCAAAACACCCTGCAACCAAATTCTCACCTCAACCACCACACCGTCAACAACCCAATGGCTACCGCTGCCCCACACCCGTCGATCGAGTGCCCCCTGCCCCTCCTCAACGCCAGCAATACCAATGAAACGTTCCGAAATGCCTTTGTTGCTAACCCAGCCGGTCTCATGAAAGAAGTCTTCCTCGTATGCAATGCCGCATACAGTATGCAAGCGGTAATCGATTCACTACGTGCCTCGACCACGACGACAATAAGGGACATGGAGGACCTCCAAACCCGCCTAGAAAACACGCTCATTTCTAAAAGTGATGGAGACGCAACGATCGCCCGTCTTATGGCAGAAAATGAAGCATACCTAAAGATCATTCAGTCAAAGGAGCTTCACACCGCACACCAGAACACCCTGATCCTGAGGCCTTCACCGGAGAGGACCCACGCTTCTGCCGAATTTCTCCAGCACCTCGAGTTGAAGCTCGAAATGAATAAAGATTGGTGGAACTCGGAACCTCAACGTATGGGATATGTCGTCTCATGCCTTAAAGGCAAAGCACATGACCAAGTCCGCTACAACATTAAAGATGGGGTGGTTCTCTTCGACGATGTCAATGCCATAAAAAGCACCCTTCAGTCAGCCTTCGGGGATATTGACGCTAAAGCTACCGCCCAACTCAAAATCTTTGACATGAAACAAGGCCATAGATCCCTTACGACATTCCTCCCCGAATGGTATGCCGTCGCCAAGCTCACCGACTGGGATAGTGGGGCGCTCATTGCTCACCTCCGACGTGCCCTCCACGACAACGTTATCTGGAGACTTTCTCACTAAGGGCAAAGATACACCTACCGAACTTAGTCAATTTATGGACCTTGTCCGTATCTGCGATAACGAATGCCGTCAAGTCAATGCCAATTACTTCAAGAAAAACACCGACAACTCAGCAAATCACAAAGCAACCTTACAACCTCCACCACGCCACAATCGACGACCTCTAACGGCGGGGGTTCAATGGATTTTAGCGGCATCACCCTGGGGGGCAAAGAAGTCGCCTCTTGTCGTAGACCCCAAAAGGAAGCAGAGAGAGGGGGACGCAGAGCCCATTGCACAACCCATGGACTCTGCCATTGGTGCAGCTCGGGCAAACATCGTTCCTCAATTGCGACACCGCACCATGGAGGACGGAAAAGTGTAGTCTCCGACGGAAGTCGCCGCAGGAGACGCAAGAAAAGGGCGATCTACTCTCTTCTCTGGACACCAACCAAGCTCATTTGCTACTGCCTTGTAACCTAATCGAAGACAATTCCACTCGATTAAAACCGAAGCAATGCTTGACTCAGGTGCCACCGGAAAGGGGTTTATAGACGAATCCTTCGCGCACACCAACAAACTCACGCTTTATGAATTACGAAACCGTCGCCGGCTGAACGTAGTCGATGGAAGACCCTCCTCGGCTGGCGACATCACTCATGTGGTGAAGCTCAACATGGACATCAAGGGACACAAGGAGAAGATGCTTTTTTACGTAACGAAGCTTGGGAAGTATAATGTCATACTTGGAAAACCCTGGCTAACAGATCACAACCCAATCGTCAATTGGAGCACGAATGTGGTCACTTTCAACTCTGATCACTGCCGCAAATACTGCATGGAGAAAGGACAATACCAACTTCCTGTTTCTGGAGCTCCCTCTTTGTCAAGTTCTGCAACCACGACTATACTGCCACGCCCATCAATCCCCCGAAGAGTCGGCGCAGCCATTCCACATGCTGACCAAAACCGCGACGTCGACGTATTCTCATTATCACTGTATGAGATCGACAAAAGGCTGGCTGAACTTGGGGTCATCACAGAAGCCTCCACCTTCGTAGAACCTAAAACACGCCGACGGGTCCGATTCGACTCTGCACTCACAGACATGGACAAGATGAACCGAGAGCTCCAGCTACAGGACGGAATCACCTCCTTAACCCCAAGGACCAACAAACACAGGAACTCCGAGCTTCCCGGAAAATAGCAGCCGATATGTACCTTTCAGGGGCATCACTCGAAGACATTCACAAAGCCCTCGAACCCAAGACTTTGATCGATCCTGCAACAAAAGTACCACAACACTACCATGAATTCTTGAAGGCATTCGACCAATCAGAGGCGGATAAACTCCCCCCACACCGAGACTGCGACCACGAAATTGAACTTCAACGAGAGGAAGGCTCGCCAGCCGCGGCTCGCGCAAAGAAGCCTTTCGGAACGAAATTTGGCGACAAGAGAACCGGAGAAGAGTTGGCTACAGAAGAGAGAGAGTTGGCGATAGTAGATTGGAGACAGGAAGAAGAGTGAGGTCGAGATACGAGACACGGCGAGAGACGTAGAGCATTATCGTGAGTGAAACCGAGACAGAGCGTCGGGGAGGCAGGCTAGGCCGCTGGAGGGAGATTTTGTTTAAAAGGCGCAAACTCAAAGGGCGTGGAGAGACGGCAGGGTTGAAGAGAGATGTGAGTGGGTAATGCATGTCTGGGCGAGTGGAAGGCTCGGAAAATTTACATGTGCTACCGGTATAAGTCGTAGGTATAAACAGAATAAGGAGTATATTGGGGAAGTTTTGACTTGATCGTCTTCATGAAAAGGAGAACAAGAAGAGAAGAGAATGTGCTATTCGAGCCTTTGGCAGTTGATTTTGAGGATGATGAGACATGTTGTCATGTTGTATTGTTTCGTTTGATGCTTTAAAGTTTAGAGAATATTCTTGGGCGGACGTCGGGCGCGCAGTGGTCGGGAAGATATCGACGCGGGAGGTCTGATAGAGCCAGAGGCGGATGTGTCTTGGTGATTGACCTGTTCGGTGTCCGTCTCTGACTCTGCGGGGTCTTCCGGGGACAGAAAGGAGGAGGTATCGGATTTGGGGGAGTCTTGACCGTCACAGTCGGTGATTATGGTGGAAGTTTCGGGAGAAAGTCGCGGTCTCTTGGTTGGGGTTTGGTAGGGATCGGGCAATGACCGACTTGATGCCAGCATAAGGGGATCGACTGGGCCAGAAGCATGCGGCGTGGGGGAGGCGGGGCTTTGGGCGGCCTTGGGTTTCTTCGTAGAGGTAAACCTGGCCAACGCAACGCTATAGTCCGAGGATTGCCGACCGCGCTCTTGGGTGTCGTCGGCAGTAGTTGTGTTGCAGAAGCCTGGTCGGACATGGCCTTGTCGTGGAAAGTCCACGTGTCGGGGACGACGATGAAGATATAGTCTTGGTCGAAAGCCGGGGCATGTTTCATGATCTGGTGATCCAGTAAGCCGGCGATTTTGCCCGTACAGGTGAAGAGAGTGTTCGACTGGAACTGGCTGTCGCGCCTCTCGGTCATCTTCTTGCATAGGGAGGTCCAAGGATTAGCGTGAATGGGGAAGATGACGAAAACTTGAAGGGTGAAAGCCCTTGAAGGGGTTTTGCCGGGAATCCCAGGACAAATAAAGGTGGAGAGCTGGACAAAGCCGCAGCAGCTCAGCTGGGTGTCGTCAAGGGCCGCAGCCGAGTTTCCATGCAGGAGGTCGCGGCCGGAGCCGATGACAGGTCCCGTGAAGGAGACAATGGGTTGTATCGTTGGGAAAGTATCCACCGAGCTGAGGGTGCGAGTGACAATTCTATGGATATCGTCAGGGAGGGCAGTGGCGACAGAGAGATTTGGAGCATAGACTCACGGTTGGTAGCTGTGATCGCGGACTATAAGCGCGGGGACGGTGTATTCTGTGATGTTATCATCGTCCGACTCCAAGCCATCACGTCGCTCGATTTCCCACGTCAGGGCAAAGGGATGAACACGGCCGACCATGAAGAACCATTGTTCGGTCCATTCCGAGGAGATTATCTGTTGGTTGTATATGGAAATATTAAGGCTGAAGAAGATGCAGGTCGATGGATTGCCAGTATCTGACCGGATTGCTGCATACTCCGGAGTCGACAGCCATGAGGGCGTGGGAAGGAAGACCTCGCTAGGGTTTCTGCGTTGAGCCCTTTGACACGATGCTCATTCTGGTAGGCGAACCTAGCCGGGCAGCCGGGCTGGACAAAGGCCATCATGGACATGTCGGCGCCAGCATTTTTCTGGCTGTCAAGAGGTTGCCGAGGGAGGACGAGGTATCGACGTTGAGCTGGGAGGCCGACATCGTGAGAACATGGCAGATGTAGTCACCGTGGAAGTGTAAATGAGGGGTTACGCAGAGTGGAGGTGGGCATCCTATAAAGCAGGTTTTCTTGCTGCTCGAAAGAGGGCTCGCGGCTAGGGTCGGGGAGACTTAAGAGTCAGAGAATGCTACCTAGGTGATAGATCAGAAGCGGGGGTATGCGGGAATGAGCTGGCGAGGTTCTTGAACAGTCTCGACCATCTGGTTCTATGGTCGTGAGTGAAGTAGGAGCCGGGGTTGGAAGTTGAGTAGGGGTGATGACTATGTCGCGAGAAGTTGGAGGTCGGCGAACAGTAAGGTTAGTGTGGGTAAGTCTGCGGAGAAAGAAAGTCCAGCAGTACCCTTCGGTGTCATCGTTGCATGGAGTAGATAGCAAAGGCGACAATAACGAATGAGAGTGAAGGAAAGAAAGAGGTTATGGTAGTATTGCAGGGGTCCCTTTTTGACGGTCGTCGGTAGTTGGATGGGCATTGCGTGCGGCTGAGCGAGGCGGGTGCCGACCGTGTCGAGTCCACTATTGGGACACGGTGAAGTCGGATATAGGGACGACCTGAGGAGGAGGATGCGAGTTGGTCACGAGAACTCTCCAGGAGGGTTTGCAAGTCGAAACTCCGGTGGCTAGCGACTACAAGAGGACAGGCAGGGGGATCCTGGCTGTCGCTTTAGCATGAAGGCCGTTGATGCGACATTGGTGCTGGCGAGGGAGCAAATCTAGAAGGGTAGTCCGGCTGCATGAGGGACGTCATGGACATGTTATCGCCGGCAGCCTTGTGGCTGTTGCTCGACGAGGCGGATTGGCGGGTATTGATGGTGAACTGATGCGCAAGGTTGGTAGGATGGTGTTGGAAGGGCTGAAGAGTATGGTTTGAAGTGTGCGGCAGGCGGTTGTCGCGGCCATCTCCATGTGCCGGAGGTCGGCAGTGGCCAGGATTCGCTGGAGTGCGCAAAGAGAGCACGGCGATGGAAGGGTCGCTTTTGGCAAAGCCGGGGTAGCAGGTCGCACGTGGAGACCAGGCGAGGCCGGGACGGTGGACGCACATAGATAGGCATGGTAACGGGGGAATATAGAGGGGTAGTATTGCATCGCCTCGGTACCATAGGGAAGCATTTTATGGAAGCTATAAGGGAAGAAACGCCACGGCCATGAGGGAAGTGATGGCTAGGAGCTTCCCATTCGGGAGAAGTAGCGTCGTCAACAAGCGAGACTGTCCAAGTGGAGGTGCTCCGAGCCAAAGCTTTATAGCCTGTTGCCAATTTACGGCAGTCGACGTCGAGGAGGCAGCAGCATGGCGGACAGTCCTGCAGTGAAGTTAAGCGAGGCGGTTGCTCACCCTGAAGCCTGTTCGTTGTCAGTCGGGGATGGAGAAGAGGGTGAGAACGTGAGCGGGTCGGGTTCGGGGCTCGGAGATGGTGCGACAGGAGCCGGTGTAGATGTGGTGGCAGCTTCTGAGAGGGCCGCAGAGCACGGGGAGAGCCTGGGACGGTTACGAAGATACGAATCACGGGCGAATGCGGCATCAACGTTCCGGCCGATTCAGCCTAGGAAACCTGTGGTTGAAGACACCGCATGGAGACAGCACGCAGAAGCAATTGCGAGGTCGTTGCCGAGAAGACCGCCGCGAGGCGGTTTGCGGTCAAACAGAGCACGGAAGTTCCATAATATGGTTAGCAGCGGAAGTTCCGCGCAACATCAGTCACCGGGTCAGCTTCCGAGGCCCCTGTTGCCTAGGGAACGTGGAGATATGGGGTAGCGGACTCTGATCGTCCGCTCCTCATCGGCACTTTCTGCCTCAGGAGGAGATCCTGAAGATGAGGAGCAACGTGTTACGGCGGCGGCGGGCGATGTCCCGAGTGTTCATTCGAAGGAGGTACCGAAGCTTCGATCCATCCAGCCTAGGGAACCGGTATTCGACAACTTAAGAGAAAACGGGCAATTAGCAGCAGCGATTGCGTCTGGTTTGCCCAAGCGCCGTCGGGGACGGAGTTGGCGGGTAAAGGGAGTACCAGGCCGCAGGGGTGTCTCCAACGCAGCAGGTACGGCGCAGCATCCGGGGCCGTCTCCTGTGGGGGTGGGCGACGCCGCGGCAGAGCCAGCGGACGCTTCGCTGAGCGGGCGGAGGCTGCAGCAAAGGGAGGTGGGCGGCTCATCGCGGGTGGCGGCTGGGGAGCCCGTGCAGTTTGATCGGCAGCAAGAACGAGGAGAGTGCTGGAAAGGGCAAGGACTGAGGTCAAGGTTCGGCGTGGAAAACGTTCGCCAGCACGGCCCGGTGCCTGTCCAGTGCAAAGGGCCGGATGGCGTGTCAGGGGATGCGCACGTAGTCGGGCAGTCGTCGCCAAAGCTGCCGCATCCGACGGCTTGCGAAGAAGCGAATCAGCCACGGAGAGAAGAAATCATGGATCGGAGGCGGCCCCGAGGCGGCCCCGGAGGCGGGAGAAGAGAAAACGTCTTCCTGGTCCGGACGAGCGCCCGAGAAAACAGATTCGGAGTGGAATCGGAAGGCAGAGGAGTCGGGAGCTGCGGGCCGAAGACCTGGCGAGTGTGCTGCGTTTTTTGGAGGAAGACTTCGCCATGAAGGAGAGGCTGTCTAACGATCAGACGTGGTGTACGCCAATACCGCACGACAGGAAGGTGTCGACGGTGCGAGACTTCTATCAGGCGTTCCACGATGCGAGCACGTTGCCGATACGGACCTGCATGGTGTGCTACCGCAAGCGTACGAGAAAAGAGCTGAGGAGATCAGATGGGATCAATGGCTGTCAAGCTGCGTGCCAGAGGGCGGCCGCTCACCATTTTCATGCCGGAGCTGCTTTCCCGAAGGCGAGCCCGTGTCGGTGTGTGCGGAGTGTGCCCGATGCCTGGCGCGCGGGAGTCTGTCGCCGGCGGTCCATCTTCACACTCGCCTTGGCTGTGAGCACATGTTCCCTGACGAGCTCAAGGGACTCACGCTGGTCGAAGAGAAGCTCGTCTCGCTCAACTCCTGCTATGGGTTTGTCACGAGATATAGCATTCCGGGCGGGCAGAGGCAGGCCGTGAGGTATCCGAGGCACGTCAAGGGCCACATCACAGTGTTTCCAACAACGTGCAGGAGCTGGCGACCAAGGTGCTCCCGCACCCCCTTTTGCAAGCACTGGACGAGATCCACGTTTCGTGGCAGGGCGTGGAGAAGCCGGCACCGAGCGACCTGTCGAGTCTCTTGTCGGTGAGGCGGCGGGTCGTCGAGAGGGCTCTTGTTTGGCTGAAGAGGAGCAACCCCCACTACGCCGAGATCGAGATCGACGTGGCGGAGATGGAGAGTTGGGAGACCCGATAGACGGGGTGCCGGCCTTGGTGTATGATCGCATGGAGCGGAACGAGCCGTCCGCATGGGAGAAAACGCGGACGGCGCACGTTGTGCCGCCCACGGAGCGCGCCATGGACGACGAGGGGTCGGTGGAGATCGAGGAACTCTTCGCTCTGCTCAACCAAAGGCAGGAAACGGGAGGCGAGGCTGAAGGGCACGGGCCCAACGAAGAAGGCGCGGGTCGTGATGGAGTTGGTGCTAGCCCCGATCAGAACGTTCGACCAATCAACGAGGTGACGTCTTCCGGCATGTTTGGGCTGGACGGACCGCCAGACGTGGCGGATGTCGAGAAGCTGCGGTTTGCCTGTGACGCTGTTGGCGCAGGTGCCGACGACGGCCGCGCGGGCCCGAGAACGTGGGTCGGATCCTCGGTGGGGGGGGGTCGAGGGCGTGGCGACGATGGCAGTGAGCCATACATTCGAGTCTCGCGGGGGGATGAGTTTGCCGACTCCTTTGAGACGTCCTTCTTCGCCAGAACGTTCCCGACCCTGTTCCCATTTGGCGTTGGGGGACCAAGGCTGGCCGAAGAGGCCATAGCCGAGGCGGGAAGGCCCTTACCAACTTGCGAGGCACCGGTAGAGCTGCTGAGGCAGGGGCGGCAGCGGGAGACATCGTATCCTCCCGAAGCTTGAACCTCCGGATTTGGGCCGACATCGTGCTCCGGCGCCATGGTGGCCGGTTTGCGTTGCACCACATATTTGCATTTCTCGTCTTCAACATGGGGGTGCGGTCGAGGAACCGCCGCGTCAGCATGCTGAGTGTGGCGAGGAAGGACTTCGGCAAGGTCGAGCGCGTTGCCCGCTCGATGACCGCGCAAAGGTTAGCGGCGGCGAGGGTCGAGTTGGAGAGCTCGGGCAAGACGACCGATGAGGGCGTGAAGGAGCTTCTCAGGAGCCTCTCGCTGTACGGCCACCGGCAACCCATGTCGAGAGGTTCGGCTCAATATGCGGCGGAAAATCCAGTCGCTCATCGTTGGCTACGGCGTTCCGGCCATCTGGTTCACCATCAACCCAAACGACATTACGAACCCGGTGAAGCTGCGACTGGCGGCATATCGGACACGCGATCCCGGCGCGGCCGAGGAGTTCCTAGAAGGCCTTGGGAGTGCGTACAAGCGGACAAGGCTGGCCATGTCCGATCCGATGAGCGCCGCCGTATTCTTCCACCGGGAGATGAAGCTGTTCTTCGATCATTACGTGAAGGTCGGAGAAGAGTCGGTATTCGGGCGCATCGGCAAGTACTATGGCGCTGTGGAGACCAACGAACGAGGGCGCTTCATGTTCACGGCTTGCTCTGGTTGCACGGAAACGCGCATCTCAGCTCGATGCTTGCCGACATCCACGGGGAGGATCAGGCGGCGTATCGCGAGCGAATCATACGATACGTCGATAGTGTCTTCTCCGAGGTAAGAATAGCTAAGACGTGTCACTGAGAACCTGAATTGCTCGTCCGATGGACAAACGGGGCCAGGCTGACGTGCAAGATAGGATCTGGATCAGGAAGGGTTCTGCGCCGTGCAAGCGGAGCGATCTGTGACGTCCGATATTTCCTCCCTGCTGGACAACACCGAGCAGTTTTCGGCCGCATTTGACGAGGAGGCCAACTTCTGTGCCGGCGCTACACAGGTTCACACGCATAGCCCGACCTGTGTCAAGTATTCCTTGGGCAAAGGAGCGCGGAAAGGGAATCCATGCCGGTTTAAGTCTCCATGGAGGTTGGTCGACAAGACCGCCATCACGGCAGACGGGGTGTTGCAGATCCGGAGGACTCACAGCATGGTCAATCGATGGAACAAGGCTATCGCTGTTGGGCTCCGGCACAACCACGACATTTCCTTCATTGCGACGCAGCGCAAGACCATGGCCCTTATGTATTATGTCACGAACTACGCGACGAAGGTGGAGGACCCGGTGTGGAAGCGTGTGGCGGCCGCGGCCGATCTCCTGGCCGCCTCAACGGGTGACGGCACGGCCAACGGAGGACAGGACGACGGTGGAGGTGCTGTTGGCGATGACGCCGCCAAGGGAACAGGACGCGACAGTTCTTGATGAGGGTGGCGAATCGTGTGTTCACGGAGCGTCCGCTATCTCAGGTCGAGGTCGTCGCTCATCTTCTTGGATATCCGGCCGAGTTCACCAACAGCAGCGCCTGGGCGTACCTGAACACATCTCTGCTGTACTGGGAAGTCTTTCGACGGTGGCCGTATCTCCGACGAGCAAGTGGCGCGGCGGCCATAGATGATACTCTGGATGAGTCGGTCGTTGTCGAAGAAGCAGGCCTGAGGATCTCCCACGTTGAGGCGTACCAGCACCGGGAGAGCTCCTGCGAGGGCTATGCTTATACGACTACATATCGCTCGTTAGACTAAAACGCACCAGTAAGGATGAGAGCTGTGCGGCCTGGGGAGGTGCCCTTCGAGGATGGATGGGCGCCAGGAGACGCTGGGTCCAGGTGCTCAGGCGGCCGGGCAAGCATGCTACCGTCTGCCTCGATGGCTACCTGAGCAAGGACTTCGGCCACAACGACGACGAGGAGTCGTGCCACCGGAGGTGTGTATAGCAACCGCCCTGCCGGCAGGCATCATCAGAGTGGCTAACCTCCCCTCCCCTTAAAGGGCAGCCGTGCAGCATCTTGCGCTATTTGTGCCGTGGAGTCCTTTCTGTGCGAAGAAACAGGTGAGATCAATAGCATCTGGGAGCGGGCGCGAGAGGCGCTGGCCCCGAGAATATCATGTCTCGTCGACAACGTGCAGCTGCTTCGACGATCAGCCGAAGACGCAAAGCGCGACGCCAAGCAATGGGCGGCCTCATCCGGCGATGGCGATTCCACGGTCGCCCACGTCGAGGAGGGCGAGACAGGCGAGGCGGGCGCAGAATTTGCAGCGACGTATCGGTCCAACAACATCGGAGACGCAACGCGCCTGATCGACGTCGTCCGAGGCGCAGTGGGCACGAATCAGGTGACGGCCAAGTCGCCGGAGCTCATGGCAATGATGCGGCAGCTCTGTCGATTCCAGCAATCGGCGCTCTGCTCAACGGCCGAGCTCGAGGCCATCGCGATTCCCGAACAAGGGTTGAGGTGCATAAGCATGCCAGGGCGGGTATTTTCCGGGGCCGCACTACCGCCGCAGGATCAGGTCAAGGCTATCAAGTCGCAGCAGATAAGTGCGTCGAGGAAAGGGAGAGAATGATCCAAGGCGTACAAACCACAGTCGCAGTCCGGGAAAGCGATCGCCGAGCTGCGTTGGAGGGTGATGACCGGCTTCGGGAGGACGACGTCGAAATGACGACAGCCGACTCCGACGAGACGGCTAGCGACGCAGAAGCGGGAATGCGCGTCCAGTTTGGCCCATCGACCTCCTTCTTCGCGGCGGGCAAGGAGTTGTCAACACGGCTAACGCTGAACAAGAGGCAGTCGATCGCTTTCCTAATAATATGCCGCCAGCTCGATTTGATGCGACAAACGAATAGGGCGATGCCGGCCAGCTCTGCCAGCTCGTCGGCGGCGAGGGGGCACCGGCAAGTCGCGGATCATTGGGGCACTCGTCGAGCTGTTCAGTGGGAAGAGCCTTTCGAATCGTCTGCTGATCACGGCGACGTCAGGGACTGCCGCGGCGCAGATCAACGGCATCACGATCCACCCGCCTGCGGGTTCACTAAAGACCAAGGGCGGGCGGCGCGAACACAGCCAAGGACCTTGACGGGGTGCGGCTGACAAAACGGGCGGAGCGGTTCATCCACGGCCAGTCTCGGATGGACTGGCAGGAGAAGGACGTGCTTGTCATCGACGAGGTGAGCATGCTCGGAGCGCGGACGCTGCACGCCATAAACGAGCGACTCTGTCGGCTTCGCGGATCGCAGAAAGATTTCGGGGATCCCCATCGTCCTCTTCTGCGGAGACTTTCAGCAGTTCCGGCCGGTCCAAGAGAGGTCGATCGTCCTGCCGAGCGCGGCCATCTCGTGGGACGTAGACAACTCGTTCAAGGCCGAGCAGCGGCACCAGCACGACAAAGCGCACGCGCTGTGGAAGAGATTCACGACGGTCGTCATGTTGAACGAGCAAATGCGCGCCGCCGGGATCCGGAATTGCAGGGGCTGCTGAAGCGGATCCGGCAGGGTGTGCAGGACCGCACGGATCTGGACCTCCTCAACTCAGGTGCTACCGCGAGGGCAGGCGGATCCCTTGGGAGACTGGCATCACCGTGGTGACGCCGCTGAACAGGAATCGGTGGAACCTAAACATGGAGGCAAGCTTGGCGTTCCGGGTCCAGCAGCGGTCGACGATGCGCATCTTCATCTCCGAGCACAAGTGGAAGGAGGGCCTGCCGACCGAGGAAGAAGCGATCATGATACTCAATCAAGGCGACGATAGCGCGATCCCCGTGCCGGCCGTCTTCATGTTCGTGGCCGGGATGCCGGTCGTCGTGAACCACAACACCCATCAGGGGCTGAAGCTGGTGAACGGCGCCGGCTACTCGGCGGTGGAGGTCATTGTCGACAAGGCGTCCCCAGGGCATCGAATCTCGTCCGACATGACGATCCACTTCGGCCGCCGGCGGGGATATTACTGGAATCGGCGACGACAAAGGACCTCCACTTCGTCGGGATGCCGCCGGGCACGATCTTGTTAACGCCGATGAGCGTCAGGATACACTGCCAACGAAAGCGGCCGTGGCAGCAGAACGACGTCAGCCGGAAGGGATTGCCGTGCGCAGCAGCCTTCGCCTGCACGGACTACAAGGTGCAGGGCAGAACGCCAGAGCGCGTGGCCCTGGAGCTGCGGGGACACGGACGACGAAAGTCGATGGAAGGGCCGTGCCTCGCAATGCGACCCGTACAGCTTATATGTGCAGCTATCGCGCTGTCGAACGCTAGACGGCATCACGCTCGTGTCCAAGGTGCGGGAGAGACTTGGTGGGCAACCGAGTCCCCGAAGAGATGACCGCCGCGCAGGCCAGGCTGGAGGTGCTAAGCGAGAGGACTGTCGAGGAAGCTTTGCGTCGGTCGGATGGCGACGCTGAAGAGTCAAGGAGAGTTGTCAGGGTGAGGTGACGAGGGGAGAAGACGGAGGAGCGCCGGCGGGCAAGAAGACAAGGGCACTGGGCAGCAGCGATCAACGAGGGGCGACTTTTAGACTTGAAGGAAGAACCCGCTAGAAAGGCATGAACGAAAAGGGCAAAGACAAAAGACGCAAGTTTTAGACACAATAAGAAAACCGGCGGACGAAAGGAAAAAGGTTGGCATTGGCATTGGCATTGGCAAGGGGGTAAACAGGAGTATAAACGGGGGGGAAACAGGGCAAGGCATGAGAGGGGCAAGAGAAGGCGGCAGCGACCAATGATGAGGGAGGGACGGAAGGGTCGGCGACCAATCACACGGGATCTTTTATTCCGACGGGAGAGGCAACCCAACAGGGTTGCGCAAAGAGCCTTGAGGAACGAAAAAAACGTCTAGACAAGGGGCAGACAGATGTACAGAGGCAGAAAGGTAACGACGACCAAGGGGCAGCCAGGCTGGACGAAAAACACTTCCCATTTAAGGAGTTATAGCAGCGTACGCTATTCCATTTCCGTAGCTTTCTTAGATAGGTGGCGGTTTCGAAGCGGACGGGCCGGCGAGCCAAGCCATGGGCGACAATGGAATCGAGGGAAGAGTCCCGTAAGTCAGGACCCGGCTTAGGGTTGTCCGGCTCATGAGCGGCGGAGGCAGCCGAAACAGAGAACGAGTGGGTAGCAGAGGAGGCGGGCTTAGGGGAAGACGAGATCACCGGGGCCTTATGCAGCAGACACGGTCGCTTCGTCGGCGTATCGGCAGGCTCAGGGCAATATCGTTTCCCGGGCGGCGTAAGGTGGCCGGTCGAGGGCGAAGCCGAAGCCAAGGGTGGAGGACTGAGCGGGAGGGTGCCAGGGGTGATCAAAGACAAAGAGGCAGCGCGCACGTCCCGGAAGGCCGCGGAAGCGGAGGAAGCTTGTTGCCTCTGTGGCGTAGAGAGAAGCGGTGCCATCGTGGTGACGGCGGCGGCGGCCTTGTCGAGAAAGTCCAGGAATCCGGGACGACGATAAAGACGTTGTCCCGGTCCGAGCCCGGGGTAGAGCATGACATCATGACGGAGCAGGCCAGCGACCTTGCCTGTGCAGGTAAAGGGACGTTAGGCTGAAATTGAGAGTCCTGCCTCTCGGCCATCTTCCTACACAAGATGGCCCAGGGTTAGCGCGAACAGGGAAGATAACGAAGACCTGGAACGGGTGGAAGCCCTTGAAGGGGACCTTATTAGGCATCCCAGGAGCGACATAGGTAGAAAGGCGGACAAATCCGCAACAGTTAAGTTGGGCGGCGCCTGGACCGGGCAGTAGGTCCCGCCGCAGCGAGGAGTGGCCGGTGCCGACGATAAGGCCGGTAAAGGAAACAATAGGCGGGATGCAGGAAGTCGCCCATGGAGGCAAAGAGCCTAGGAGAACACTTCAAGCCCATCTTAGCCATATACCGTTTCGTCGGCACTCGCGAAGGGTCAGGGCACGGCTTACGGCTGGTAGCCCTGATCGCGGACGACAAGGGCGGGCATCGTATAGAGAAAGGTGCGGCCCGTGTCAGACTCGAGGCCGTCGCGTTGCTCAACCTCCCATGCGAGCGCGTAGGGGTGGACGCGGGCATGCATGAAAACCACTCTTCGGTCCAGTCGGAGGATCAATAGGCTGGCCGTAGATGGAGAGGTTGAGGCTAAAAAGACGGATGTCGGGGAATCATCGGCATCCGATCGGAGGGCGCATATTCCGTCGCGAGCAGCCAGGCGGGAGGAGGCAGGAAGACGCGGGCCATGGCCTCGGCGTTAAGACCCTGATGCGGTGGTCGTCCTGGTGGGAAAATCTAGCAGGACAGTCCGGCTGGACAAAAGACATCATAGACATCTCACCGCCAGCGCCCTTTGGCTATCGAGCGGCTTTCGAAGGTGCGGTGCGGGCATATCGGTACGAAGTAGAGAGGAAGACATAGTGCATCTGCGCAGGTCGATAGGCCACTTGCACGCACTAAAAGGACGGGTTCTCAGCGTCAAGAAAGGAGTAGGGAAGAAGTCGAGCGTAGACGCACTTATAGTAGATCAATAGTGGTATGGATTCGCCGGGAAGAGCGAGGAGCCTTGCCGCTGTAAGTAAGCAGACGTCAAAGAGATGCGTCGTGGTGTTGCGGAGCTGGGTACTGATCGGGCAGCAAGGGCGACGCGGATTAAAGTGTCCGGCAGGGCTACCGGCATAGGATGGCGAAAACTAGGGCTGTCGGCAGATAGGCCTGTCGATAGGTACAAAGGAAGCCCGGCAGGTCCGAGAGAGGAGAGGTCTAATGCAGAAAGGGGATATTAACAAGGAAGGATATAACCGTTAGCAAGAAGAATGCCAACGCGGCGGAACGCCATTGCCAGGAAGCGAGACAATCTCGGGTATATCCCGGGCGAAGGCTTCCTAATCTATCGTTCGTTTGCGGAGCCTTGCCGATAAGACAGCACCAGCATGGGGAGAATCGTAGCCGCGAGGTAAGATCGGTGGCAGGAGAGTGCGAAACGGGACAGCAGCAGCGGCCGCTGCTGCGACGAGGAGTATCGCGGCGGCGAGACCGATCGCAATGGACGAAGGGCCGAAGCGGGCGTCGGGCCACAAAAGTCAAGGAAACGCGGCACCCAGGTTCCGGCCTATTGAGGCCAAGCCGGCCGCGGCGGCCGACGATGCCTCACGAAGAGAGCAGGCAGAGGCACTCAAAAGAGCGTTGCCCAAGGGAAGTCGGCGAGGCGGCTGGCCGCGGAAAAGGACGACTAACGTCGATAGTTCCTCCTCGAAGGGAGGGCTCGTGGAGGGCGTCCAGAGGGGCACGTCTGGAAGGCGAAGCCGTGGTGCGCGGACAGGGCCAATGGGCTCCGAGGACACCCAAGCCGCCCAGGAGGACAGGATCGGCCGGCAAGCCCTGTCGGGAACTCGCCTAGAGTCGTCAGGGAGCTTCTGGTTCGGCCAATCCGACCTCAAGAGATGGATGATGGCGCAGGAGATACGCAGTCATCCGGACGGTGGCCACCGCCGCCATCACGCCAGAAAGGACAGGGTCGGCCGGCAAACAGTGTCGGGATTTCGTCTACAGCCGTCAGGAGCGCCTCATTCGGCCAATCCAACCTAGAGCAATAGAAGATAGAGCGGGAGATATACAGTCATCCGGATGCCAGGCGGGACAGGATTGGCCGGCAACCGCTGTCACGATGTCGTCTGGAGTCGTCAGGAGCCCCTCGTTCAGCCAACCCAACCCAGAGATGCAAGGCAGGGCAGGAGATACGCAGTCATCCGGATGGTTGCCACCACGGCCATCACGCCAGGCGGCGGCGGAGAACAAGATCGGCCGTGGCGAGACGAGGCAGCGGAAAGATCCTCGCAGGCCGTAGAACAGAGAAAGAGGAACCGCCAGCGTGACCGAGACCAGACCCCGACGAAACGTACTCGAGGAAGCCATCCGAGGCAGAGGAGGAGTGAGCTGCAGGCAGAGGATTTGGCCAGTGTCTTGCTTTACCTCGAAGGGGAATTCGTCGCGAAGGAAAGGCTGTCTAAGGAGCAAACCTGGTGCACACCAATACCGCATGAGAGGAAGGTATCGACGGTGCGAAAGTTTTATCGGGCGTTCCACGATGTGAGCACCTTGCCGATAATGACCTGCAGGCTGTGTTACCGCAAGCGTACAAGGAAGGAGTTGAGGAGATTCCGTGGGATCAGTGGCTATCAAGTCCCGTTCCTCGGGGTGAGCGCTCACCATTTGCGTGCCGAAGCTGCTTTCCCGGGGGTGAGCCCGTCTCGGTTTGTGTGGAGTGTGCCCGATGCTTGGGGCGCGGGAGCCTGTCGTCGGCGGTCCACCTTCACAGTCGCCTCGGATGCGAGCACATGTTCCCCGACGAGCTGAAGGGGCTGACGCCGGTCGAAGAGAAGCTCATCTCGTTGAACTCGTGTTACGGCTTTGTGACGAGGTATAACATTCCGGGCGGGCAGACGCAGGCAGTGAGGTATCCGAGACATGTCAAGGGCCACATCACGGTGTTTCCAAACAACGTGCAGGAGCTGGCGAGAAGGGTGCTCCCGCACCCGCTCTGGCAAACAATGGACGAGATCCACGTCTCGTGGCAGGGCGCGGAGAAGCCAGCACCGTGCGACTTATCGGGTCTCTTGTCGGTGAGGCGTCAAGTCGTCGAGAGAGCGCTTATCTGGTTGAAGAAGAATAACCCCCATTACGCCGATATTGAGATTGATAGGGCGGAAATGGATAGCTGGGGAACACCATCACACGGTGTGCCGCGGGTGGTCTACGACCGCATGGAGCGGAACGAGCCGTCTGCGTGGGAGAAGACGCGAACGGCGCAGGTCGTGCCGCCCGCAGAGCGGGCCATGGACGACGATAGTCCGGCGGAGATCGAAGGAGTCCTCGCCCAGCTCCTCCAAGGACAAGACGTATTGGACAGGGGAGTCGAGAATCCGAGGAGTGGAGCGGACGGGACTGACGATGCTGAGCCCGATGACAGAGCCAAAACGATCAACGAGATCACCTCTTCCGGCATGTTTGCATTGGACGGACCGCCGGAAGTGTCGGACGCAGAGAAGCTCCGCTTTGCGTGCAATGCCGTGGGTGGCGATGGGGCCGAGAACGACCGCAAGGGGCCGAGGGCATGGATAAGGTCGGCGGAGGCGGGTCAAGAAGGCACGGATGTCCGCGAGCCATACATCCACGTTTGTCGCGGAGACGAATTCGCCGACTCGCTCGACGCCTCGTTCTTCGCCAAGACCTTTCCCACCCTACTGCCGTTCGGATTTGGAGGACCACGGCTCGCGGAGGAAGTCATCTTAGGACCCGAGGGCCGGTCAATTGGCGGGTACGGCTGCTGGAGAAGAGACGGCGGCGCGAGATCTTCTGTCGTCTCGGAACATAAGCCTTCGGACCTGGGCCGGCATTGTGCTGCGGCGCCATGGTGGCCGATTCGCGACGCATACCATCTTCTCGTTTCTCGTTTTCAATATGGATGTGCGGTCGAAGAATCGTCGGGTCAGCATGCTCAGCGCGACGCGGAAGAACTTCGCCGAGGTGGAGCGCATCGTACGGTCGCTGACAGCGGATAGGTTAGCGGCCGCCAGGGCGGAGCTGGAGACGTCGGGCAAGACTACCGACGATGGCGTCAAGGAGCTTCTAAGATGCCTTTCGCTGTACGGCTATCGGCAGCCCATGTCGAGGGAGCTCCGTCTGAGCATGCGGCGCAAGATCCAGTCACTCATCTTATGTCGTGGCGTGCCTGCAATCTGGTTCACGCTCAACCCGAACGACATCACGAACCCGGTGAAGCTGAGACTGGCGGCATACCGCACGTGATCCCGCAGCGGCCGAGGCATTCCTGCAAGGCCTCGACAAGGCGTTCAAACGTGCGCGGCTGGCCATCTCGGACCCGTTAAGCTCGGCCGAATTCTTCCACCGAGAAATGACGTTGTTCTTCGAACATTACGTGAGAGTGGGCGAGGAGTCGGTGTTCGGGCGCATCAGCCACTATTACGGTGCCGTCGAGACCAACGAGCGTGGAGCGCTCCATGTTCACGGACTGCTCTGGCTGCAGGGCAACGTGCATCTAAGCTCGATGCTTGCCGATATCGACGGCGAGGATCAAGCGGCATACCGAGAACGCATCGTCAGATACGTCGACAGTGTCTTTTCCGAGGTATGAGCGGGGGCCGGCGTGTTGACCTGCGTCCTCCGTCTGTCAAAGCCGAGAAAGCTGACGAACAAGACAGGATCTGGACCAGGAAGGCTTCTGCGCAATGCAGGCCGAGCGATCGGTGACGTCAGATATATCGCAATTTCTGGGCGACGAACGGCAATTTTCAGCCTCGTTCGACGAGGAAGCGAACTTCTGTGCCGGCGCGACGCAGATCCATACCCACAGCCCGACCTGCGTCAAGTACTCGCTGGGCAAAGGGGCGCAAGGGCGATTTATGTCGTTTCAAGGCGCCGTGGGGACTGGTCGACGAGACGGCCTTCACGGGAGACGGCGTGCTGCGGATTCGGAGGTCGCACAGCATGGTGAATCGGTGGAACAAGGCCATTGCCGTGGGGCTTCGCCACAACCATGACATATCTTTCATCGTCACACAGCGTAAGACGATGGCCCTCATCTTTTACGTCACAAACTATGCGACCAAGGTGGAGGACCCTGTATGGAAGCGCGTCGCCGCCGCCGCGGATCTCTTGCCTCCCAGGGCAGGTGACGGAATGGCCGACGGCGCGGAGGTTCGTGGAGACAGTGGTGCCGGTGACGATGGCAGGCAGAATAAGACACGGCAGTTCCTGATGAAGGTGGCGAATCGCGTGTTTACGGAGAGGCCGTTATCGCAGGTCGAGGTCGTCGCGGACCTCCTGGGATGCGCGACTGAACTGACGAATGGCAGTGCTTGGGCGTTCCTGAACGTATCGTTGCTCTACTGGCAAGTCTTCCGACAATGGCCGCACCTTCGACGAGAAAGCGGCGCAGCCGTTGCAGATGGCTCTGTGGACGAGTCAATACTCGTCGAAGAAGCAGGCCAGAGGATTTGCCGTGTCGAGGCATACCGTCATCGGGGAGACGTCCTTCGAGGGCTGTGTCTCTACGACTACGTTTCGCTGGTCAGGCTGAAGCGCAACGAAAGGGACGAGGGCCCGCCGGCTGGGAGGTCCCGTTCGAGAGCGGCTGGGCTCCGGGAGGCCGTTGGGCGCAGGTGCTCAGGCGACCGGGCAAGCAGGCCACGGTCTGCCTCGACGGGTATTTGAGCAAGGATTTCGACGAAGACGACGAAGGGTCGTGCTACCGAAGGTGCGTTTGTCGTCGACGGGCCGGAGGCGCCGGGTCGAGAAGGCTAATTTCCATGGCGAAGAGCGGCTGTGCAGCATCTTGCGCTGTTCGTGCCGTGGGAGTCTTTCTTAGACGAAGAAAGGGGCGACATCAACTGCATATGGGGGCGGCAACGAGCAGCCCTGGCCCCGAGGATATCATGTTTCGTCGATAACGTGCAGTTGCTGCGACGGTCGGCCGAAGATGCAAAGCGGGACGCACGGCAGTGGGCGGCCTCGTCCGGTGACGGCGACCCCACGGCAGTACGTCCGGACGAGGACGGCACCGGGGAGGTGGGTGTCGAGCCCGGATCGGGATACCAGGCCGACAGTGCGGGAAGCACGAATCGCCTAATCGACGTTGTCAGAAGCTCGATCGGGCCGAACCAAATCACGGCCGGCTCGCCGGAGCTCACGGCGATGATGCAGGAGCTCAGCCGATTTCAGCAATCGGCGCTGTCCTCTTCTTCCGAGGTCCAGGCCACAATACTACCCGAACGGGGCCCAAGACGAATCAACATCCCGGGGCGGGCATTCTCCGGAGCCACCATACCGCCGCAAAGTGAGGTTAGGGCCATAAAGTCGCAGCAAATCCGCGCATCCAGGGAGAGGGAGAAGATGATACGGGGCATACAAAGCCTGTCCACGGCACCGGTGACTGGTCGCCGCGCGGCGGTGCGGGGCGTGCTCACGGGTTTCGGGGATGACGACGTCCAGATGACGGCAGCGGAGCTCGAGGAAGGAGTAGCGGGGGCCAGCGCGGGAATGGAGATCCGGTTCGGTGCCTCAACCTCCTTCCTCGAGGCGGGCAAGGCCCTGGCAGCGCGGCTCACGCTAAACAAGAAGCAGGCGATCGCCTTCCTAATTATATGCCGCCAGCTTGACCTGATACGGCGCGGGAGAAAAGCAACGTACGCCAGCTGTGCCAGTTCGTCGGTGGAGAGGGCGGAACGGGCAAGTCACGAGTCATCGAGGCGCTCGTCGAGCTCTTCGCGTCCAAGGATCAATCGAATCGTCTGATGATAACGGCGACGTCGGGGACGGCAGCAGCGCGGATCAACGGCATTACGATCCACTCCGCCTGCGGGTTCTCGAAAGATCTCGCGGCAGCCGCAAACGCGGCCAAGGATCTCGACGGGGTGCGACTGCCGAAACAGGCGGAGCGGTTCGTCGACGGGCAATCCCGGATGGACTGGCAGGAGAAGGACGTGCTCGTCATCGACGAGGTGAGCATGCTCGGGGCGCGGACGCTACACGCGGTGAACGAGCAGCTCTGCCGGCTGCGCGGGTCGCACCAGGATTTTGGAGGTATTCCGATCGTCCTCTTCTGCGGAGACTTCCACCAATTCCGCCCCGTCCAAGAACGCTCGATCCTCCTCCCCAGCACCGCCGTCTCGTGGGACGTAGACAGCTCCTTCAAGGCCGAGACACGGCACCAGCACGACAAGGCGCACGCGTTGTGGAAGAGATTCACGACCACGGTCATGCTGGACGAGCAGGTGCGCGCCGCGGGAGATCCGGAATTGCAGAGGCTGCTAAGGCGGATTCGACTGGGCGTGCAGGACCGCTCGGATCTGGACCTCCTCAACTCAAGATGCTACCGGGAAGGCAGGCGGATCCCGTGGGAGACGTGCATCACCGTGGTGACGCCGCTGAACAGGAACCGGTGGAACCTCAACATGGAGGCCAGCTTGGCGTTCCGGGCCCAGCAGCGGTCAGTGATGCGCATCTTCATCTCGGATCATACGTGGAAGGAGGCCCTGCCGACGGAGGAAGAGGCCATCATGATGCTGAACCAGGGCGACGACAGCGCGATCCCGGTGCCGGCCGTCTTCATGTTCGTGCCGGGGATGCCGGTCGTCGTGAACCATAACACCCATCAGGGGCTAAAGCTGGTGAACGGCGCCGGCTACACGGCGCTGGAGGTCGTCCTCGACAAGTCGTACCCGGGGCATCGTATCACGGCAGACACGACGGTCCATTTCGGGCCGCCGGCGGGATAATGCTGGAGTCGGAGACGACGAACGACGTTCACTTCGTCGGGATGCCGCCAGGCACGGTCCTGTTGACGCCCATGACGGTCAAAATACAGTGCCAGCGAAAGAGGCCGTGGCAGCAGAACGACGTCAGCCGAAAGGGCCTGCCCTGTACGGCAGCCTTCGCGTGCACAGACTATAAAGTGCAGGGCAGGACGCTCGAGCGTGTAGCTCTGGAGCTGCGGGGAACGCGGACGTCAAACATCGACGGACGCGCCGTGTCCTCGCAGTGCGACCCGTACAGCCTGTACGTGCAGCTGTCTCGCTGCCCGACGCTGGACGGCATTATGCTGGTCTCGAAATTGCGGAGAGGGACCTGGTGGGCAACAAGGTGCCAGACGAGATGACAGACGCAGAAGCGAGGCTGGGCCAGCTGAGCGACAAGACTGTCCGCGAGGCCTCGGGATGGCTAGACGTTGATTCCCTGGACTCTAAAGGCACGGGCCTGGACGTGTAGCTATCGCGATGCCGGGCGCAGGGCGCTGGACGGCACCATGCTCGTGTCAGGGGTGCGGGAGAGGGTTTGGTCGGAAAAGGCCAAAAACCGGTTTCACGAGGAGCTGAGTCCTAGTCGCGAGGTTAGGTCGCTGGCAGGACCGGAGAGGGCGAACTGCGCCGGAAGGCGAAACAAAAGGGCTAGGACGAAAAGGGGAAGTAATCATTAAGCGACCAAAGGGAAGCCGGGATTTAAAAGCTCTCCAATCAGCAGCCAAGATGGGTTCTCCAATCAGAAGCCAAGGGTTTCGAGGGTAAAGTAGGTTTGGGGGTTTTTGGGGTTTTTTTCGCGTCCAGAAGAGCCTTTTCGTTCCTCAAGGCAAAGAGGAAATAAATCAGCCAACAATCAGAGGCGGAGGATGTGGGGGTGAAGCAGTCTGGGGCCTTTTTTCCCCGCGCGCTAATGAAGTCCTTTCGTTCCTCAAGGCACCTGGAACGACTCCACCACATGGACCTCTGTACGGGATGTCCCAAGACGAACTTCTCGTCCTCCGGAAATTCCTTCAGGAAAACCTTGACAAGGGTTTTATACGCGCTAGCACCTCACCGGCGGCCTCGCCGGTGTTATTTGCAAAGCCAGGAGGGCCTTCGTTTTTGCGTGGACTACCGAGCTCTTAACGCGATAACCATCAAGAACCGCTACCCGCTACCGTTAATCCAGGAGACACTTTCTCAGCTAAGCCAAGCCAAGTATTTCACCAAACTCGATGTCGTCGCAGCGTTCAATCGAATACGCATCAAGGAGGGTCAGGAGTGGATGACGGCGTTCAACACAAGATATGGTCTCTTCGAGAGCATGGTGATGCCTTTGGACTATCAAACGCCCCAGCTACCTTTCAAGCTCGAATCAACGAAGTCTTACGCCCATTCCTTGATAGATATTGCACAGCCTACATCGACGACATTCTCATCTACTCAGACGACCTCGCCACCCACAGACTCCACGTCAAATCAGTACTTCAAGCACTTGAAGCCGCAGGCCTACAACTTGACGTCAAGAAATGCGAATTTGAGACTACTGAAGTTAAATATCTGGGCATGATCATCTCAACCACTGGAGTACGGATGGACCCAGAGAAAGTCGACTGTCTCATCAACTGGGAGGCCCTATCAACGTCAAAGATGTTCAAGCCTTCTTAGGATTCTCGAATTTCTACAGACGGTTCATCAAGGGATTTTCACGCATCGTACGACCACTTGTTGCCCTGACACGGAAACTAGTCAAATGGAACTGGACTTCATCGTGCCAAGAAGCATTCGATATGCTCAAAAATAGCTTCACTTCAGCGCCAATCCTCAGACACTTCGACCCCGCAAGAGAAGTGTTTGTCGAATGCGACGCATCCGATTTTGTCTCTTCGGGCATCCTCTCCCAGGAAGATGATCAAGGAGTGCTACACCCAGTGGCTTTCATGTCCAAGTGTAAGGGGCTACGCCCCGATGTGTAGATCTGGCATGGCCAGACTAGTCACGTGCGAGCGCCACGGACACGACTCCTAAAGGGAGCGATGTAGACACGTCTCCCCTTTACACTCTTTGTAGCTCAATTTACATCAATTACGCCCAGCACCTGTGCCAACAGTGCTGACCCCGTAACATATTGAGCTACCAGTTAACAAAAGACAGGACAGACAGAAGGACAGACAGAAGGACAGACAGCAGGACAGACAGCAGGACAGACAGCAGGACAGACAGCAGGACAGTCAGCAGGACAGTCAGCAGGACAGACAGCAAGACAGGCGATAGGCTAAACGACGAGACGGACGATCGATCGGACGACGAGACGGACGAACAAGATGGAGGACAATAGTAGTTATGCAGGGCACCGCGACCGGCGGCGCAACGAGCCGATGGAGGGAAGGAGCAAGAGCTCTTGCAGATCTTATCTGGGATCGCGGGAGACGAAGAACTGCGGAAGATGTTCACCGGGCTAGGCCTAGCAGCGCCACCGTTGACACCCAGCCCGGGGGTGCTCAGTACCCCGGCGATCTTACCCGTCGAACCGAGGCCGGAAGCAGCCCAGGAAATGGACCGTGGCAAGAAGCGCAAGCCGATGACTTGGCCGAAGTGGAACGGTCAACCCGAGTCCTTCCACTTCTACCTCGACCGTCTGGTATTTAAGTACAATACCGACGAAGAGGAGGGCCTAAACGGCAATAACAACGTCGTGTGGTACGAGATCCTGCAGACCTTGCCGGATCAGATGATGAGGAGAGTCGAGGGTTTTTGGAGGCAAGAGAGCGCGAAGGGCAACCCAGACCCCCGGAAATTCTTCTCGCACCTAGCCCAGACGTTCGGCAGCGTGCAGCAGACAGAGAGGGCGCAGGACAGGCTGCGCACCCTCATTCAACGAGACAGCCAAGAGTTTGGGAAGTTCCTCCTGAATTCGAGGAAACATTGACCAAAGCGGGCGGCGCGAGCTGGGATAATGCTTCCAAGCTCGCATGGCTACGGAACTCGATCTCTCCTGCTCTCCGTGAGCAACTAGTCCCGGTTATCATGCCGAAGGACTACAACGAGTACATCCAACGTCTACACCCGATTGCTTGGGCGTTCGAGCACACCGCGAAGTTTAAGGCGTTGCAGAGGAAGCAGGGCTCCCGCGGGCAACGTGACCAAGGGCAGGCATCAGGCATCGGCAACATCCAGGTCGCCGGTAACGACAACACCCCGGCACCGTCAGCAACGTTACCCGCCGAGCAGAACGCACGTGACGCACGCGACCATGACGGCGACGTAATAATGACGGTTACACGCACTCAGGGGCAGGGTCAGAGAGGACGGGCGAACGGCCAGGGGTCAAGTGGAACGAGCAAGACGGTTCGCTTCCAGCCTAGGTCAGGACGGAAGCAACGGGCGAGGTGGGTATCCGAGGACGAACGGAATAAACGCCGTGACGAGGGTCGTTGTCTCCGCTGCGGCGACAACACCCATTTCATTGCCGCTTGCCCCTACTCGCCAGGACAGGACCCTAGCCGGTCGAGGGATGTAAAGTCCGCACCGCTAGGATCATGCCCTTGCTGGAAGATGATGGTAACGACTCTAGTGAGGAAGAGTCAGGACTTAGCGAGACCCCATCCTCTCGGGAAATGCGTAGCCTCGAAACAAAGACGGGTCTCGAGGCCAAAGAACGGAGCAGTGGCAAAGAAGAGAAGTTCTCAGGAAAATGGAAGTTGGTCCTACAATAATTCGAAGCATTATCAATAGGACCAATCTCTTCTCCTCACTCGTAGACGAGGATGCCAGTGCTACGCCGCGGTTGACGAAGAAGTCGTCGAAAAGTTGGAAGTTCCTATAGTGGAAATAGCACCGCGAGCTATTACAGGAGCATCAGGGGCAATGGAAGGAGCAACGATTAGGGGCCTCGTATGGCTATCAATGGAGGTCAACGGCCACATACAGACGATCTGTGCCTACGTGGTGCCCCGATTGGAATTCCCCCTAATCCTAGGAAAACCCTGGTTATGCCACACAAAGTCGTACTCAGTGCCCCACGAGAAACGACTATGGCATGAACCTACACAAGACTGGGTAGATCACCTCGGGGAAGGAGAATATTCTGCGAAAGCCAAGGAGTTCGAAGAAGCAAAGCACGTACTAGCCAGTACCTTTGTGGGTTACTTTGAAAGGATCCGCAAGCAGGAAGGAAGAGAGGCAGCTGCCACGGCGATTTTCGCTATCAGCATGAAGGATATCGAAAGGGCGTTATCACCAAAGAAACCCATGTCAGAAGCAGAGCTACGCCGAACGATACCCCAGCGGTTCCACGATTTACTGCCTCTATTTATGAAGAAGGAAGCTGATAAGCTGAATCCTCATAAGCCAGGCATAGACCACGAAATCAGAATCAAGGAGGACCCGAATGGCCAGCAGTTACCACTACCGTATGGAGCACTATACGGTATGTCACGAGAGGAACTCCTGGTTCTTAAGAAGACTCTACGAGACCTAGTGGATAAAGGATTTATCCGTGCAAGCAGTTCAGAAGCAGCAGCTCCAGTCCTGTTTGTGAGGAAACCAGGTGGCGGGCTGCGATTCTGTTGTGACTACAGAGCGTTGAACGCAATCACTAAGTCGGACCGTTACCCTTCCTCTAATAGGGACACACTTCGCAACCTAAAAGATGCGAAGTGGTTCACTAAGGTCGACGTGGTACAAGCGTTCCATAAAGTACGGGTTGCAGAAGGAGACGAGTGGAAGACAGCGTTCCGCACCCGGTACGGTCTCTTCGAATGGATGGTTACCCGTTCGGGCTAAGTGGCGCGCCAGCAACCTTCCAGCGGTATATTAACGGTATCCTACGAGACTACCTCGACGAGTTCGCCTCTGCTTATATGGACGATATACTTATCTATTCGAGCGGGAGCAGAGAAGACCATTTCCGGAAGGTACGGTTAGTTTTAGAACGCCTCGCCGAGCATGGACTACACCTAGACCCGGAGAAATGCGAATTTGGAGTCAAGCGGATTAAGTACCTAGGATTCATTATTCACGCAGGAATTGGCATTCAGGCAGATCCCGACAAGATACGAGCAATAGTCGAGTGGGCAGTCCCCGTTACCCAGAAGGGGGTGCGCAGTTTTCTAGGATTCGTTAACTACTACCGGATATTTATACCGCAAGCCTCGGAAATAACTGCACCCCTAACAGCACTAACAGGAAAGGGGACTAAGTTCAAGTGGACGGACGAGCACGATATGGCGTTCCAGACACTAAAGACGCTATTTACGAACGCCCCTATTCTTACTCAATGGGATTTCGAGAGGCCAACCTTCGTAGAAGCAGACTGTAGCGGCTGGGCGCTTGGGGGCACACTTACGCAGGAAGTCGACGGACAACGCAAGCCAGTAGCGTTCCACTCGCAGAAGCTATCACCGGCTGAGCGCAACTACCCAATCCATGATAAGGAAATGCTCGCTATTATTCGTTGTCTCGAACAATGGTCAGCCGAGCTACGAAGCTGTGATAACTTCGTTATCCTTACCGACCATAAGAACCTCGAGTATTTCATGACGCGCCAACAGCTCTCGGAAAGGCAGGCACGTTGGGCTGAATATCTCTCGCGTTTTAACTTCCAGCTCCAGTACCGTCCGGGACGGGAAGCAGTGGTGCCAGACGCGCTCTCGCCGCGAACAGGACCGACCAAACGAAGCGGATCACGAAGCACGAGATATGCAGCTTATTCCAGAAGCAGCCCTACGTACCTACGTCGGAGTAACGTCGACTCAAGCGGGAGAAGGCGAAGAAGAACACACGGTTTTCCACGACCCAGAGCTACAACAATTATGGCAGCAAACGGCAAACCAGGATCCAGTCTTTACAAGCGTTTATAACGCGGTACGAAACGGATCTCGGTCCTCGACCCCAAGCTTAAGCTGAAGGTACAAGTCGCCGAGTGCTTTATTGATCCTCGGGGGCACCTACGACTACGTGGCCGCTTATGGGTGCCAGGCGCACCGATCACGACAGAAGCAGCAGCCAAGGCAGCACCGCTAGAGCAGGAGTCGCTAAACGAATTACGGGGCTCCTTAATCCAGAAGGTTCATGACTCCCATGTAGTAGGCCACCCGGGACGGAAGGGACGATAGAAGCCGTATCCAGGGACTTCTACTGGCCGCTAATGCAACAGCATATCCGACGTTTCTTGCGTAACTGCGATGTCTGCGGCCGTACGAAGATATGGCGCGAGCATAAAGGGGTCTACTTAGACCGCTACCCGTACCGGACCGCTTCTTCCGCCAGATACAGATGGACTTTATTACGGACCTCCCCGCGAACGGTAACCGCTGCCTCTGGGTTATCAAGGACCGGCTAAGTAAGGAAGTTATACTCGAACCGATGCCAACGATGGAAGCGGAAGCATGTGCAGAGCGTTTTCTATGGTGCTTCGCCCGCTACCACTGGTGGCCCGACGCTATAACGAGCGATAGGGGCTCGAATTGGGTAGGCCGCTTTTGGAGGCACATGTGCAAGTTACTGGGGATCGACCAGCAGCTAAGCACGGCGTACCACCCCCAAACCGACGGAGGCCCTGAGAGGATGAACCAAGAAGTACAGGCATACCTCCGCGCCGTGATTAACCAGAACCAGAACGACTGGGATAAGTGGGTTCCCGCGGCTCAGATGGCGTTAAACGGTCGGGTCAATACCTCTATAGGGATGTCCCCATTCTTCGCTATACACGGCTATGAGCCGAAGTCACCAGTTCCTCGTTACGGAAGCATATGCGGAAGAGTATCCTCAGCATTCGCCAGAAACCAGGGCAAAGAAATTTGTTACCAAACTACAACAGATTACGGACCTCTGCCAAGCATCAATGGCGACAGCTACGCAGCAACAAGAACGCTTCGCTAACAGACGACGGAACGCGGCAGAACGCTTCGAAGTAGGCGATAAGGTTTGGCTTGACTTACGGAACTACGCGTCAGAGCGACCTAAGAAGAAGTTCGACTGGCTGCACGCTAAGTATACGATAAGCAAGGTACTCGACCCGTACACGGTTGAACTAGCAGACCTCCCGAGGGGCTGCTATAATAGGTTCCACGTCGACCAACTCCGGAGAGCGGGGACGGACCCAATGCCTGGTCAGCAACGCACAGACGCTCAACCCCATCTATCCAAGTAGACGGGGAGGCTCACCAAGTAGTAGAGGAAATACTATGCGCTAGGTGGAAGAGAACCGGCCGCGGCCGTAGGCGGAAGTCCTTGTACGCTGGCAAGGTTGGCAAGACCCGACCTGGACCTCTTTAGACAATATGCAACAGACAGCGGCCTTGGATAAGTACGAACAGAGATACGGCCCGGCTCTCGAAAACGATGGACCATACCAGCACCGACGAGTGGCAACGGAAGCACAGCCGGCCCAAATCCAGGGGCAAGTCGAAGGAATACAACCACAGCTGCAGATACAGGGCAAGAGAATACGCGGACCACTACGGGCTAGGACTAATGGCGACGCCCCGTCGATAGTAACGGCACCAGACCCTATAGACGACGGCCCTACGATCGTTGTAGAGGGACCAGGAACAGGAAAAAGGCACCAGCGCCAGAGAGGAGTAGGGGCTAATGTAAGGGCTACGCCCCGATGTGTAGATCTGGCATGGCCAGACTAGTCACGTGCGAGCGCCACGGACACGACTCCTAAAGGGAGCGATGTAGACACGTCTCCCCTTTACACTCTTTGTAGCTCAATTTACATCAATTACGCCCAGCACCTGTGCCAACAGTGCTGACCCCGTAACACCAAGAAGCACGACCCCGCTGAGTGCAATTACGAGATCTATGACAAAGAACTTTTGGCTATTGTACGCTGCTTCGAATGCTGGAGACCCGAACTCCAAGGCACGCACCACCAGATTACAGTCATCACTGACCATGCCAACCTTCGATATTTCATGACAACCAAGCAACTTTCAAGACGACAAGTCAGGTGGAGCGAATTCCTATCACAGTTCCAATTCGCTATCAAGTCAGTGCCTGGGAAAGAGAACGGAAAACCTGACTCACTCACACGAAGATCACAAGACTTGCCGAAAGATGAAAATGACGACCGCATCCAGTACCAACAACAGTCGCTGCTTAAGCCTTGCAACGTAGACTCCTCCGTACAAGAACAACTAAAGCTTGACCCCGAGCTCTCAGAACTCTTTGCCAATCTCTCCTGGGAACAAGAAATTGCACTATGTCCCGCCATTCTTGACGAAATTCAGCCAGAACCAATCAACCACAGAATCACAAGACTTCTAGACAAGGGCTATGAGGAGGACGAATGGTGGATGAAAATCAGGGACGAGATGCTCAAACCCCATGGCACTCCTCACTGAAGGAAGTTTCTATCGGAATGCATGATAAACGAAGGCCGATTATATTTCCGAGAGGCTATACGTACCCGCAGGCGAACTACGGACCCTTCTCACTCAACTCGCCCACGACAGCGTCGAATCAGGCCACCCGGGAAAAACAAGCTATACGAACTCATTTCACGCTCTTATTGGTGGCCAAGGCTTAGCGCCGATACGAAACAATTCACACGCAATTGCCACGGATGCCTGAGGAACAAGACCTCCCGGTTACGGTACCAGGGGACGTTGAAACCGCTCCCAGTTCCCTTGCAAAGATGGAGGGACTTGTCCGTTGACTTCATTGGCCCAATTCAGCGCACAGCTCGTGGATTCAACGCAATCATGGTGGTAGTCGATAGGCTGTCAAAGGACAGACATTTCACGCCTTGCAAGACCGACATGAAAGCACATGACTTGGCAACGCTCTTCGTACGAGATGTCTGGAAACTCCATGGACTACCGGATTCAATCGTATCTGATAGAGGACCACTGTTTGTCTCGGAATTCTGGAAAGCGGTTTGCCACCGCCTACAGATCAATATCAGCCTCTCACAGCATATCACCCCGAAACTGACGGCCAGACGGAAAACGCTAACTCATTTCTCGAACAATACCTTCGCCAGTATGTTAGCTTTGCTCAGGACGACTGGGACGAGTGGCTCCCATTGGCCGAATTCGCAGCCCGTAACGTTGTTAGCGATTCAACGGGAATGTCTCCATTTTTTGCGAACACAGGCTACCACCCCCGAATGAGCTTTGGTCCCCCTCGCGCAATACCACTCGCGGCATCCAAAGACCTGGCAGAACGCTGCAACGAGGGGAACGAATTTGTCGCCAAGATGCAAGAAATCACTGATCTACTTCGGACAAACCTGCTCTCAGCTCAAGCCTCACAAGAACAGTTCGCCAACGCAAATAGATCACCGGCGCCAGCGTACCGAGTTGGAGACATGGTGCTACTTAGCACACGCAACATCGATTCGGCCAGACCCATCCCCAAACTAGATCATAAGTTCATTGGCCCTTTTCGAATCGAGCGCGTGCTCAACCCTCACTCCTACCAACTGAAGTTGCCACATGAATTAGACTCAATTCACAATTCATTCCACGCCAACCTCCTACGACCGTCACCAAACGACCCGCTCCCCGGCCAATACAACACACCGCCCCCACCAATAACGCTAGATGCAAAGGGGGAGAAACTCTGGGCGATTGAAGCAATACTGGACTCGAAACGCACAAAACAGAAAGGCTTCCAGTACCATATACTATGGAGAGGCTTCGACCTTGAGCAGGCAACATGGGAACCACTACAGAACGTCGTCAACGCTCACATCGCCATCAGAGACTTCGAGAAGCACAGCAAAAACAAACCCAGACCCACGAAACAAGAAGTGCAAAATGCTCGCCTACAGGCTCAGCAAGACGTGGAAGAATCAGAAGCGATGGAGTAAGGGAGGCCCATGTGTGAGGAACGATCATGTGACTTTCATACTTTATGAAATGTCTCACTTTGATTCATGTAAATAGCGAAAGTCAGAGTCTTCCTTAGGAACCTCCTTCTCTCTTCGTAGACAATCACCTTACCCAAGTCGCACCCGACCTTGTTCGTGCACTTGTACCGTCACATCAATACCATCAAGACCTCGAGGAACCATCTGATCATATGGATCCCAATGACCACTACTATCTCGATCGAAGATACAACAACAATCGCGGAAGATTTGGTCAGAAGGGGTATAGAAGGTATAGAGGCAACGCTCAACGAGGCAGCTACAACGCTCCACGGGGAAGCTTCAATAGTCAACGCTTTAACCGCCCACAAGGCCGTTACGGCCACAACCACCCGTGGAATAAGAAGTGTTTCGTCTGCAATAAGGAAGGATGTTGGTCTACAAAGCACACTGCCGAGGAACGTCAAAGATCCCGAGACCAATACGTCGCCCACTGTCACTTCATAGGGATTACCTCCCAGGACCTTACAGCCTACGTTCTTGACTTTGAAGGTCACGAGATGGATGCCCACGATGATGCTAACGACCCTGGGACGAGGACGACAATGAAGATAATGACAACAACCCAGAACAGTGGCACACAAGCCAAATGCTCTGCCAGCAAGCCTTCAACCATCTGATCACAGGGGAAGACGTGTATAGCACCTCTCAAAACAACGCTACACCTGCTTCCCAATTCATGATAGAGGAGCGCTACTCAAGACTCTGATTCCAGGGCATCATAATTGACACAGGCGCCGCGAAGGTTTCCACAGCTGGCTACGACCAATGCATCGCTCTACAACGAGAAGACCCTGCTATAACGCTCGATAAGACTACAGCAGGCCAAGCTTCTATCAAATTCGGCAACGGCGAAGCCATTCTATCCTCGGCTCTATCGCCCTTAAAACACCTCTCGGAAGGATCACATTCCATATCCTCAAGACCCCTACTCCCTTCCTCCTCTCTCTCGCTGATATGGATCGCCTAGGCATCTATTTCAACAACCTTACAGACACCATTGTCGGACGAACAACCCTCCCGGTTATCCGCAAATGGGGACATCCTTGGTTCCTCCTACCTAAGACCAACGAGGCCGCTATCGCATTCCTCACGGAGAGCGAGATCCGCACTCTTCATCGTCGATTCGGGCACCCAGCGGTCCCAAGACTTCACAACCTCCTACGGCAAGCTGGCCACAACGATGTGACGATAGATATCCTAGAGAACATCTCGAGATTCTGTCATCACTGTCAAATGCACTCTCAAGCTCCAAGACGCTTCAAATTCACCCTAAAGGATGACCAGGAATTCAACTACGAAATCGTCGCTGATGTGCTCTACCTTGGAACCCTCAACGCCCCGTCTTGCACGTGGTAGATACAGCAACAGCGTTCCAAGCAGCCAGGTTCCTCCTATCGATGTCAGCAAAGGATACGTGGAAGCCCTCCGAGCCCTCTGGATAGACACATATCTCGGACCCCCTGATACTATCAAGCACGACGCAGGGACCAATTTTGCCTCCCTAGAGTTCCGTAACGAGGCAAAGCTTATGGGGATAACCTGCAAGCAAGTCCCTGTGGAAGCACATTGGTCCGTTGGAAAGGTTGAAAGATATCATGCCCCTCTCCGCCGTGCGTTTGAGATCCTCCACGCAGAAATCGGGACCTTCACATCCCCCGAATCGATCCTTCAAATGGCTATCAAAGCCATCAACGACAGCAGGGCCAAATGGCATTGTCCCTACGCTCCTAGTCTTTGGCGCCTACCCTCGAATGGCGTTAGATTCGCCCCCTTCTGCTACGACCCTGAAAAGGGCTGCCGCAGCCCAGAAGGCGATGAAAATGCTTCGTCAGCTCTCAGCAGAGCGGCAAGTGCAGGGCGCCTTACACACAAAGAACGGACCATCATCAACAGGCGTTATACTATCGCTCCCACTGCAAAGCGAGGTCCGAGTGTGGAGAGAAAAGCTCGGCTGGCAAGGCCCTTTAAGATTAGTGCAATTGATGGCTCCAATGTCACAATTGATACTATCAACGGACCCCAGACCTTCCGTTCCACCCTTGTTCAGCCTTATTTCCGCGACGAGACGACGATCCCTGCCCCGCTGCTGCTGCTGCGGATGATTCTGACATTCCTGTTTCTGATCCTGCGAGCGATTCTGTTCCTGTTTCTGCCCCTGCCCCTGCCCCTGTTCCTGCTCCTAATCCCCGGCGCCGCGCAAGCGAGGCCGCCCTGGTTCGAAGAACAAGCCAAAGACGACGTTCCTAGTCAAGAAGGAAGAAGATGCCTACCAACTAGCCATCAAGCTACGGGACGAAGGCATTATCACAACGCCAGGCACCCCCTTTGAGGAATCCGATAGCACGGAGATCGATGATCTATTGGTACGAGGAGTGTTTAGCTTCGAACGCTACAATGAAGCAAAGCACGGGAACCATCATATCTTCCGCTCCCGCATGGTCCGCGAGGTTAAAGGCAAAGAAACCAAACCATACGAGAAGTCAAGGCTCGTGGTCCAAGGGCACAACGACCAAGAGAAAACCACCTATTGACGCAATCCCCGACAATTCAACGCGTCAGTCAACGGCTTATTTCTGCTATCTCCCCAGACCTCCTTTCTAACGGCATGACCCTCTCTTCGTGACATCACACAAGCGTATCCCCAGGCGCAGACCGAACTATTCCGCACCATTCTCACGCATCTTCCCGCCGAATTAGAAGGAAGATACCCGGAAGGAACAATCATTCGCGTTATTAAGCCCCTATACGGAATTGCGGAGGCCGGAGTCCATTGGTTTCGAACCTATCACGGGCATCATGTCGATAACCTCGACATGTCCACATCAACCTACGACCTATGCTTCCTAATTACGAATAAGGGACCTGATAACTTTGGGATTGTGGGAATGCAGACTGACGATACCCTTATGCTTGGCACACAACGTTTTTCCGCGCTAGAGGAAGCGGAACTCGTAAAGGCACAATTTCGGGCAAAGCCGAAGACAACGATGACCCCGGGTACTAGCATTGACTTCAACGGTGCAAAGATAACCCTTCAAGACACCACTTTCCACAACGCTCTACTGCTTCAACAAAAGGGTCAAGCAGCCAAGATCGAACCCATCGACATCAAGGCATACGATCGAGCCCAACAGTACGTGGAACAGCGTGCCCGTGGCGCGTATGTGGCTTCAATCTGTCAACCAGAGGCCTCATTCGACATCTCTATTGCTGCCCAGGTCCAAACCCTACGGAAGAGGATTGCACGACCTCAACAAGCGGCTTCAATGGCAGAAAGACCACCAGCAGCGAGGCCTAACGTATATCCCTATTGACCTCGCCAATGCCAAGCTTATCGTCTTTACCGACGGTTCCTTTGCGAACAATAAGGACCTATCGTCACAGCTAGGCTTCGTCATTGCCCTAGTCAATGAGACCGAGACCGCACGTACCAAAGACCAATTCGGGATCAAGGGCAATGTCCTC